ACTTCTTAGAATGTTTTAGTGTTTATCTAAGTATAAACATGCAAAGACCTGTCCAGTATTTTTCTCCTCTGTTGTGCAATACTTACCTAAGCAGCTAGATGAGCTTGTTCTTTTATCTATTAACGGGTTTGAGAGTTATACATTAACACAATTCTAAAACAATTTTGTTTGTCCCTTGCGTGTTCACTTCGCTAATTCAATCTTCGTTGAAAAAGAATCATATAGTATATTTTTTTTGTGTAAGTATCTAAATGTGAGTATATATATTTATATATTTTTATAGATATCTCCCGCATCAGGAATAAGTATACCCTGTGTCGCGGGGGACTTTACAAACATACATAAAACGGACACAAAGAACACCCAGACACAGAACATCAATTTGTGGATCACACAAAGTATAGTCCCATGTGGTGATCGGACCCACAACACTCTGCGTAGTAGTAAGCGTCGTGGCGACCGCTTGAACCACTACGTCATCCGTGCAGTCAAGTCAATATTGTAGTCTCATAATGTTAGTTCATATTTTAGTAACTTTCTAGTGGTTTTGAGTGTTTCCACGGCCTACTCAAGTGTCTTGCTGGTGGTAGTGTTGTATCCCGGGTTGTTGATCCTGACTATATCGGTTAGGATACATAATTACTGGGGCCCGTATGCCGTCTGTATGGACGGGCCGACTCAAAACTATGGTCCTTTCTTCAAAAGGCAAACTCAGACCCTATACTTCACTCTGCACTCACATTCTAAGTTCTCTTAACGTTTTTACACATCTCACAAACAACCGTCTGATCCCAAACTAGGCAGAGCCTGTACTATAGTAAACAGACTGCTGATAAACATACTTATATATTTTTAAATAGATACATATTACACCCAGACACAGAACAAATGACCGTGCTCATCACACAATATTTGTCCTGGGTGGGAATCGAACCCACGACCTGACTAGCAGTCAGGGTCACTAGCCACTAGACCACCAGGCCCGAATTGTACACAGACTTTTAAAATAAAGGCACCTCTGTGGCCTTTTCTTGGCATTTCTTACCAGAGCTAAGCTAGCTGTAAAGTCCGACTTGTAAAAATATTTGAAAAGATTTACTTTCAGAAATAAATATCATTTATCATGTAATTCAATTCCTTAGTTTAGAAATACTCAGAATAAAAAAATTGTTTAAAAAAAAACTAAAAAACACGCTTTTATAGAAAACCAAACTAAAAAATAGAAAATAAATTTTAATAAATTAAAAAAAAAGCGTTTGGTGCCTGTTGTCAATAGTAAAAAGCACGTCCCATTTTTTTTTTTTTTAATTTAGTCTATTGTCATCGGTTCTCGATATATCTACAAAGTTTAAACAAATTCTGATCGTTTAAAGTCAGTCAAAATCACGCCCAAAGGAGTCGGTTCCAAACATACAAACAAACATACAAGTGAAACTAATATAAAGCGTGTAAAAACTATCGTATATTTTTTTCGTCATAGATCTAAAGTTTAGTGATTTAACAAAATTACGGTTTAATTTAGATCTCTACAAGATCCTAAATGAATTTGAAACCAATAAATGATGTTTGTCTGTGAGTTCATTGTGACGTATTCTGATGACGTGTTTCTGTCATGTCATGTAAATACCTATTATATAGATGTTGACCTTTATATCTTGAATCATTAAAATATTACCGGGGAATCTCAATGTCAGATGAATTTAAATTTGTTGTCTGTTAAGTGAGAAATAAGGCATGAAAAGAATTTTACAATGTGTTAGAGTACTGACGTGTTGGTCTAGTGGTTCGTGATTCTGACTGCTTAGTGAGAGGTTGTGGATTTGATTCCCACCCAGGACAAATATTGTGTGATTATTTATTCACGATCAACATGGTCATTATATTATCTAAATCAGTTCAGCGGTTATGGATTTCCCATACAAATTCCGCACCCTTTTTCACCCCGTTAAAGGATGATTTCTGGGATAAAAACTACCCTTTTTTTCCGTGCGGAAATCCCCTCGGATACCACCTGTCGGTGGCATGTCGGACTCGAACCGACTAAAACCGCACGCCGTCTCGGGTACTAATAGCCGGGGAACCAGGTATACCCTAGAACGGAAGTCCCTGGTGCCCCGACATACCTCGGGTCATCTACAGACGAGTAGACCCCCCCCCCCGTGTGGGAACCCCATGTTCCCTGAAGGGATAAAAACTACCCTATATCCTTAGTACTAGAACTCAATAGTAAATTTCATCTAAATCAGTTTAGCGGTTTAAGCGTTAAGAGATAACAGACACACTTTCAAGTTTTTTTAAACTTAGTATGGACTAGTATGAATATCCATTATGTAAGTATATTTATTTAGAAGTATATGTGACGGCAATAGGCTTGCGTTTACCTCCTATTACATACCCTTATTTCTCACTATGAAAATGACGAAGTTCCATACAACCTTTCATCCCTAATTTTACTCCTTTAGGGGTGAGATTTCCAAAAATCCTTTTTTATTGTTGCCAAAATGTCAAGTTTGTAACCCCAGCGGTTTGGCTCTGCGTTGATGAATCAGTCTCATCTCCGACATGGTCACCATCGCGGCTAGACGTCATTTGAAAAATACGTAAAACTTGAATTTTTCCGTCAATCTTTCTGTCCCTGTAGTGACGGATTAAGAATACGGAATGTCACTACCCCGCCGACTAGCCGAAACCAGCACTACAAAAAGAAGGAAAACTTGACGCAAACCCTATACCAACCCGTCAGGCCAGCGTGGTATAGTAGGCCAAAACCTCCTCTCTAAGGAGAGGCCTATGTTAAGTTGTTTTATGTGTCTACGAATGAACGTCTGCAACTCAGAAGTCACAAACCCGTTGCCGGCCCTTTAGGAAAGAGTACGCTCTTTTCTTGAATGTTAGAAGGTCGTATCGGTCCGGAAATATAGCAGACGATAACTTGTTCCAAAAATTGGTTTTGCGAATCAAAAAGTGTCTTGAAAGTGCACAATAGAGGAGCACCAATTATCCAGGATGGTGATGAAAACTTTGCCGTGTGGAACGTTAAACTATATGTTATCTGTCTGTAAGTTAATCTACACAAAAATTAAAAGCGAATTTTATGCTGTAAATATTGGACGGATGCTGCACTACACCCACTGAAGGCCATTGACATCTGAATAACAAAAATATAATCTTACAACCAGTTCACGTTTCTCGTCGGGAACGCAGACCGGCTCCGTACGATGACTGGAATTTTTTAGCATCTTCGTGTTAAAGATACATTATTCTTAAAACATCAAAACTGCATTTTTAGATTAATTATAAAAATAAAACTACACAAATCTCACACACGGACATCTGCTCCTAAACTGGGCAGAGCTTGTACCATGGTTAGTAGACTGCTGATAAACATGCATATGTATTTCAAAATACATACACGTTATAGATTAATTACACCCAGACACAGAACAAAATGATCGTGTTCATCACATAATACTTTTCATGGGTAGGAAACCAACCCACGACCTCCGGCTTAGCTGTCAGAGTCACTCACTAACCACTCGACCAGTAGACCTGGGCCTCAATTCTGCTATTACGCCAAGCCAGTGTCATACCACTGACACGCTATTGAGATGCCATCGAGTAGCCATTGGCATCGGTATAAATATCGGTATTTGAAAATATATTACGTTTTTTGAGGAAATGATTTTTTTTTCATTATAATAAATTATTAAAAGAAATAAATAAATTAAAACAACATAAAAAACATTAAATTATTCTTGCAAATTCTTCTTAAAATTGGCTTGGCGTAAACATAAAATAGCAGAATTGAGGCCCAGTCGAACAACGCTGACTTCAATCTACCTACATCATAATGAATTATAATCAACTTTGACTGCACAGATAGCGTAGTGGTTTATGCGGTCACCGATCCCCACATGGGACAACACTTTGTGTGACTCGCACAAATTGTTGTTCTGAGTTTAGGTTTTCTTTTTGTCCGTTTCCATGTATGATGGCGAAGTTCCCTGCGACACAGGATATATTCCTAGTGCGGGAGTTGTCTTTAAAAAAAACTATTTTTTAATTCTTAGTTTTTCAGGTGTGGTGTAAACCCTACCAAACAATAATTGCCAATTTTTTTTTAAAGACAACTCCCGCATTTGTAATATGTCCTGTGTCGCGGGAGACTACAAACATACACGAAACGGACACAAAGAACACCCAGACTCAGAACAACAATTTGTGGATCACACAAAGTGTCGTCCCATGTGGGGTTTGAACCCACAACACTCGGCATAGTATGAAGTGGAGTGGCGACCGCTTAAACCACTACGCCATCCGTACAATCAATTTGTTAATAAATGTTGGAGTTCTGAGGCAACAAACATAAAAAATACAACGCAACTGATAACCTGTTTTTTAAGTCGGTTAAAAAGAGGCAAAGCCGATCTATAAAGAAGGTCTGCCATCGCAAAAATTCGTTAGTTATTGTGATATTTTATTACAAAAATAATTTCATCTTAATTATAAACAGAGCTGAGGTTATCTTGTATATCTATGTGTATTGAACTGTCTGTTTTGCATAATTACAAATATATATTGTGAATATTTTGTTTGATAAGCAATGGCTGATGAACTTGACCTAATGACGTCACCAATCAAAGGATTGACATCATCACCCCAGCCTCATCCAACTAAGGTGGTTGTAATCCATTTTCCCATCAAAAACTTATGTCCATTTCTTTTACTTCTTTAAATTCCTTTCCGACCAGCGAAGTTTGACAGTCAGCTCTGTGTTTTCCTTCTTATTTTTGGGAAGATTTTGGCTACTCCAATAACCGTGATTCCCGTCCGTTCCTGGATGCTACGCTGCTACTACTTTCTTCTGCAATCTACTTCTTCTTCTGGCAACCTTCCACATCTTAATGAGCTGTAAAAGTTAATATATTTTATACTTACTACCGAGACAACTAGACGGTCTCCAAAATTCCCGTCCCTAATGATGTTTTTATTCTATCCAGGTGAGACATGCTCTGTTGCCGGCGTGGATGGAGTCTGCACTATTATAACAAAATGTCCATCAGCAATAGAAGCAATAAAAAAGAAAAAAAAACCTCAGGTAATATTATCAAATAAATATATGACTCGTGTTTAAAGACACTGCTTCATTCTAAACACTTCTGTATAAGGGAGGTTGTCGGAGGTTCTACCCACCTCCTCCTCTAAATCTAGAGAGAGGTTTTAAGTGGGAACGCACTCTCTCGAATCTGTTCATATGCTCTCATATGATAAAAAAAAGTTGTGGCGTAATTTTAATCCGAACTGAATCTTCAAGTTGAAGAATTTTTTGTTGTTTTGCACCTTCGCTCCACGACTATCTGTGTGATGACGGATTAAAATACAGAGTGTCACCATCCCTATTCATCCCGTGGATGTCGTATGAGACTAAGGGAGCATACTACGCAGAACAACAGCACTGCTGGGAAGGAAAACTTGAAACATACCCTATACCAACCCGTCTGGCCGTCGTGGTATTTTTTAAGCTAAAAACTCTAAAGAGAGGCCTATGATCAGTAGTGGGCTACTAAAGGCTGTTGACGACGATGATTGCCCCCGGGGAGGAACCTGTCGTCAATACATGTACTCTCACAGCCAGAGACAGTCAGTTACATAGTTTCATCACTCACTATGTCTTCAATCGGTTAAAATAGGCGAGCGTGTAACTCTTCGCATTACTGTTTCTAGAGCTTGTAAACTTCTGCCTCGGCACAGGTATACCCTTTCGTCTTCAGGCCAGCGCTCATTGCCAACGTAGGTTATTAAGTCTTACTCTGTGAGACTCAAGAATGCTAGTCTGCTCTATAGTCCCCAAAAAGTTCCTTCTCACACCTACAAATGATAACTGCATGCCTGAAGTAGCGTTTTATCTATCTTTTAATTATTCACAAACCTGTTTTAACTCACAGGCGTTAATTATATAAAAATAATTTTAATTTGTAGTCATTAAACTAAGATTGAAGAAAACAAATTATAAATTGTAATTTTATTATGCTGTCATGGCGACTTCCGCGTACAACGTAATACATATTTCAATGCCATCTAATAAGGACATTGAAATAAGGAGTAGCTACTAATCCTGCATCGCAGAATGAAAGTGCTCGCACAGATTAGTGTATACCCGTGGGAAGCCGAGGCTGGCTCAACCGGAGTGATACCACGGCCTCACAGAAAACCGTTGTTAAGCAATTCTTTCGTTGCCTTTCACTGAGTGAGTGAGGTTACTGGAGCCCAAATCCCTCCTCCCGCTGACTCGAGCGGGAGGGACTCCAAGGGCGGCCACGCACCTGTGACTTTTAAGTTGCAGGTGTCCATGTCCATGTCCATAAGGTGACCAGTCTGATCCTTTGCCGCCTTATACCATATTAAAAAAATATACAACTTTCCCAACATCAACCGTCGAGCCGCTTTCGCATGATGACCTTGCCTGCTCGAACATTCCTATGTGTCAGAGGATTATTAATGCCTCAATTGTCTGAGGACATTTGTTTTTGACGTGACAACATCTTATAATTCGATGGAGCCGGCTGCATGCACGAAAAAACATGACGCATGCGGCGTTACCTCGCTCTGAGGCGTTCCATTTAAGACTTGAAGTGCAAGCGAGAGCGCGGAACGAGCGACAAAGAGGCACAATCGGCCTCCGCGTTCGGCAGCGTTCGACATCTGTCTCTCTCCTACTTGAGTCAGCGATGCGTCCGCGTGGACAGCTGCTATACAATAATACATTTACATGTTTACGTCAAGTATGAAGCGTAATTAAAATTTTCGTTTGACGTTTCGTTGTCACGTTCAACTATCGTCAGTAAACCGACTTTACAGACAACCGATTTTTTAAAAAAATGTTCTTATTAGACAGTACTAGATTCAATCTTTTTTTAATGTAAGAGGGGGCAGACGAGCAGACGGGTCACGGTTACTTTATGTGAATGTTTGTAGTAGGTATTTTCCATTATTTCCAGTAAATTCCTCACATCAACAGCCTTTAATAGTTCACTGCTGGACATAGGCCTCTCCTTCGAAAGGAGGTTTAGTTTAGTATATTCCTCACGCTACGTGAATCATTTTTCAGCTGGTTAGTTTCTTGAAGACTTTCTGGGTATACCCAAGTCACTCCGCCGTCTCCTTCTGCGAGCAAGTTATGCTTGCGAAGGAGATGGCGGAACGGGACCGGGAGAGGTATAGAACTCTCCAGGCCCGGGAACGGGCCAGGTAACGCAGATGACTCGGGCGCGGGAGGTCGCAGAACGACCTCCGTCCTCCATAGGCGCAGGCCTGGGGGTGACAGGTGAGGCCATCTGTCACCCTAGCAGAAGCAGGCCGGGGTGCCCTTTTGGGAGCACCAAGGGAACATGGGGGTTCCCACACAGGAGGGGGTCATCTATCCGCCGTAGATGCCCCGAGGTACGTCGGGGTACCAGGGATTCCCTTTCTAGGGTACACCTGGTTCCCCGGCTACTGGTACCCGAGACGTCGTGCGGTTTTTAGTCGGTTTGAGTCCGACATAGCCACCGGTAGGTATTATCCGACGGGGTATACCCGTGTGAAAGTATTAGGTTTGATTCCGACATTATACCTTATTGATAGTTGCGGTGAGGTCCCATAGGAAATTTCATGGCTCATTGGTACCGAAAATTTTAACATACGAGTACATAGAAATAGAAATAGTATTTTTGACATTCTTACAGACAGAATAACGGAGTAAGGCACAGTAGTAACTTCTAAACTATACAGCATGGAATTCTTTTGAATCTATACATGAAAGGAGAATTAAATAGATATGATTCGATCCTCAGATTAGATGGAACTTTAAACTATACTTTACGGATTGAACTAGAATAAATTAAAAATTAATACCCCAACACACGTCTTGGATTTGAAATTTGTCATAGTGTATAGTATTCTACTAGTTCTAGTAGTTCTCTTTCAGTTGATACATATATTGAGGGCAGTTGTGACAAAATATGAAATCCGCCATTTTGTGGCGGCGGCCATCTTGGATAAATTTTCATCAAACATACATAGCTAAGATCATCATTATTCATCCGTTCGGGTGCCATGATGCCAGAGAGAGATACACACACAGAGACACGTTAAAATCATATTTTTGGAAGCTCGTATGTAATTTAAGGTTAGAAGTGAGGTATTATCCCTAACTAGGAAATTCAACGAAATGACTCGCCATGACTGACTCAACGCAGAGCCTAAATCGCTACCTTTTATTTTGCAAGCACCCACTAAGAAACGATCCTTGAAAATGACACCCTTAAGGGGGTAAAATAAGGAATGAAGGGTTATATGCCGCTGCCAATAGCTATATAGTAAATAATTGCCCTATCCTAAAACAAATTCTGGCTGCACTCGTAAGTCTTGGTGAATAAAACGCCATTAGCCACACTTTATTGTGTGGAAGCAAGAGTTGTTTTTAAAAGATTTGTTTTTGCCTGTTTCAGAACTGTGGCTTCCTGGGTACCACCCCTATCGTCTGCTGTGTGGACAGTGCTAACACTGGCACGACATTGCGGCCTCCTGTTGCAACTACACAGAGGTAACGATAATATCCTTACCTACTTACTATAATGACAGGTCTGTTGTCCCTTTCTCTCTCGATAAGGGTCAGACCCTTGTCGGTGGAGCAATCGCCATCCCTCTCTATTTTCTGCAATCTGTTTGACCTCTTGATAGGCCACGACTCCCACTTTCTCCTTTACTCTGTATGTACTTTGATCTAGGTATTGCTTGTTTTCTTCTGGCTTCTATTTTTCCTTTAAGTATTGTTTTAAAGAAATAATTATCCCTATTTTGCAGATTATCTACCAGTACAGTATATATACCAGACACATCTATTTACGTAGATGACGACAGGATTGAGGGCTGTGAAGGCCTTGGCGAAATGACAGAAAAGAAAATTGGGCAGAAGGCATTCGACAGTAAGTTACATGTACTCGACATAATCTCTAATAGTTATTATATACTTTTCTCTTAAAAGCAATACTTTTGAAGGACAGAAAATCAAATACAAGATTTTTCTGATACCTTATTATTAATAAAAAAAAATATATATTTTTAGGACAATTGACACGCGACGCTAGTTTCAAACTAAGCAGAGCTTGTACCATGAAACAATGTTGAATGCTTTCAGAATGTATCGACTACCAGGCGGAGCTGGTATACCCCTGCGAGAAGGCCGTGGCTCTCACGGGAGATGTGAGCAGAGCCAGCCATTGCCATCATAACGCTGATGAGTTAATTGTTGGTGGGAATGACACCAACTTGTACGAGTTCCCACACATGGTAATATTTTAAAGTTTGATCAGACAGCTGTAGTCACGATTATATTATCTTCCCGCTCCTTCCGCGTTCTGTCCCAATCTTTAAAGTCGACGTATGTTTTTTTTTTGGTACAAAGGGGCAAACGAGCAGACGGGTCACCTGATGGTAAGCAACTACAGCCGTCCATGGACACCTGCAACTCAAAAGTCACAAGTGCGTTGCTGCCCTTGGAGTCCCTCCCGCTGACTCGAGCGGGAGGGACTCCAAGGATTTGGGCTCCAGTAACGTCACTCACACAGTTAGAGGCATCGAAAGAATTGCTTAACACCGGTTTTCTGTGAGGCCGGGGTGTCACTCCGGTCGATTTGTGCCGAAGCACGGCTCTCCCACAGTAATTCAAGTAGTGCTAATATTTTCACATATCTTTGCACTACCAACACTATGTACTTTTCTTTCCCCCGGTACCCGCTCATCCCAAGGGAACACTACAGTTCACACTAAAGTAGCCTAGCCTAGAAAGTAATGAACTAGTGTCCAACTGTCGGACACTAAATTCCTTGCCGATATTGCTATGTATGTCAGCTTTGCTGTTAATATCAACGCTAAATTTTACACGCTGACCATTACATTAAAACTGACCCGTTTGATTTAGTTAAATTGTAGTGTGATATTCCATCTACATAGAAATACCAATGATGTTTTTCAATCTATTTATAATTCTCAGGCGATGTTGGGATATGGAGACAACGAACAATCAATTGCGTGGCTCTGTGGCGGTTCCATCATCAGCAACAAATACATTCTGACTGCAGCACATTGTACCTTTGCCAGGAGCGTGTAAGTTGTGCACTTTTTAAGTTTTTTATACATGGCTTCGCTTATCACTTGATTTATTTATTTATTTATATAACTTTATGCACAAGTTGTACACACACGGACTTAATGCCCAAGGCATTCTCTGCCAGTCGACATTCGGGTGATGTAGAAAAATAATGCGGTAGGTGCAAGAGAAAACAGAGAATTTGACTTAATTTATATTAAATGTATTAATTTAAGATAAATCTATCTTACATCTATCTACTGGAAATTGAAAGAGCACAGCGAGCCATACTGAAAGTGATGACATACAAACATTTCTTGTATCCAACCATCCAACTCTATGCCGACTGTAAGGTACTAACAGTGCGGCAGCTCTTTATTCTCCAAACAACCTTAAGGTACCATAACACCCTTCCACTGCCAGATCCCAATAAACGTAGATACAATGCACCTCCTGTTCGTCACAAAACCGCCTTTTCCGAACATCAATATTACACGTTAAGCCCTTACCTATACAGTAATATTAACAAAGAGTTAAACATCGCACAACTAAATAGATTTAAAATCAAGCATCGACTGACTGAGTGGTTATTAGTTAGAGATTACTCTGCTACTGAATTACTACTACAGTTCGTAAAGTGACTATATATTTCACACACACACACACGCACATGCACATGCGCACACACACACACACACACACACACACACTTTTAACTCAAACTGTCTTTGGTATATATTATACATACGGTCATCATCCAACCAACGGTGTCTTCATCGTCTCAATGCCCAACGAAACACACTATTGTAATTCCTTAGAGCCGTAACCTGTCTCTTAAGATACAGGCGTAGCCTAGTTTAAGAGACATGGTTCAAATTTTGAATATACAACAATATTTTGTAACTTTAGAACTTTAGCGTATAATACTGTAAACACCAATTGTGTCTGCTAGTTTTACTGTTGTAACACCTTTGGACCAATAAATATATTTATTATTATTATAAACATACTTATACCTACTAAAAACCCTTAAAATATCTGTAAATTAATCGATGTTTACGTAATTAACAAAAAAAAAATTTTTTTTAAGTAGAGACCGAGAGAAATATTTGTGTATAGAGCAGATAATGTGCAAGTATAACTGTTTTAGCAGGCAACCTTAAAATGAAATAAAAATAATGTAAACCAGAAAAAAAGAATACACTATATACTATAAATAAAATACTATATTCATTACTACATATATACATAGAGGTCTCAAGTATACACATACAATACATGAACATACACATTTATAAATACATAAATATCAAAATACATAGTCGGGTATTAGCGTTGTGACCTTTCTGCCAGCTTATTGCGGTACTTGATTTACTTCGTTACAGTCCTTTTATTCTGGAGTAAAACTACTCAAACGTATCAAAATTTAATGGTGGACAGTTTAGTTTGTTATATAATGGTGCTAATTCTGTTGTTCAAAAACTCTCTAAACTAAATTAAAAATCACAAAAAAAAAAAATTGTCCTGTCAAATATTACATTTTCAGAATAGGAAAAGTTGTTTGACAGAACTAAACAAATTTTTATGATTTTTAGTTTAGTTTACAGCGTTTTTGAACAACAGAATTAGCACCATTATCTTACTGCTACTATAAATGCAGTAGTTTGGATGTTTGATACTCAATCACGCCAGAAGGGCTGATCGGATCTTTTTTCTATGGCCCTTTGAGTCCCCCCTCTAAGAATAGGGGAAGGGCTTCAGGAACTTCACTCACTCGGTGCAGAGCAAGAACAGAATTGGTTAACATCGGTTTTCTGTGAAGCCAAGCTGGCTCACACGTGAGGGAGCATTTCTCCGCCACATATCTGGATGATATTTGGTACAGAGATAGATATATACTCTGGAATAGCATATACATTAATTTTTTACACTTTATTACACATTCTTCACTTTAAAAGATGGTGGTGGACTCATGCCTACTGGTCGTTCCTGCGATCATAGCCAGCGGTTTCAGCTGTCCGTTGATCGTTCAGTCAGTGTATCAGTCGGTCGCTTTCTTCTTTTATATAAATCGCGTTTGTTGTTATAACCGCGGGCAACGCCGCGGGGCGAAGCTAGTCTAAAAAAAGTAGCCTAAGTTACTCCTTATGTCATCTGCTATCTGCCAGTGAAAGTCCCGTCGAAATCGGTCCAGCCGTTCCAGAGATTACCCGGAACAAACAGACAGACAAAAATTGTAAAAAATATTATTTTGGCATATGTACCGTGTAAACATACATATGCATTTAGTAAAAAGCGGTTATTTTAATATTACAAACAGACACTCCAATTTTATTTATTTGTATAGATAAACTTTAACCCTTAGCCCGCGGTACTAGAATCATAATTACATACCAGGTCGGCGAGTCCCCCTTTGTGTTGGACTCAATCCTCGCTCCTCCACAAGTCTCATTTAATCGTTGCACTTATGTTTCTGTTACAGAGGAGATGTAAAATACGTGCTGGTGGGCGCCCAAACAAGAAGTGATGCTAATATTCCTTCAAAAATCCATAAAGTAAAGAGGATTATCAAACATCCCGGGTATAAGCCGCCTTCTAAATACAACGACATCGCTTTGTTGGAGACAGAGAAAATGTAAGAAAACCCGTTTCTTCGCATGTATACTTCATTGTTTTTAGCTAAATAACAGGTGTAGGTATCGCAAGAAAGATCAGAACATTAGTTTAGTGGTTAGTTTTATTTATTTTTTAAACCCGTACTAGGAATAAATCCTGTGTTTCGGATGACTTCACAAACATACATGAAACGGGCACAAAGAACACCCAGACTCAGAACAACAATTTGTGAAAAACACAAAGTGTCGTCCCATGTGGGGATCGATCCCACAACACTCAGCGTGGTAGTGAGCGGTGTGTCGACCGCTTAAACCACTACGCAATACGTGCAGTCATAGTGAGTACGATTATTTGTTCTGTGTCTGCGTGTAATTTATCTATAATATGTATGTATTTAGAAATATATAAGTATGTTTATCAGCAGTCTGAAGTATGTCGATTGTACGCAATAACTACAGGCGTGGTAGAAGTCACAGAATATTTGCACCACCTATACGTCGCACGGTAGCACATTTTGATTTTACTTACAGCACTCAACGCTCTCTTGAACTCAAATCTAGACTGTAACTTGTTTGCGAATGAATGGCAGAAGATTATGTCAGTATGTCTGGTGTACTGCAAGAAGTCACTGTGTAATAAGGAGCGTAGTTTAATACTTTAAATAGACTAAGTTGTTGTAAAGTATCGTTTATTCTGTATCAACGTTTTTCTCCTAATTAGTGTAAGTGGGTAGAGGCCGTTCTGATTAAGAATAAATAAATAGTACAGACTCTGCCTAGTTTGGGCCGTGTGTGAGATGAGTGAAATAATTTGTTTTTTACACAATCGACTTCAAAATCAAGTACTTTATAAGTTCTACAGTAAATATATACTTGACAACTGAGTTCTGTATAAACCCTAGTCTTCAACCAGGATCGGTAGGTGTAAAATAAAAGCTACCAAGCCATCTTTCGATAATAAAGTTAAACTCCTCTATGGTGATGTTTCAGCATACCCTTAAGTCAGTTCGTGGTTCCTGCGTGTTTACACATCGGCGATACTGTCAACGATACCAAGGTCCTCGCCACCGGTTGGGGGCACACGCAGTACAAGGGTAGCCTATCTGAAGTTATGCAGAAGGTATTAAAATATTTTGAAGATACCGGACAAGCAGTGATAGTCAAACAACCTTATACTTTGACTATAAATTTCTCTTCTAACGCCTGGATTTTGGGAAATTTTATAATAACACTTTTACATTTGTTAGCTTTTGCTACCAGCTTCACTTGTGCGAATTTCGATTTCATTCAATTTAGGTGTGTGGAAACAATCCGTGTGGTGACGGATTAAGAATACGGAGTGTCGCCACCCTTGTTCATACCGTGGGTGTCGTAAGAGGCGACTAAGAGAGCAAACTACGCAGGACAACAGCACTTTTTTTTATGTTAGAGGGGGCAGACGAGCAGACGGGTCACCTGATGAAAAGTGACCATCGCCGCTCATAAACATCTGCAACTCAGGAGTCACAAACGCGTTGCCGGCCTTTCAGGGACGAGTACGCTCTTTTCTTGAAGGTTTGAAGGTCGTATCGGTCCGGAAATACCGCTGACGATAACCCGTTCCACAGATTGGTTGGGCGGGCGGGGCAAATAGTGTCTCGAAAAGCGCACAGTAGTGGAGCGCCAATTATCCAGGTAATGAGGATGAAAATTTTGCCGTGTGGAACGATGGCGGTAAGTGCGGCTGGTATTAGTCCGAACAATTCCTAGGCGCATTCTCCATAATACTCTCCATGGTATAGTAGGCCGAAACCTCTTTTTTAAGGAGAGGCATATATCCATCAGTGGACTACTAAAGGCTGGTGATGATAATGATGATGAATTTTGCCGAGATAAGAAATAGTCTGAGTCATTCTAGATTACAATCTATCTTTGTGACAAATTTCATCTAGATGTGTTAAGACGTTCTGGTGTGATTACGTACTTTGATGAAACTCTATGGCTCTAAAATATGGGTCAGAAAAGCTCAAAGACACGATTGCATTTTCATAATATACCTACGTAGGGTACGCGTAAATTTAATATAACTCATTAAATTTACAAAACAAAAAATAATAATTTTACCTACTGTGAATAATTCAATTTTTCGTATTAATATATAAATATATTAGGTGTTGAAATGTGATGTCATTCAACTCAGGATCCAGGATCCACCCCTTATCCCACACACTGTCACAAGTTGTCGACTTCCTCGTGTGTCCCAGGCCTATCCATAAACTACGTCATTTAAGAAGGGGGCTCTGAAATAACTTAGTTTATGAATGGGCCCTTTCCAAGAGCATTTTTCTACTATATTAATGTTTTTTTAATATATTTTTTAGGTAATTATTGAAAAATTTTCGACTGAGGAGTGCAGCGTCAAGTACCCTCAGAACAGAAATATGATGAATGGTTTTGATCCTCAAACCCAGTCCTGTTATGGAGACAGGACCGTGTCAAAGGATACCTGTCAGGTACTGTTTATATAATTTAATATTATGTAATAAAGGGATGGCCCGTGGGTCTGGACCAAGCCAGAGGTCGTGGATTCAATTCCCACCCAGGACAAATATTGTAACTGACTGCACGGATGGCGTAGTGGTTTAAGTAGTCGCCACGCCGTTACCTACTGCGTTGAGTGATATGGGTTCGATCCCCACATGGGACAATACTTTGAGTGATCCACAAATTTTAGTTCGCAGTCTGGATGTTCTTTGTGTCCGGCTCATGTATGTTTGTTAAGTCCACCGTAACACAGGCTATTTTCTTAATACAGAAGTTATTAAAAAAAAATTGTGCGGTACGGAGCAGAGTAAAGCTATGCTTACTTTGATTCTAGACAGCGCTGTGTAAGATGTATCCAATAATTTTTGAAGTAAAACTTCTTTACGCATGCTTGGGAGTTAGCTAGTGAATGCGTGACGAGAACGTTACGAAAAGTGTGATCGGGCGAGGCGAACGGAAGTTGAGAGGGAGATATAAGTTGGTAAGATAGAACTTCTGTCAACTAGGTTTAATTTCCGTGTGTTTAGGCGATTCTACAATACATATTATAGAAATCAAATATAGCTCACCTAGGACCTGTAATATTTTGTGGCCGTGACGCTTCCTTGTTTAAAAGGGTGTGTGCCTATTTTACTTAATTTGGCCCCCTAGCTTTACTAAGGAAGGAAGTGGATTTACTGTATTTCCAACTCCTCCAATTTTCTTCTAATTGATTTCGTTGCGACAGTTTAATTTCTTCCTGGGACTGCCCGAGTGTCATAACTCAGTGTGTTCGTGGGTCACTGCTGTGGATCCTGGTATACAGGAGTTACAGTGGCGGGCGTGTGGGTGGGATTAATCCTAATAGTGAAGATATAAAAAAGGGGGGGTTACGTTTCGTATATTACTGTAGGGGCAAGAGAGACAAGCCCGGGAACGGGCCAGGTACCGCAGGCGACTCAGGCGCCGGAGGTCGCAGAACGACCTCCGTCCTCCATAAGCGCAGGCCTGGGGGTGACAGGTGAGGCCATCTGTCACCCTAGCAGAAGCAGGCCGGGGTGGCGGCGAGCGCGTTGCGAAGCGCGCTCGCCTCCAGGGAGCACAGGGAACATGGGGTTCCCACACGGGGGGGGGGTCGTCTACTCGTCTGTAGATGACCCGAGGTATGTCGGGGCACCAGGGACTTCCTTTCTAGGGTATACCTGGTTCCCCGGCTATTAGTACCCGAGACGGCGTGCGGTTTTAGTCGGTTCGAGTCCGACATGCCACCGACAGGTGGTATCCGAGGGGATTTCCGCACGGAAAAAAAAGGGGGTAAGAGAGAAAGGTGCGAGCACACATTTTCTTTCTCTCATAGCCAATCATAGTTTTTTTAATGAAGTTTCAACTTCATCCAGGGTGACAGCGGTGGTCCAATCCAGATCAAAAGCTTAAGACTTGACTGTATGTACGTCGTGGTCGGAGTGACATCGTTTGGGAGGGCTTGCGGCTTTCCTGCTGAGCCGGCGATATACACCAAAGTGTCACATTATGTTCCGTGGATTGAGAGTATTGTGTGGCCTTGAGTACCTCTTGGAGGGACTGTCACATACAGAAATAGACTGTTATAAAATAGAAATAATTTAATGTAACTAAAATAATAAATATAACTAATCTTTTAAATAAAAGTTGTTTTAATTTGTTGTATGACAGAGTCCGGAGGTCCAGCTAATTCCTCCCCCCCTCCCTACATTCCGGAGAAATGGATCTCCGATAACCTCCACTTGAAAGGCAACTATACATTTGTGTATCTGAGATGCAGATGTCTATGTCATTTGTCGGTATTCACTTACCATCTGGGCCCCAATTTTGCTATTTTATGTTAACGTACAAGCCACAATCATGGGAACTATCAAGCTATTTCCACCAAGCCCTGTACTCTGCAGTGATGCCAGGTGCGAGAGAAGCAAGAGAAGTACCGAGAGGCCCCCTCTGGTTTTTTTTCTAATCAGGCGAGCATACGCAGTGCACTGCTCTTTATCGGTTGGAGAGAGGAAACAAGAGGAGGCCTCCCAGCGTCCTCTCTCGCACCTGGCATCACGCTTGCGGCTTTAGGCTTGCCCTATTTTTACATCTCTTTCGTCATCCATTTGCATTTCCACGCTATTGAGATGCCATTGTCATCGAACAAAATATCGGTATTCTACTAACTCAAATTCAATAAACTGGATGTAGTGACAATGGCTCATCAATGGTGATATGAACATTGCCATATCTGGCAAATTAAATATAACATTTCATTACAAATTTAAGATGTACTGTTTACCAAACTGTTACAAAGACATCTACAACATTTGTATCAGTAGCAGTTCAGTGACAAGTCATAGTAGAATAGGAAAAGTGCAGAAGTATTCCGAGGACATTCCAACGACAGGCTATGATACAATATTAGAATACCAGAATTAACGACCAGATCACCCGTGTTCACATCAACAGTCTTTAATAGTCCACTGCTGGACATAGGCCTCTCCTTAGAAAGCAGGTTTTGGCCTACTATACCACGCTGGCCAGACGGGATGGTGTAGGGTTTGTGTCAAGTTTTCCTTCTCTTTGCAGTGCTGGTGTCCTGCGTTGTTTTGCTCCCTTAGTCGCCTCTTACGCCACCCACGGAATGAATAGGGGTGGTGACTCTGTATTCTTAATCCGTCACCACACGGACAACGGACACGGACACCCGTCTGTTCGCATAATCTATAATCCATAAAATATTTTTTTTCCAAATTTAGTAAAATTAATAAAAACACATTTATTTGATTTTTAATTAAACTTTTTATTAATACACAATTATTTATTACAATTGGTTCTCTGTTCAACTTATGAAAGAGACTTTGTGACCCCAAACTCTAAAGACCCCAAGACCCCTTGACCCCATCAGTTCTTTTAAATCCATGCTTCCCATCCTTGTGGAGTGATGGATAGTATTTTGGGATCTGTACAATGCTGTAGGAGACAGGACACCTGGAACAGAAAAATAACACAAAAACTGTACCTAAAATCAATCCTTTGCCCATTGTAATTAACTGTATTTTTTCCCCCTCCCTTAGATGTGGTGATTGTAAAAAACTGTATTTTAACCCCTAATTTTCCATCCTTAAATGTGGTGTTTTTTCTTTAAATTATAATGGGATTAAACACAACGCCATCTAGTTTCAAACTAAGCAGAACTTGTACTATGAAAGCTAGATTGACTGATAGAATACTTATATACTTTTTTTTGTAAATAGAGACATATTATACTATTGTACTAACAAATAAAAGTTGTCGGTTAATTACTTTTATTGCACTGTATTTACAAACACTTACTTTAATAAACTAGAAATCACTATATATCTCGTTAGTCGCACTAGAAATTCACTCCGATGTTAATTCACTGTGTCGTAAAACGATACTGTGTCAAATGGCCAACACGCTCCGCTTTTATAGCGCTTTTGAATTTTACTAGAAAAATCTCTAGTATTCGATAGTCCGTTCCAAACCAACAAGAATTTTCCAGAATCAGTAACGCGTTACTTGTAAGGATCAGAAGTACTCGTATTAACAACAATCTTAATAGATTTTCTTTAGTCGATTCTAGATGGAGCTGTCCTCCACATTTCATACAATCATATGGCGCAACAATACATAGAAAATATTTACAGATCATACCAACGTTTGGTCTGACCCGGGAACCGAACCCGAGACCTCAGCACAGCAGTCGCATACGCTACCACTTCACCACCGAGGCAGTCAATCAGTGTGTATGTAAATATAGCAAACCCGGTCAGGTACGAGTCGAACTCGTGCGCCGATGGTTCCGTACCTACCCAGATTTTACGTAGATTTTCGCGAAAATCTACGTAAATTTGACCATATCTTTTTATCATGTTTACTCAGGACCTTGATTTTTATACACCTAATAGGGACCATAGACCTCAGTATCTGGTATAAATTTCAACTTGCTGGGTCTACCCGTTTTTAAGAAAATCGGTGGTGACACACGGACAGACGGACAAGAAAGTGATCTTATAAGGGTTCCTTTTTTACCTTTTGAGGTACGGAACCCTAAAAATTAACCAATTGACATTTATTTACCTGTTCTTCAACGCTGTAAGTTTGCTTACACGTGAAGTTCTGGAATACCGCATCCAGAATATTCAGATATTCTTGTTTGTGCTTTATTTTGGAGTTCTCTATCACGTCCCTTGTTACTTGGTATGACGTCATCGACCCTTGGAGTATGTTCCGTACGTGTTTTATCTGCAAAAGAAATATCCATAGCATAAACTAAGGATGGCTATTAATGGTGGAGGGGTGGTTCAAAGGTTTTTTAACGAGTAGGTTTATCGTCTGATGGAAAGTGACAACCGCCGCCTAGAGGCAACGCAAGAGATAAAAGAGGGTTATCTACCTTTGGTAAGGTGGGAGGTACGAGTTTGTATCTGTGTGTATGTCCGCGACATAATACCTCCTAAACGGTTAGACCTATTTTGATTTTAATAAATAAATAATATTTCGGAGTCTAGAAAACGCTATCTAGTTTCAAATTAAGCAGAGCTTGTACTTTGAAAACTAGATTGACTGATAGAATACTTGTGTACTTTTTTTTGTAAATACATACATATTATATATAGAAAGCGCGGCGATAGTTGCTTACCATCAGATGACCCGTCTGCTCGCTTGCCCTCTTCCATAAAAAAAAACAATTATAACAACAACCCAACATCGTTGAAGAACTTCTTCCTCAAAGGCCAGCAACGCGCTTATGACTCCTGAGTTGCAGGCGTTCATGGGCGGCGATAGTCGCTTTCCGTCAGGTGATACGTAAAAAAGGTCGTGTTATGACTGGTCGAGCCGGCAAATACGTGTTAAAGCTTGGAATAACTAAACTGATGCTACTTCATCATCATCATCAGCCTATCGCAGTCCACTGCTGGACATAGGCTCCTATTATTACTTACCTCACTAAAGTCTCTCCCTTTCCAATAAAATGATACTCTGACGAACGCTTCATAGAGTCGCCGAGATTGTCGCAAACATAACAACATACGCTGCAGGCGGCTTTCCAATACTGAAACATATTTAATATAAGGTTAAGGTTCGTTTTGTACCACGCAAGAAGTTAAGTGGACTTACCGTACATGAAGTGAATTGGACTAAACTTACATGAAATAAATTTAACAAAATTTTATACTTACGAGCAAATTAGAATAATTACACGTAAAGCCAATATCTCATATCACATATGAGATATTGGTTTTGTCCGCGGCTTTAGTCCCGTTAATTTCGATATTATACAAACATCCAACCATCCAAATTATCACATATTTATAATATTATATTATTAATTACTACATACCATCAGAATCCTTACCTTTAACATCGCAAACAGCGAGAAGATTGGCGGTTAGTCTCGCCGGAACGAACTCCCTCAGCCCGTACTCAAATACAGACGCTAAGTCCACTCCGCATACGCCGCCATCTTGTTTATTTATCATTATATTTTGTAAATGTCTATCTCCAACCCCTGTATTAACAGTAATAAGATTCAACTGCTACGCTGAAGGTCGCGGGTTGGATTCGAACTCGGAACAAATATTTGTACTTTACTTACCAAATAACCAATTGGTGATTGTCATAGTACTCAGGGTGTCCAAAAACATACGTTTCTTTGCTATGAACTCTTCCAACGACGAGCATTTATTTTCTATAGAAGATCTGGAACAGAGAGACAGGAAAAAATAATTACAGTATAGGAAAAAACCCTGGGAGTCATGCTTCGTCACGAAAGGGTGCGGCTAGACCGAAATGATACCACGGCCTCACAGAAAACCCTATTAAGTTATTCTTTTATTGTTTTTTACCACCAAAGCAGCCATGCCCAGTGAGTACCTGCGTCAGTCGGTAGGTGACGCCTGCCTCCCTACCTACCCAAGCTTCGAGGCTAGGCAGAACGGCACCGACAGCACGTTGGCGTGCATTCCGAGGCTGTTTCAGCCGCTCGCGCGACTTCACCAGTACCTGTCAGTGAGCGTTCCACCTCATTTCGAGCTCGTCCTGGTCTTCCCCGCTCTCACCCCGGCGGTCCGCACGAGTCTGGTCATAGACCTCCACGTCCATAACCAACAGGATATCAAAAGACAAGAGACGTGCCAGCACTGTCACCGCCTCCGACGAAATCCCATAGCACGCCACTTAGATCGATTTTGGGTTCTTGCATACAGCTCCTGCCAGACATCTTGGGCAAATCGTCACTCTACCCAGCCTGTGGGCGTCCTACACTATGTTATCATGTTTACTTACCTTAAAGTGTAAACTGGTATTTTATTACACAAAGCGTTGTATTGTTCTAAGGCTAAAGATGGCGACAGGACTAACTTATCGTTGTCTAAACGTACCACAGGAACTGAAAGAAAAAAACTAAGATTTTACTACTAAAGTGGCAAACATTAACACGAAATATCAAAGCCGATAAACTATTATACTGCAACGTCATGGGTCGCGGGTTCGGTTTTTGGTCAGCATAAAATAGCATATTATATAGAGGCATATTTTCATCAAACTTTATTTTGTGCAGGCATAGATTAATATTCATACAGCCTAATAAACTTGAAGGCATAACAAAGATAATCCTAACGGACCTTTATTTTGAATGACATCATTACTCTGTCATTTATATGGGAAAAGAAAACTATTGTTTTCCTTGTGCCTTAACGAAAACATGAAAAAAATAATCAGCCGAATAGTTCAATCCGTTCTCGAGTATTGTGCTTATCAATACATTTGTCGATTCATTCGTATTTTTATAGATGTGTATTTTACAAAAAAAACATTTGGGCTGACCCTCCTAATTTGGTGTTTCACACCACAACAATGATAACATATCCTAGACTATTTTTATTCCTATATTATAATTAAAAACGATACTCACTTCTAACCTTATCTCCCATGAACTCTTGTAGTCTCTGGTAATTTTCCAAATATTCTATTACAGCACAATCTTCAGAGAGAGTTGTCACCTAAAATAAAATATAATTACTTAACCTTTAAATATATCAGCTGTAGGATAGACTTTCCAACAACAGCCAATTCGAGTTACAGATACGTGACCTTGATCTACTCCAGCTGTTACTTACACCGCCAATCCATACGTGTAAGCAATATCCCTTCCCCACCATTCGCTTCAAATATTACCAACATTTTCTACCATTCTAAACTTCCAATTTGCCGATCTAATTCCTATAGTGCCCAGTTGACCGCAAAGTCTCACTCACGTATTAGGGGCAATACGTGAGCGGGACTAAAATTATAGTCTCCAAAATGTAAGCGATTAATACGCCCCTGCTTGCTCCCTCGATTCCTGAAGGGATTGCTCCTAATTGAGTATACTTTTTTTTTCTGTGCGGAAATGCCTTCGGATACCACCCACCATCCGGTGGTTATGTCGGACTCGAACCGACCAAAAACCGCACGCTGTCTCGGGTACCAGTTGCCGGGAAACCAGGGTTGAGGTAAGTCAGGAAGGAAATCCCTGATACTCAAATTTAGTGTAGGAAAAGTATTTATCAAAAAAAAAATCACAATCGATTTCATTAAATTTAAATTTGTAACGTAATTTAGTATGTAATTTAGAATTAATATAACTACAATATCGTATTATATAAGGATATCGCAAGAATATAAATAAACAAATTTATATATATTTCAATATATATATATTTATTATGATATTAATATATATAAACTATATGTATGTATACCTAGTACGTATATATCTGTAGGATTTTTTCTTTTCTGCCATTGTAACATTTCTTAATTCAGTCTCATCTTTACCTGTCCCAAATATACACCTGCCACACACAGCTTTGCAACACCCAAAGGTTTGACTGGAAGAAAATGCCTGAGGCATTAAGTCCGCTTTATGCAATATGTTTGCAGGAAGGCTCAATTAATAAATGACGCTCCTAGAATTTGATCACAGTTTAAGCATCCTCTACTTAATTTTGAGTCTATAAAACCCCAAAAGCCCTCATACTTACATTATAACTCCTCACTTGACCTTCAAACAACTCGGGCAACACAGCAATAGCCCTTTGGACTGAAGCATCGTTGGCCAGGACTTCTCCAGACTTGATGATGTATTTCTTAGTGGTGCCGTTGGACAACAGCGCTGACAGAACACATGGCCGTCTTATTGAGTCCACGAATACTTGGACCTGGAAATATTAACTTAAGGTTGCAAACCAGCATCCTGGTACACTGGCATATTGAAGCAGTGACTATTGTATGACGACTTGTTCTGTTGGCTACCAAGTGCACCGCTGAGTGGAAGGGACGTGAGTTTTTTGCGTCCACCTTTAGATTATCCTAACGACTGTATTTATTTATTCTGAAGAATATTTTCAAAGTTATTTACAAGATAATATTACCTATAATGCGTACACACAGATGGCGTAGTGATTTAAGCGGTCGTCACGCCGCTCACTACTACGCTGAGTGTTGTGGGTCCGATCCCCATGGGACAACACTTTGTGTGTTCCACGAATTGTTGTTCTGAGTCTAGGTGTTCTTTGTGTCCGTTTCAAGATATATTCCTAATGCGGGAGTGGCTTTTTAAATATATTTATATATATATACATAAATCGATGCACTCCCAAAAAAAGGTTAGCCAATGAGGTTAATTAGGGTTAGCAAATGATTCAAGTGGTCTCTTAGGTAGTTAAATTTAAAATCGTGTTGTCCGTGTGGTTACGGATTAAGAATACGGATTGTCACCACCCCCAATCATCCCGTGGGTGTCGTAAGAGCTGATTAAGGGAGCAAACTAAGCAGGACAACAGCACTGCCAAGAGAAGGAAAACTTGACACAAACCCTATACCAACCCCTTTGACCAGCGTGGTATAGTAGGCCAAAACCTCCTTTCTAAGGAAAGGCCTATGTCCAGCAGTGGACTGTTAAAGGCTGATGATGATTGATGAAGCTTGTTAATTGTTTGTTTTATATATTATTACTTTTTTATTGTTATATTTAATTCTTTGTTTTATATTTATTCAATTTAGTGTTAAAACCACATAGATTTTTCTATTTTTAGTTTTACATAGTGTTACTCTATTATGCATGTTGCGACGCCTTAAAATGTTGTGCATTAATCTTAATATAATAGATGCATGCTTTAGATTTTAGTAAATAATGTAACAACTACTGGCTGTCCAATAAATAAAATAAAAAAATAACTTATACATCAATATTTGCATGTAAGCTACCTGTATTTCTATATTCTACAGATTTTTATTACAAAACTGAAGGGTTTGTTTGGTTGAACGCTCTTATCTCAGGAACTATTAGTTCGAATTGAAAAACTCTTTTAGAGTAAGTAGCCTATTTATCGAGGAAGTCTCCAGGCTATATAACATCACGCTACCACAAAAAAGGAGCGAAGCATCAATGAAAAAAGGTTGCAAAAGTTTTTCTAAAGTGTTAAAGCATAGAGACTTACTTGTTGTGAGAATTTAACAACATGTACGGAGGACGGGAGGGCCAACAACTTGCGGAGGTTCTCCCTCTGCTCCTCCAGGGTTGTATCCTTCGTGAGTTCGGGAGACAGTTGAGACAAACGCAGAACTGGCTTCGTTAGCTTCTTAAATAACTCTGTCGTAATGTTCTTTAATTGTTTTTCTCTTTCTCCTTAAAATATTATAACATCATCATCATTCCTATCCAAATTTTATATTGCGTCGGCGTACATCAAACAAAGCCCTTTTTGTTATATTAGACATTACAAAAAGTGCTTTGTTTGATGAACGCCGACACGTTGGTGTTCTTTCATGGACATAAAGAAACCAATACTTATTTACTTTTAGAAACTATTATTTCCTAACCATGACATAATTCTTGGGTACCACGAACGCTGCAGATGTTCATGGGCTGCGGTAATCCCTTATCATCAAGAGACCCGTCTGTTCCAATATATATATCCCCTATACCATAAAAAGTAGTTGCCGTTGAGACATAGGAGTGCCATGCTTCGGCTTGATCGGAGTGTTGTTTTGTTCCTTTTAACTTGCCTACCCCAGTGGGTATCAGTAAGGAATCAGTATTCCTTAGGAGGGAGGGAGGGGTCGGGTTGATATGCAGCAAAGCACTTGTGGATGGCAGCAATCTCCTTCTGTCAGGTAACCCATCAGCTGAATTGCCTCCAATGTCATCCAAAAAAAAAATTGTTCTGTGAGTGCTCAGACAGTGGTAAGACCTTTTTTTTTGTTACGGGGTGGAAAATCCCTTCGAATCTCCTGCTCCTCGGGGACTCAGAAGCCAGGAGTATGTGGTGGTGGATTCCACTAAAAACCACCCCGACGGCCGGCCTCAGGTGTCCTACTCTGGGGAGGACCCGAAGACAGTGATTTGACCTGAGGAGTTGAACCAACTTACGTGTATCAGCGTTCTCTAAGGCAAACAATTTCTTCTTTATAGTGTTCAAAGATATGTAGTCGGTGCCTCGAAATGAACTGTCAAATTTATTGCTGATCTTAGCAAAGATGGCTGGGTATTGAGTCCAATCTGAAATTAATAATAATAATTAAATATTTTTACAGTAATGTGCACCACTGCTGGACATAGGCCTCTCCTTAGAAAGGAGGTTTTGGCCTACTATACCACGCTGACCAGACGGGTTGGTATAGGGTTTGTGTCAAGTTATCCTTCTCTTTGCAGTGCTAGTTGTCTTGCGTTAACAATACAATAAACAACGTCAACGGCCCGGGGAGGGGTTTCCAGAAGTAAAAAAAAGGGTTTGTGTCAAGTTTTCCTTCTCTTTACAATGTTGTTATTGTTAAATAAAGATATGGCCAAATTTTTAGAAAGTTTATTTTTCAAACTACCCTAATTTTTTTTAAATACTGATTTTTTTTATTCACTTGTTTTTATTGTATTTTTTTTATTTATAAACAAAAAATATCAATTTTTGTGCACATTTTTTTGTGGATATTTTCGTAGAAAGCCAGATTTGTATGAAATACAGTAATAGCATCATTTATATGGGTACTTCCCTTTCAAAATATAAGTTTCATGTATCAATTCTTAAGACCAGGCATGTCGATTCATCCCGTGACATAGGACCCCTGCCAGGCCCGGAACTAAAAATCTCTTTTTAAACATTAATACCGTTCACTTTTTTCTGTATATTTTTACATTTTTTGTGATAAATAAACAATATTATTATAGTTTTAGTTAGTTTTTCTATCCGTGTGGTGACGGAGGTCCGTGTGGTGACGGATTAAGAATACAGAGTGTCACCACCTCTATTCATCCCGTGGGTTTCGTAAGAGCCGAACAAGGGAGAAAACTACGCAGAACAACAGCACTGCAGAGAGAAGGAAAACTTGACACAAACCCTATACCAACCCGTCTGACCAGCGTGGTGTAGTAGGCCAAAACCTCCTTTCTAAGGAGAGGCCTATGTTCAGTAGTGGACTGTTAAAGGCTGTTGATGATAGTTTTTCTAACAAACCTTTTGATAATTCAGCGCAATACCGCGCCAAAGTGTACGAAGGGTCGCAAACCAGTTGCAAATATTCCTTGCAGAGACCAAATGATTCTTCTTTATCTATTTTATATGACTTCCAGATACTGGTAGGAAACGCGTTGCTGACATTCTTTAACTGATCAATACTATATGTATCTAATGATGGTAGTATAAACATTATCTGCAAAATTAAGCTTTGATTAAAGTTTATTTTAGGTCGAAATTACAATGGAGGCACTTTAATACCTGACCATGGGAAAGTCCGGAGTGACACCACGGGCTCACAGAAAATCGCTGTTAAGGATTTCTCATTTGTCCGTGTGATGGCGGATTAGGAATACGGAGTGTCACCACCCCTATTCATCCCGTTCATCGTAAGAGGCGACTAAGGGAGCAAACTGCGCAGGACAACAGCACTGCAGAGAGAAGGAAAACTTGAAACAAACCCAAGGACAAAAAATCCTTTCTAAGGAGAGGCCTATGTCCAGCAGTAGACTATTAAAGGCTGTTGATGATTGATGAAGCATTTCTTTTCTTACTTTTACGGAATGAGTAAGTGTACCTAATGCTTTTCTCCGCCCCCCCCCCCCCCCCCCTCTACTTCTGGGGGAACAATCTAGAAATGTTGAAAAATAGTAGGTACACTAACCTCACTTCACACATCTCACACACACACACACCTCTGAGGCCCTAGTGTGAGTTTATTTGACATCAACTTGCCCTCGACAGCGAGCGCGTTCGGCCTTGCGATTGGTCAAGATTTCAGTGTGGGCCAATCGCAACGGTGAACGCGGTCACCGTGACGATCGTAAACTGTACTATGGTAACCAGACTGCTGATAAACATACTTATATATTTCTAAATACATACATATTATACATAAATTACACCCAAACACAGAACTGTAAGGACTTCTAGAAAGTACCTTCAAAAGTATAAACTTCACACATCTCACACGCGACCGTCTGATCCCAAGCTAGGCAGAGCCTGTAGGTACTATGTTAACCCGACTGCTGATAAACATACTTATATATTTCTAAATACATACATATTACAGATAAATTACACACAGACACAGAACTGTAAGGACTAATAAGAAAGTACCTTCAAAAGTATAAACATCACAATCTCACACACGGCTGTCTGATCCCAAACTAGGGAGAGCCTGTACTATGGTAACCTGACTGCTGATAAACATACTTATATATTTCTTAATACATACATATTTTAGATAAATTACACCCAGACACAGAACTGTAAGGACTAATAAGAAAATACCTACAAAAGTATAAACATCACACACACACACACGGCTGTCTGATCCCAAACTAGGCAGAGCCTGTACTATGGTAACCTGACTGCTGATAAACATACTTATATATTTCTTAATACATACATATTATAGATAAATTACACCCAGACACAGAACAAATTGATCGTGCTCATCCACAACAATTTGTTCTGGATGGGAATCGAACCCACAACCTCTTGCTTAGCAGTCAGGGTCTCTAACCATTAGACATACAGGACAGGGAATCATCTATTTAATTAAAATCATGTAAATTCTTTGTTACCTTATCCAATAGTTTCTTAGAGGTCTCTTCACTCAGTAGCCCTTCAAAAGACACCAGTCTATTCAATAATATAGATATTCTTAAATTCGAATCTTTTGTGAGATTGCCATCTGTAATATTTCCCACCAGTGTTGCCATGTCAGAAATTATTTCAGCTTGAGTGGACGTATCTGAAATTTTTATAATGCATTAAACTTCGGATGTTTTTACAACCATGAGAAGATTACAAAAAAAAATAGGTTATGCAAATTATTTACATTTTTTTGTATCTCTAATGTTTTTACCATAGACAACTGTTTTTCATTTAAAGTGGCTTGATTTAGACCCAATAAAGTTTTTAATTGATGGTGTATAGACTGCTTCTTGTGAATTAAAATCACTATTGTAGTCAATGCGAATTATGAATTGCCTAAACTGGGAATCGATTCCAAGCCTATAGCTACACAACTGGCAGGAGAATCAGTCAAGACAGGGACTTGTTTAATATATATTTGAAGAGATCGTGGGACGTATTTGTACATTAAAAAAAAATTAAACTGGCTTAACTCTCCCACCCCCCAAGGGGAAGGGGGGGCAAGGGGCATCGTGCCTGTGACTCTTGCGTGGTAAGTATCTATGACAAGCTATGACTATATGCCTAACCCCTCTGCTTGTTTACCAGATATAGAACAAAAAAACATAATATTCCTTACCACTGAGTTCCCATAACTCATCATAATGATCCATGGCGAACTCATAAAGAGTTATCAAATCGACGCCATTTTTGTTCGAATAGAAACTGCTGTGATCCTCAGTGATATTGTTGAGAGATAATAACATTTCATCCAACTTTGATTTAGACAATACTGAAAGAAAATCGTAAATATATGAAATGAATGAAATGAACAAAATACTGATCAAGTTATTTTTTTTTTGTGCTAAAGGCAGACGGGCAGACGGGTCACCTGATGGAAAGTGATCATCGCCGCCCATGAATGTCCGCAACTCAGTAGTCATTAACTCGACGACGCGGATGACCTATGACCCGTTACTGTCGCGCCCTTGAACTAGTGACCCAGTCACAGCTGAGCGAAGTCATTATTACCTCAATATCTACGTTATTTTATAATTATATTCAATGAAATAAACATATTTGGAATGCCTGATATATATTCTTCTAAACTTAATTACAGAGACGCTACCGCGTAAAAATTTGGTGTCACAACTGTTGTGACGGCGACGCGTCGGAGGTTAACGCGTTGGCGGCCTTTTAGGAAGGAGTACGCTCTTTTCTTGAAGGTTTGAAGGTCCGATAACCCGTTCTACAGATTGGTTGTGCGGCAAAAAGTGTCTCGAAAAGCGCACAGCAGTGGAGTGCCAACTATCCAGGTAATGAGGATGAAAATTTTGCCGTGTGGAACGATGGCGGAAAATTGCGGCTGGTATTAGTGCAAACAATTCTTCGGAGCACTCTCCATGATATATGCGATAGAGAATGAAGAGTGAAGTCACATCTCTACGTAACGCGAAGGGATCGAGCCGATCGGAGATGTTTGGGCTATCAAGTGTGTGTCGGGCTACGGTAGGGTTCCATAGATATTCTACGGAACCCTACCATGGCCCCCCTATAGGTAGTGACAATCCGTATTCTTAATCCGTCACCCTTATACTGTAAAAATTTAGAATAAATACCTCCTAGATCTTTTCGTAACTGCAAAATCAAGTGCTTTAATCCAAATGAGACATCTTTGTCTTCTCTTTCTGAAAAAAAAGATACATAAATGGAGTAGATATGACATGTATTTAATTATTTTTAGTGCTTCTTTCTTCTGCTTTTTTTTCTTCAATTTTTTTATCTTACTAGACAGTTACTTACTTTACTACAGTTTACACCTTAACTGATTAATGCAATAGGGTAGATGGCTGTTAAGTCAAATTAATATTTTTTTTAAACGTCTAAAGATATACTGTTGCGCCGTAAGATTAAATGGTTCGATTGTTCATAGGATAGGATTAAATGATTGTTGTATGGAATGTGGAGGACAGCGCCATCTAGTATCTAGTAAAGTACAACTATTGAGATTGTGGTTAATAAATCTGATACTTTACAGTAACGCTTAACCGATACTGGAATATTCTTATTTGTCTGAACCGGACTATCGAATACTAGGGATCTTTCTAGTAAATTCAAAAGCGCTATAAAAGTGGAGCGTGTTGGCCGTTCGACACAGTATCGTTTTACGACACAGCGAATTAAAATCCAAGTGAATTTCTAGTGCGACTAACGAGATATATAGTGATTTCTAATTTATTTTAGTGAGTGTTTGTAAATATACTGCAATAAAAGTAATTAACCGACAACTTTTATTTATGGTATACCCCACTTGTAACAATACGGTACATTTGTGATTATGAGTACTAAAGCGTGACGTTATACCGGTTTTTTTTTTAAATTATATTTGACTCATCTGCACACGGCCATATCATGGCAGACCCGTACGAGTACTATGGTAACCAGACTGCTGATAAACATACTTATATATTTCTAAATACATACATATTTCACATGCTCATCACACAATCATTTGTCCTGGATGATAATCGAACCCATTACCTCTGGTTCGGCAGTCAGGCTCACCAACCACTAAACTAACACGACCGGTTATTATCAAATCATTTATATCTAATATTGATTGAAAGAAATTAAAGCAATAAATTGATAATGGAGGACATTTCAGGCTGTACTTTAAGATGTTATATTTAAAAAGTCAGGTTAAATCATTTATTTTAAATCTAGGTACTTCTCTATTCAGCTATATTTTATTGCACTTCTGTAGAGTGTCTTCCTTTTTGATAGAAAAAGAGTGAGACACGATACATATAGATTTGAAAATATTGGATGTCATAATACGTTTTTTTTTTATGTTAGAGGGGGCAGACGAGCAGACGGGTCACCTGATGGAAAGTGCCTATCGCCGCCTGCTGATCGTCTGCAACTCAGGAGTCACAAACGCGTTGCCGGCCTTTTAGGAAGGAGCTTTAGGAGGAGCTCTTTTCTTGAAGGTTTGAAAGTCGTATCGGTTCAAAAAACCTTTTAATTATCTCAACATCGCCACCTCTGGACGGTTTGTTAAACGGTCCACAGGGGGAGGGTTTAAGAATCCAGCTTGTTTCGATTTCCATATAAAATGAATCAAAAACATACTTCAGCGCCATCTAATGAACACACACCGAACTACGGAATAACTCAGGCCGATTAGAATATACGACTTCCTAACCAAGTACGATCACCTCGCCTGGTCGGAGGATCCTCTCTTTGTTTTGGAGGGACATGACAACGGACACGTCGGATCTGAGTACCCTCATGCAAGTTCAACTTACGCGAACCAAGTGGATACTTGCACATGGAATTTGAGGAAGCCCCATGTCAAGCAGTAGATGTTCTAAGGCTGAGGTATGACGTTACCTACATTCCCGGAATTCTTCTATCACAGGCAGAGAGTCTCACACTATGTGGTGTTAGTCGGTCTGATTCCGACACACCACCCCGCCGCAAACCCCGGTGGGGGACGGCCCGAGGGGGTTGGCACACGTAAAAAGAAAAAGTGGTACGACGTCGCCTACGTCACAGATAGCCAGTGCCCGCGATATTGCGTCTTAATAACAGCTGTGCCTGGATCCTTCTTATTTCAGGCGCATAATTGTATACCCTGTGGTTTTAGTCAGTTCGATTCCGACACACCGACCCATTGCAAACCCCGGGGTTTACACGCGTAAAAAAAGTGATTATAACATGAACTTTAATTTATTTATTTTATTTTACATCTTCATGCACTTATGTACATCAGCGGACTTAATTCCCTACCGCCCAACCTATAGGTGGTGTAGAAATCTTATAGGGTAGGTGCACAGAGGTTACAACTTTTTCTTTTTATAAAAGGCTTACTAGCAATCGAAATTACTAGTTTTCTCGCTAACCCCTCCAGCTAAGCTAAATTGCTTGTGTTAGGAGTGGATTCACGTGGGTAGTGTACTGGTCAGGATTCGAATCCATGACCTCTTGATCGCAAGTCCAATACCTTAACCACTAAGCTACCGCCGCTTTTACTTTAAGGGCGAGGGTCATTCTTACCTGTTGCTTGTAGAGCCTTCTGTAGTTTGCTGGTATCATTTTCTCTTAAAGCCACAAGTCTTCGAGCCCTCACGTTCTCATAGAACCAGGGCAAAGCTTCGTTTACGAACAACGAGCTGTAGAATATATGGAATAATTATTATTTCTAACTTTTATTAAAGACTAGCTATTGCCCTCGGCTTCGCGCGCGTGATTATGTCTTTTTTCATGTTTCTGACTTTGAAAATGATGAACTCAGATCAAATAGTTCATCTCTTATTTTACCCCCTTAGGGATGAAATGTTCGAAAATTCTCTCTTAGTGTTTTTACAACATTAAAAAAAACATCAGCTGCAATATTTCAAGTTTGTAGACCCAGCGGATTAGGGTCTGCGTTGCTGAATCAGTCAGGGCAACTATTATTTTTTTAACTTATTATTTATTTAAAAAAGACAACTTCCGCATTAGGAATATATCCTGTGTCGCGGGGCACTTTACAAACATACACGTAACGGACACAAAGAACACCCAGACTTAGAACAACAATTTGTGGATCACACAAAGTGTAGTCCCATGTGGGGATCGGACCCACAACACTCAGCGTAGCAGTAAGCGGTGTGGTGACCGCTTAAAGCACTACGATATCCGTGTAAGCAAATGTATAGATTTAGTTTTAAGCTTTTTTACTCACTAAAATATAGTTATGTTCAGGGAAGTGACGTAGTCAGTTAAAACCCCATTGGGCCGCCACCCCATCAGAGTATTCGGTGGGGACACGGCCCATAATAAAATAAAAATACGTAAACTCAAATCGGCGACGTATTTGTTTGAAACCTCAATAGTATAAAAAGCCTTACCCTTTGTTCCTCTCGATACACTGAAGAGCCAGTTTTGGTAGTTGTCTCTCGTTGGCTTCTGAGCACCATTTAAGTTCATCACCACGACACATCATCGACTTTCTCTCATCACCATCAAAATATGCAGATCTAAAATTATAAACAAATGTGAATCAGCGACATAAATAATAATAACCTCAAACATCTCACACGCGACCGTCTGATCCCAAACTAGGCAGAGCCTGTATTATGGTAACCAGACGGCTGGGGTCCGGATGTCTTGATAACAGCTGTTCCCGGATCCCTCCTGTTACAGGCGCAGAGTGGCACACCGTGTGGTTTTAGTCGGTCCGAGTCCGACACACCACCCCGCCGCAAACCCCGGAGGGGTGACGGTCCGAGGACCCCCTCTCCACACGTAAAAGAAATGGTAACCAGACTGCTGATAAACAAACTTATATATTTCTAAATACATACATATTATAGATAAATTACACCCAAACACAGAACAAATAGTCGTTCTCATCTCATTATTCATTGTTCTGGGTGGGACTCAAACCCATGACCTATGGCTTAGCAGTCAGAAACGCTAACCACTCGACCTGCAGGGTTAATAAAAACTCTTAAGGAAGGTTTAGTATATTTAATATCACGCAACGTCTTTTGAGGAGCGGAGCAGAACCCTAATTACTAGAAAGTATTTTTAAGTAACATTGTAGAGATATGGTGTACCTGATCATTAGTCTAGCGGCCCATTCCGCTAAGCAGTCTGATGCCTTAATGTCACATGTCATCAGAGTATCATCTGCAGGCCATTTTATACCTTCTATTACCTATAAATAAAGTATAACTTGTTTTGAATATTTTTTCTGTTGTATTGATATTTTGTTAGGTTATTGTTTTTCGAAGTTTTTAAATCTTCAATTTGTATAAATGATAGGCTAGTTGACTCAATTTGAAAACTTGGTTAATTATATACTTTAATATCTATTTTATCCGAAAAAAAAATAGTTTAAAGAAAAAGCAATATTTCACGTATAGTAGGCCAAAACCTCCTTTCTAAGGAGAGGCTTATGTCCAACAGTGGACTATTAACAGCTGTTGATGAATATTTCACGTATTTTGTTAAAAAAATATTTAAATTTCCCTTGAAAACGCTAAACAGTGTCATGGCATCTTGAATGACGTCACAGTCTGCGAAACAAAACTGTTAACATCTGTGTCCAGTGTCAACTGAAACTGTATGAAGGTGAGAAAATATGCTAAAAACGAAAAGCAATAAGGTGTAACCTGCTCTGTTGTATGATAATGTCAACAACAACAACAATGATGTTTTTCGTGGTGTGACGTAACACTTTCTGATTTGGGTTCGCTGTCACGTGACTTTATAATGCCTATTTTGTTCGAATTTATTTTTTAAAAATATTAATAATCTTTAACTTTTATGAGAAATAGACTTGTTTTTTCTTATCTATGTCTCTTCATGTATAATTTGAAACTATATACCAAGCAATTTGTCATTTTATCAGACCCTTGTATCACCTAGTATACTTTAGAGGGGGAGTAATAAGTGTCAATAGGCGACGGTAGTCACTTATCATATTGGGATCCACATCTTCCTTTGATATCTATAACATAAAAATATATTTGTACTCACAGCAGATACGACAAAATCTCTGACAGGCCAACGTTCCATATCCCGTAACCAATTCTGTTTGAACTGTAGAATTGTTTTGCCCAATTTACTCGATACATACGATCCCGCCATCTTGTTAAACCAAAGTTTATAATCTGTAAAGAATAAAAAAAAGTAATCAAAAATGTTGTATTTAAGACCGAGAACAGGCCTATTCACTTAGGTTAGGGGCCATTGAATCCGAGAATAAATCACTAGAGTAATCCCCCTATTTCTAGGGGTGAGGGGGGTTTTAATGGCGTCAAAGCACTTGTGACTCTTGTGATGCAGGTGTACATAGGTGGCGGTAGTCACTTACCATCAGATAATCCGTCTGCTCGTAAGGCCCCTGTGACGTAAAAATTGTAAGCCGGCTCACAGTGAACCAGTTCTTTTCTAGATTTTCACCGAATAAGTAGCTTTCATCGAGTAAGTAAAGTTATCCGCAACCTTTCCCCCTGGCCCCAGAAAACAATCCCCCCACTCTCATGCCACTGAAATCGCAGTAACATATTAGTGTATACGTCCCGCTGGACCAGAGTGATTCCACGGTCTCTCTTTGATTTTCACCGAATAAGTGAGGTTACGGTTTTTTTTTTAAGCTATTGCATAGCTTCTATCGCGGGCCTTGAGCGCGGGGACCGAATCCAGAAATTCCATAACGAAAAAAAACCTCACGCTAAAAACAAAACAAAAAACAGTACATAAATCAAATGCTGAACGTCAAAGGAAATTTCGTCAACATAATGCAGAAAAATCTTACATGGATATGTAATTTGATTTAATAATAATATTTTTTATTTAAAAACAAATTGTTATATATGCTTCAATATTTTTATTTAATAAAAGAAAAAAAAATGTTTTCTTATCGGTCACCACGCTCAAAAAGTGTAACTTGAATTAATATCAAAGAAAAAGAAATACTGCATAAATAAAATAAATAAATAATTATAATTGCATAAGTTGATACAAAATGCTATGCAATAGCTTTATCGCGGCAGTCCCCGAGTGCCACACGTCTTTTTGTTTTATTTTTTAAAACAACTCCCGCATTAGGAATATATCCTGTGTCGCGGGGGACTTAACAAACATACATGAAACGAACACAAAGGACACATAGGAATGCCAAACCTTCCCCCTATTTCTCAGGGGGGGGGGGAGAACATTTGCGGCGGTAGTCACTTACCAAAAGATAACCAGTCTGCCCTATTGCCCCCGTTTATTTAGGGTAAAGGTACATACCTATATTCTTCTGTTTAGCTTCGAAATACTCCCCTAAATACGTCTTAAATTGTTCTCTTTCTACCATCAAGGGGGGTAACAACCCCTCTATACATTCTCTATCTTGTATTCTTAAATCCTCCCAATTCGATAGATAGCCAAATACTTCTGTAAGACCTGCAAGATATAATTGTTTGTTTGTATAAAACGCGATTATCTCCAGAACTGTTGGTCAGATTTTAATGATTCTTTTTGTATTGGATATAGTAATAATAATACCTTCACACATCTCACACACGGCCGTCTGATCCCAAACTAGGCAGAGCATGTACTATGGTAACCAGACTGCTGATAAACATACTTATATATTTTCATATACATGTTTTAGATAAATTACATCCAGAAACAACTAATGATAGTACCCCTTACACAATTATTTGTCCTGGATGAGAATCGAACCCACGACCTCTGGCTTAACAGTCAGGATGTACTAACCTTCTATGGAAAATTGTAGATTTTCATCCTTCATTTCAACGTCACCTGTTTCTTTGATACTGAAAAAAATAAAAATTATGTAAAAACTACCTATTATTTGCAAATGTTAATATATTTTCCATAATTGAAATAACAAATAAAAATGAAAATATCACACTAATACCATAAAGGTGTAAGTGTCTGTGTGTTTGTATGTTTGTTACGTCTTCACGCTCAAACGGCTGGACCACTTTCGATAAAATTTGGTATGGAGGTAGTTGATACATTGGATTAACACAAAGGCAAGAATGTAGTCTTCCCGTGGGATGAGCAAGGACTTGATAAACCGCGGGTAACACTGTGGGGCGCAGCTAGTAAAAAACCAGCCCTAGCCACTCACTAGGCGATAGGCAACAGGAGAATTGATTAACACCAGTTTGAGTTTGGTTCTCTGAGGCCCTGGTATCACTCCAGTCGAACCAGCCCTATGCCTACTAGGGTAGTAGGCACTAATCATAGGAGTGTGTCTATATATCTAAATAGCTGGTACCCGCGACTTCGTTTTGAATGGAATTTGAAAATCAATGCCTTAGTGGGTTCGATTCCCGGACCGGACAAAACTTTAAACAGTATTTTCTGAGAGGAGAAATAGCCCAAGTAACTTTTTATATAGACAGCAACCTGGTAGTAAAATATAATCAAAATCGGTCAAGCCAAACAAACAGACAGATAAATAAATTTAAACTGGTTTTTAGGCATAGATATCGTGCAAATAATCATGTGAGCATGAAAAACATCTATTATTTTGGCATTACAAACAGACACTTCAATTTTATTTATTTGTATAGATATATATTTAATACTCACCTAAAATTAAAGAAGTCTCTTCCATCACTACGTAGAATTAAGTCTTCGATTATTATATCATAATATGCTAACGCCTCTGCATTTAATACTTTTCGTTTCACAATTTTCAAAGAATCTTTTAACCTAAAAAATAAACTCTTATATGTACAACACAATCATACTACAATTGATGGGACTAGACGAGTAAGTAAGAGTAACTTCAAATAACAAACGTTACGTTACGTTACGTTATGTGATAAAAATATACAAGAAAACAAAATAAAAAAATAGTATTCCTTACTCATCACCAATCAGTAACTATAGTCCATCCGCGTTAAGAAAATAGTGACGTATTGATCAGAGCACACTAACCAATCAGGTTCCAAGCTATCAAACGAAACGATAATTTCTTTGAACGTCATTGGTCAGCGGGAGGGGCTTGGTATAGATAGATATGTTTTTACTTACCCGTCTACTAAATTGATACTATCCAAAAAGATTCTAGAAGCTTCTAGAACTAATGGAGTCACACAGTTAGGTTCTTCTTTCAGCATGTCAGTTAGCAACTTAGCCATTACTGAATCGAGACCAAACCTGGGTCCAGAACCTTGTAGTTGAAGACACTTCATTAATTTAAGACACAGCTCTTTGCATATTTGGGAGTTTACCTAAAAAAATAGAATTATCATAGACTTTTTCTTTTCCATGATGCACCTATCAGTCTATTCATAGGCCATAGGCCTCTCCTTAGAGGTTTTGGCCTACTATACCACGCTGGCCAGACGGGTTGGTATAGGGTTTGTGTCAAGTTTTCCTTCTCTCTGCAGTGCTGTTGTCTTTCGTAGTTTGCTCCCTCAGTCGGCTCTTACGACATCCACATGATGAATGGTGGTGGTGATATTCCGTATTCTTAATCCATCACCACACGGATAGTCAGTCAGTCTATTCGAAGAGTTAAGACTAAGTGAAGTGAGAGAACGGACGTGCTGTGAAGGACGGAAACGGAAGTGGTGTGAGGGACTAACTGACATGCTGTGAGGGACTAACAAATGTGGTGTGAGGGACTAACGGTAGTGGTGTGAGGGACTAATGGTAATGGTGTAAGGGACTAATAGCCGTGGTGTGAGGGACTAACAGACATACGGTAAGGGACAAACGGAGGTGCTATGAGGGACAAGACCAGACGATATAACTTTCACTGATACTGCCCTGGTAGGTTTTCTGTACACCAGAGTCAACTACACCGTGGGTGAATCAAATAAGTAGTAAATTATTAAACAAAACGTAACACCCGTTGTCTTTGTCTGTGTCGATCAACATCATAACAAAATTACCTTTGAGGACTGCACGAAAATTTCGAATATATCCGCCACAGACATTTGTACGTCAATTTCTCGACGAGCACTCCCTGAAAATAGTTTTTTTTTAATGAGTTGTTAGAAAACTATCTAAAGTACTATCATGCAGAAAGTAAATACAGTCTGTAAGGCACGTAAAAATTACGAAAGCGAAGCAGCAGAAGCAGTTGTCTAAATTTAATTACAAGTTTTTTTAAGATCACTCTTGTGGCGAATTCTACGCACATTCAGAACATATTTTAACGCCATCTAACAAAGACAGAAATACGAAGTAACTACTAATCCTGCATCGCGCAATGAAAGTTTTCGCGCCGATGGGATATGTATTTATTACCTCGCTACATCAAATATTGCGCCGCGGCCCGCCAGGCATGATCACCTCGTCTGTTGGAGGGTCATAACATCCGTACCTCCACAAATCATCTTTTTTTCTTATTTAAGATTATCAGCATCCCGTGATTTATCAGATACACTAAAAAGTGTATTATTTCATCAACATCATCAACAGCCTATATCAGTCCACTGCTGGACATATGCCTCTCCTTAGAAATTAGGTTTTGGCCTACTATGACTGATATACTATGGCCAGACGGGTTGGTATAGGGTTTGTTTCAAGTTTTCCTTCTCTTTGCAGTTTTGTTGCCCTGCATAGTTTGCTCCCTTAGTCGGCTCTTACGACACCCACGGGATGCATAGGGGTGGTGACATTCTCACACGGACTATTATTTAACGGACGTATTATTTAACCAGAAATATATTTCAATTCCTTTTTCATCCCACGGGAACACTACTTTTTTCGGAATAAAAACTAGCCTTTCAGCCTTTTTTTTTCCAGGGTGTCATCTACCTCCATACCAAATTTTATCAAAATTGGTAAAGCCATTTGAGCGTGAAGAAGTAACAAACACACAGACATACTTTGGCCTTTATAATATTAGTGTGACAGTATATTTTACATGTTGTGTTACTAAGGAATTACTTACCAAGCTGTTTTTGTCCAAAGGTTCTCCCAATAGTAGCGTATGTAATGTACCCAATATTATTATCACTGAAAACAATTATATAAATAAGCTAATTATTGAAAAAAAAAACAGGACTGCGTGAAAATAATAATAATAACATCACACATATCACACATTCTCTTTTTTTATGGTATAAGGGGCAAACGAGCAGACGGGTCACCTGATGGTAAGCAACTACCGCCGCCCATGGACACCTGCAACTCAAAAGTCGTTGTTGCCGCCATTGCCGCCCATGGAGTCCCTCCCGCTCGAGTCAGCGGGAGGGGGGATTTGGGCTCCGGTAACCTCACTCACTCACTGAAAGGCAACGAAAGAATTGCTTAACACCGGTTTTCTGTGAGGCCTTGGTATCACTCCGGTCGAGATGGCCCATTCGTGCCGAAGCATGGCTCTCCCACGTACAAGCTTTTCTTTCGTAGCTTTTCACCGAGTAAGTAAGGTTACCGGAACTCAAACACCTCTTCCCTTGTGACTCTTGAGGTTCAAGTGTCCATGAGTCGAGGTAGTCAGTTGCAACTTGCCCTCTGATGGTATCAGAGGGCCGAGTGCATTTTTTTTTCTCATGGCGAGTCTCGATGGTGAGCGCGTTTAGCACTGCGATTGGCGGAGATTTCCGTGCGGGCCAATCGTATCACCGAACGCGGTCACCGTGACGATCGAATAGAAGTGAAATAAACTCCCACTAGGCCTTCAGGTTACCCTGATCTACACAGGCCAACAAAATTTGTAGAAACTAGAGTATTCTTTCCCAAAGGATTTTGGTGCGAAGAATCGGAATTCGGCCGCAGAATTGCTCTATCACGTCAGGTTTTTAAGATGTTCTAGTCTGAAAGTTCAAAAAACGCTATTTTTGAGGTTACATTTTATTATGCCTAAAAAAGTATAAAGGGTATCTTGAAGTTCAAGTCTTTAGCTTTCAAATGACGTTGAGTTTGCTAAAATATCTTTTTTTTCGCTGAGATAGTAGTGAACAGGGTTTGCTTAGTTTAAAGGCTTGTAGTTCAGTTAAAGCTTGTTATGCTTAGCTGAATCCTTAGGTTAGAATATCTCAAAAACCTGATGTGATAGAGCAATTCTGCGGCTGGATTTGGATTCAGCGCACCAAAATCCTATTAAAAAAGTATACTTTGGTTTCTGGGTAACAATTTTGTTGACCTGTGAAATAAAAACGGTTACAGAGCCCTTGACCCTTTTTAAATATTAAAAAATACTGACCTTGGAGCCAAAGGTTGGTCACTTAACTTGACATCTGTATATCCATCTTGCCGCTTCAAATCTCTAAACAGTAAATCTAACAATATATATCCACAGTGTGACAATTCTTTTCTATCCTTCCTTGCCATATAAAATATTAAATAAAATAGTTCCGCAAATCTGAAAGAGGGGATTATTATTATTTTATTATTTGACTGCGCGAATGGGGTAGTTGTTTAAGCGGTCGCCACACCGCTTACTACTACGCCGAGTGTTGTGGGTCCGATCCCTACATGGGACGACACTTTGTGTCCGTTTCATGTATGTTTGTAAAGACCCCCGCGACACAAAATTTATTCCTAGAGTTGTCTATAAAAAAATAAATAAACTATCCGTACCCTGCCACGATTCGCTGTGATGATAAATGATTAAATGATGATGTTTGAAGTGAAGTGTAGTGATATTTATGTCTGTAAGTTAATCTTTTAAGATATTTTTGCAAGTCTTTACAGCTAGAAGGAGCCGGTATTTCCTAAGACTCACTCTGGGAAGAAACGCCGAAACAAACCACGAGGTGTCTTTTTTTTTTAAGTCCGTAAACAAAGGTAAATAAAACTGTGCGAGTACAGTATAGAGTCTGGATAGGGCTTTTGAAGAAAGGACCATTGTTTTGAGTCGGCCTGTCCATACAGACGGCATACCGTGGTGTGTGAAATGTTGTGGTTGCATTGATAAGAAATAAGGAATAAAACCGACGCAAAAATTAGAGAAAAACAATCTTTGAATTTGGTTGTGTATCGTGTCAAAATTTGAGCTCAATCGGTGTAGAACTTTTTGAAGTTTTGAAACGTACATACACCAACTTAATTTTTTTAGATACGGGTGAAAGGGACGGTGTAACGAATACTGTCATAGTGTATTGAGACCATCATTCTGAGTCAAAAATCATTGGAATTTTCAATCAGCTGTCAAAGGTCATTCCCGTAGGTATCGCACAAAAGTGATAACTACATTTGTATTCCCGAAAACACACACTAACACAAGTTGGCGGCCGGGGGGTTGGCGGTTGGGGCCCTGTTTCGGCTGTTTGGTTAAATACATTGCAGTATTTGACCGTATTATATATATTTATTAAAAAAAGCCGGTGAAATGTTTCTCTGTCTCATTGTCATATCATTATGAAAACATACATATATAAAAATTATAAAAAAATTAATTTGATGAATTTTCCAGCAGAAAACTCCAATGATTTTCAAGTATTCGTTACACTGTCCCTTACACTCTGTATATAGATAAACTTTTAACTAACTACTATTTTTCACTAGGTAAAAAAAATAGATTTTTTGTTCCCTTAATTTTTGTAAAATTATTTTGGGTAATTGTCTTGCCTCGCCAATACCGAGTATGTCTACAGACATACTCATGCATACAAATATTTACGCAAAGCCGAAATCGAACTTGTGAATTCTGACATTCTGCATCATTCAATAGGAAAGCTGTCTTTATTTGAGAAACCGCAAGCGAAACCGCAAAACTAAACCTAGTTAATAATTATTATTATTTAGAATTTAACACGTTATAATCTTTAGAGATTGAACAGTGAATATAAAGAACGATTGGTAAAAATTCATCAAATCGAATTTATAAAATTCACCAAATATTTGTATCTTCTACTACCCATTGTAACTCTGATTCTGATAAATTACAAACCTCACAGCCATATCCTTAGAAAGGCAGGTTTCCACACCATCCCTCATCATATTGGCTATCTCCTCATTTCCATCAAACACTCCTTGAGACACTTCCTTCACTATAATCTCATGGAAACCCGTAGACCCCAAGGTGTCTAGTATGGGAGTGCTTTGGAGCGCCCTTCTCTTTGCTGAGTGATCTGTTTTGACTATCACTAAATCTGAAATCATTTTGAATGATTGTTTTAAACCTTTGCGACTTGTATACGTTTGCATCGAATTGTACCGTTTGTGGTCATGTATGATCCTTGGTCCACGATCGGTACAATTTAACCAGATAGGTTTGGCACCTGTCTGGATTATTACTGACATAAGTTGCATAAGAAGATCTGTGGGAACCATTACGGGTATCTCGAGCCCTAAAACAGTCCAATGACAGTCTTTCTACAGAACTTCGATATCGCCTAGTCCTTGGGTTGTACAGGTCTGATTGCAGTCACTTCGCGTTAAATATCTAAATTCAGCTGAGCAATTGACTTAAAGCCATTCTGACCGTTTGGGAAAAAGGCTAGATGGAAGAGAAGGGCAGACGAGCAGACGGGTCACCTGATGGAAAGTGACCATCGCCGCCCATGAACCTCTGCAACTCAGGAGTCACAAACGCGTTGCTGGCCTTTTAGGAAGGAGTACGCTCTTTTCTTGAAGGTTTGAAGGTCGTATCGGTCCGGAAAAACCGCAGACGATAACCCGTTCCACAGATTGGTGCCTCACAAGGAACCAAGTCAAAATATTTGACTATCAAGACTACTAATAAACATACTTAAATATTACTAAATACATACATATTATACAGGAACTACACCGTAACATAGAACAAATGATGGTGCTCATTACACAATCATTAGTTCTGGGTGGGAATCGAACCCACGACCTCTGGATTAGCAGTCTGCGTCACTAACCACTAGACCAACAGGCCCATCATGATGACGACGAAGAAGATAGGGACAAAATACCTTGAAATATCTTCAATATGACCGCAAATGCTTGTTTTCGGACACTCACAGAGCTGTTGCGACAGTTAATAGAAACTGCGTTTAATATATCCTTTTTCATTTCACTGTCCATGAACTTCAGACCATTGTGCGCCACCTTAAGGAGAAAGAAATATTTTTATATTAGTTTTAAACGTAGAAGACCTGTGCTCAAGCACATTTGTCCCGTATATCATAAACAGCCCTTAACAGTCCACTGCTGGACATAGGCTTCTTCTTACAATGGAGGTTTTGGTCTACTATACCACGCTGGCCAGACGGATTGGTATAGGGTTTGTTTCAAGTTCTCCTTTTTCTTGCAGTGCTGTTATTTTACACAGTTTTGCTCCCTTAGTCTTACGACACCCACGGAATGAATAGAGGTGGTGACACTCTGTATTCTTAACACGTCACCACACGGATAGTCCGACGGTCGAATCTCACGTCCCGGATGAAGCTTTAGTAATTCTATCGTTATTTTTCACTGAGTGATTGAGGTTACTGGAGCTTAAAACCCTTACCCCCACATTCTGAGGAGGGATTCAAAGGTCGGAAACGGTATTGACGAATCAGCTCGCCTATACGAGAAAAATAATAAAAACAACTCTCTGAAAAAACAGCTCTCCCTTGAAGAAGAAACAACCTTATGCCGCTTGATATTATAATCACACTGTCCTAAGTTTATTGAAGCACCATACTATAAGAGACTGGGCTCCTAAATCAATTAAGTCATATAAACGATATTTATACAGCTTTTGAAACACCCGAACATGAAACAAACGAGGGTAGCGACTGTAAAATTTAGAAAGCTATGAGCAAAGCATATTTAAATGATGTATTCATTAACAACAAAATCATAGATAGTTAGTTTTAGTTAATACAAAAGTTCTAGGCGTAGTATAGTTACGGAGTACCCCAAGGCAGTATACATGCACCCACTCCTTTTAATGCACTTTAACAGCATTTTTTGAAATTAATTACCTTTAATGCTTCGATTATTATTTTATTTTCACCATCCAAGAGTTCTTTAAGTCCAATAATTTCAAAAATTTCGGTGCATGAGCTTTCTTCAACACAATTTTCTAAATATACAGAAATTATTGACAGACAACCAGCTCTTTCAACTTTAGACGCTAAGTCTGTGATTATTCTGAAAAAATACGATAGCAAATGTATTACTAATTGGGAAAAATAGAATCTAAATAGATTAGTACTGATGATGATCTTCAAACAAGCATCATCATCATCATCATCAGCCTATCACAGTCCACTGCTGGACATAGGCCTCTCGTATTGCACGCCACTTAGACGCAAACAAGCATACAACACTATAACTAGACAAATAGGATCACAAAAACGTTTCCAAACCACGCTCTATCGCTCCCTCTTCGCGGCTAATCATCAGCAGAAAAGAAAACAAAAAAGATGTACCATATACTGGTACTACCAGGGTTGCACTGGTGGTAACATCAAATAATGATTGATGTCCATACCAAGCCAAAGGTATTGAAATCTATTTCCATACCTTGGGCGCAATTCGAGCAGTTTCCCATACCTACCTAAAGTTTTGTCTATTACAACATTTTGGATCAGCTCGCTGAGCATACTTCAACACCCTGACGTAATCGGTCACTTTAGTACTCTTCACGTTGGCCAAGATCTGCCAGAACTTCGGTAAGAATTCTTCTTTGTTTGTTTCCAGAGACAACGCCAGCCCAAACACTTCTGGCAACTTGGAGGATTTCATCCAATCATTGACCTCAAACTTAGCGAGTATTTTATTAAGAAGCTCTGGTATTAGTATTCCATTTTTTAGGATTCTTTGGAGTATAGGATATAGGTAAGGTGCTGTTTTTGGCATTTCTGAAAATAAAAACAAATTATATCATATCACCTTTTATTGCTGGGCATTGGACAGTACCGTGAGAGAGCAATGCTTCGGCACGAATGGGCCGGCTCGACCGGAGTGATACCAAGGCCTCAGAGAAAACCGGTGTTAAGAAATTCTTTCGTTGCCTTTCACTGAGTGACTGAGGTTAAAGGAGCCCAAATCCCCCCTTCCCCTGACTCGAGCAAGAGGGACTCCAAGGGCAGCAACGCACTTGTGACTTTTGAGTTGCGCGCGGTATGGGCGGCGGTAGTAGTTGCTTATCAGGTGACCCGACTGCTCGTTTGACTCCTTATACCATAAACAAAAAAAAACAGGCTGGTTTGTATAGAGTTTGTCCAATTTTCCCTTCTCTTTTTGCAATGCTGTTGTCCTGCGCAGTTTGCTCCCTCAGTCAGCTCTTACGACACCCTCGGGATGTGTAGAGGTGGTGACACTCAGTTTTCTAAATTTGTCACCACACAGACAAATTACATACCTATATTATACTAGCTTCTTACTGGCTTTTAGTCCTGGTTAGAGGGGTTTGTAAGGCTTCACCCTTCTCCCAGTTAATTCTAGGGGAGATCACTTAAAAGGCGGCAACGCACTTCTGTGTTTTGAGTTGACATGGAGTGTCCATGGACGGCGCTAGTCACTTACCATCAGCTACCACCATGAAAATACAAAGAAATCTCACCATTAATATGTTTCTGCAATTCATCCCAATCAATATTCATACAGCTGCCGTAGATGTGCAGTACGTTATTGAGGGTGTTCAGTAAACTCCTGGAGACACCCTCTTGAGACCTATGTTCGATGCATGTCGATATAAGATACTTAGCACACAAACTTATACTGTTATAATGTGGCAGTACCTTTATGTCCCATTTAATTACAGTCCAAAGCTGGAAAGAATACAAAAATAAATTTGAAGTAGGCATTAAATCCGCCAATGCACCAAAAGTGCATGATGTATAAATAAATAAATAAATGTTGTGATTGGTCGCGGAATAGTTAGTAAAGCCGACTATCTGGTCACTTTTGTAGTCGGTTACTAGTCGGCAAAAAGCGCCGACTATTCGGCTTCTTAGCCATACAGGAGTTTTTCTTTTTGTAATAATTAAATTTTATTGAACAACAGTATTTATTTTAAAACAAACCTCGATCTGACGAATGCTAAAGTAAAAATCAAGAAATAATGCAAGGTAAACAAAACATGGTTCGACGATTAGTTGGCATTTTTACAACCAACTAATCGGATAGTCATGGTAGGCACATCACTAAAAACTTGATTGGATCTTTACTATAATATTATAAAGCTAAGCTAAGGACTAAGGGAGCAGACTACGCAGGACAACAGCACTGCAAAGAGAAGGAAAACTTGAAACAAACCCTATACTACCGTCTGGCCAGCGTGGTATAGTAGGCCAAAACCTCCTTTCTAAGGAGAGGCCTATGTCCAGCAGTGGACTGTTAAAGGCTGCTGATAAAGGAGTTATTTTGTAAGTTTGTTTGGTTGAACGCCCTAATCTAAGAAACTACTGCTTCGAATTGAAAAATTCTTGTAGTGTTGGATAGCCTATCTATCGAGGAAGGCTGTAGGTTAAATGGCATCACGCTATGACCAATAGGAGCCCAGTATTATTGAAAAATGTTGCAACAACGGGTAAAAAATATTCTTTTTGAGAGACCCAGAGGTGTGCTTATCAGTTAGTGTATGTATAAAAGATGTATCTTCTACTCACGATATCTACGTGAAGATTGTTCAAAACTTGTCTATCGCCGATAACTTTAGGTGTAGTGGCGACGAGGTCAAGCAGCGCCGGGGTCAAAACACTAGCGTGTGGCTTCAGTTCCGTTCTAGCGTTACATATAGCCTGTAATTAGGAAGTAGGTTATTGAATATTTGATAATAATAATAAATCCGACTCTCATCCGTACAAGCTATCTATGTGGTTAAGATTGAGAGGCCTGCTTGGTTACATGCAAAATATAGTTTCTCTCTGGTAGGTAACCTAAAATAATAGTGATCACCACGTCAGCGCCACGTCACATCTGATCACGGTCTCACAGACAACTAATTACTCATGACCACAGATAGCGTAGTATAGTGTTGCACGTACGTCAATAGTTATAAGCTTTAAAAAAAATGAAATATTATTGTAAGTTGTATTAAGTTGGTTATTTATATTAAGTTGTATGCTGTGTTTTCTTACAGAATAAAGTTTATTTTATTTATTTATATTTTATTTAAATAAACAAGTATCTGGATCTAGACCACGAGATTATAGAAATGTGGGATGTGGATTTGGCAATCATTGTGCCGATGTCATATCAGCCCATCTTCACAGGCTCGTGTTAGGAAGCTGGATTAAGGTCCTGATGCAGAAAGCAGTTCTTCTCGATACGGCACGTATTGTCAAGTTTCTGTCTGTGGAATCCTAACTATCAGTATTTTGGTCCCTGTACCCGATATTGATGACTCTATTTTTTATATGTTTAAATGTATTAATTTGTACATAAACATATTTAAAATGTAATCTAATATATATAATTCTCGTGTCACGGTGTTAGAAGTTGAACTCCTCTGAAACGGCTCGACCGATTTTCGTGAAATTTTGTGTGCATATCGGGTAGGTCTGAAAATCACCCAATTTTTTTTTGTCAATTTTTTTTAATAATGTATATGGCAAAACAACGTTTGCAGGGTCATCTAGTTTATATGTATATTTAATAAAATAAAAAGGGTAATAATAATATCTAACGGTACAGCAACGAATTAATATGGGATGGATGAAGTGGCGGCAGGTAACCCCTTACCTGCCGCCACTTATATTTTCTGACCCCATTTTTCCCTTAACACTGAAGGGACACGCCTGAACGTAGCCGAAATGCAAATGCTGAGATGGATGATTGTTTTTTTCTTTTATGGTATGAGGGGACAAACGAGCAGACTGGTCACCTGATGGTAAATAACCACCGCCGCCCATGGACACCTGCAACTCAAAAGTCGCAAGTGGGTTACCGCCCCTGGAGTCCCTCCCGTTCGAGGCAGCGGTTGGGTTGATTTGGACTCCGGAAACCTCACTCACTCAGTGAAAGTCAACGAAAGAATTGCTTAACACCGGTTTGACTCGGGTGGACTAGGTTAGGAATGAGTATATACGAGGGAGTCTGAAAGTAGCGCCACTGGGTGAAAAGTTGAGAAGTAATAAGTTGGACATGTCATGCGGAGGGATGAGGAAAATGTGACCAAGAAAGTGTTAGGCATGGGAGTTGAAGGGTATCAGAGAAGAGCTAGGCCAAAGAAAAGGTGGTTGGACTGTGTGAGTGAGGATATGGCTAGGAAGTAGAATGGAAGAATTATACGCACTGCGCTGACACCAAATTTCTACACCACACAATGGTTGACTGGAAGAGAATGCCTTGGGCAAAGTCCGCCGATGTACAAAAGTGCATAAAGTTTGAAATAAATAAATAAACTCTTCTATGCGTTGATATTCTTACACTAAAAGATACTAAGAGTTTTTAAATCATTTCCGATCTGCTCTGACGGTCCAGGAGGAATACAGAGGAAGCAACTTCAACTAAAAACTCTTACTTAAGATCTTTAAACTCAAATATAGTAAACGCGTTTGTGACCCCTGAGTTGCAGACGTTCATGGGCGGCGATAGTCACCTTCCATCAGGTGAAACGTCTGTTCGTCTGCCAGCTCTAACATAAAAAAAAGAACATAGATCTTTCAAAGAAACTAATTACCTGTGCCAGAGTCCACTTTGCGTTTACTGGTAAATTAGATGTAAGTCCTTCAGCAAGTTTGGTCAGCCAATCCGTATGTTCCAGGGTGCTGGAATGTTCCAGCAGTGCGGTGATGGAAACCAGACAGCCATGAGCGTTCAGCGGATGGTTCTCGTAACCAACTGGTTTCTCTTCTTCAACATCCTGGTCAGTTTAAATGTTCTTATAAATTCATCCCGTGGGTGTTGTAATAGCCGGCTAAGGGAGCAAACTATGCAGGACAAGAGCACTGCAAAGAGTAGAAAAACTTGAAACAAACCCTATACCAAACCGTCCGGCCAGCGAGGTACAGTAGGCCAAAACCTCCTCCACAAGGAGAGGCTTATGTCCGGCAGTGGACTAAGGCTGTGATGATGATGATAGGTAGTGCACACGTCTCTATTTCGGAAACGTCTGATACACTGGTACTCTCCTGAGCAGAGCTTTTAATCAAGCAACGAGACTTACTGTTTCGGTGTCAGACATCCTCAAAACAGACACGTAATTGATTTTGAATCAGATTTTTGAGATTCAATTATCAATTAATAAAATAAGGATATTAATAATATATTAATAGTTTACATTAATGTATATAGGGATTTATTAAATATGAATACAAATTATGAAATATTTTGTAGTTGCATGGAATAAAAGGCTTTTTTAATTTTTTTATTTTACAAATTATGGAACTCTTCTTACTTTTTTTTTTTTTTTTTAAAGACAACGCCCGCATTAGGAATAAATCCTGTGTCGCGGGGGGCTTTACAAACATACATGAAATGGACACAAAGAACACCCAGACTCAGAACAACAATTTGTGGATCACACAAAGTGTCGTCCCATGTGGGGCCCGAACCCACAACACTCGGCGTAGTAGGAAGCGGCGTGGCGACCGCTTAAACCACTACGCCATCCGTGCAGTTACTGTACTTACATTATCTTCCTCCTCATCTTCGTTTGGTATCATGTCATACTGCATAGGATTCTCTGACAGCGTGGCCATGAATAAACTAGAAAAATCATTTTTAACTTACCACTATTGAAATGAAGTAGTTCGAATGTACTTTAGTCATCATCATCATCAATCACCATCAGCCCTTAACAGTCGACTGCTGGACATAGGCCTCTCCCTACAAAGTAGGTTTTGGCCTACTATACCACGCTGGCCAGACTGTTGTTGTTTGCACAATTTGCTCCCTTAATCGGCTCTTACGACACCCATGGAATGAATAGGGGTGGTGATACTCTGCATTCTTAATCCGTCACCACACCTTTAGTCACTTAATCTTAGTAAAGCAGCTGAACGGATCTGGGGAAATTTGACACTGAGGCATAGGCTGTTATGACACATAGGTATTTCTTGGAAAGTTGATGGACACAGTGAGCAAAACAACGCGTAAAATTTAGTAATATATAATTATTAGTAGTATTAACAATAAAAACAAAAAGGCCCAAAGCCACCCTTACTCTGGGGGGTTACACACACGATGGGAAAGCACTTATATATATTAAGTTGCAGGTGAGTACATCTGCTCGTAGACGAGGGTGGAAGTAATTAGGGGTAAACTCCGCTGTCCGTGTCCGTGTAGTGACGGTTTAAGAATACTATGTATAAGATTTAATGTAACAGCAACTGGTTTTCCTTAATAAATAATAATAATAATAATAATAATCACGAGATTGTCGATATGTGGAATGTTGATTCAGTGATCATTGTTCCGATAGTCGTATCTGCTCACGGATTGATAGCCAAGAGCCTCGACCAACACCTTAAGAGGCTCACGTTGGACGGCTGGATCAAGGGTCTGATGCAGAAGGCAGTCCTCCTTGACACGGCTCGTATAGTGAGGAGGTTCCTATCTTTGGAGTCCTAACCACCGGTGTCTTGGTCCCTGTACCCGATGTCAGTGGTCTACTATTTTTTATATTTTTAAATGTATTTTTTTATATTTTTTTATAAAGTGTATGTTTAAAAATGTAAATAATATGTATATAAAGTAAATAAAGATAATAATAATATTTTAGACATCTGACACAACAACTCACAACGCCATCTAGTTTCAAACTAAGCAGAGCTTATAGTATAAAAACTAAATTGACTGATAGAATACTAATGTATATATTATTTTTTGTAAATACATACATATTATATATAGAAAACACCCAAACATCAAAACAATTTTATACCCAACATTAGCTCCGACCCGGGCATCGCACCCGAGACCTCAGCACAGCAGTCGCTTACACTACTACTGCACCACCGAGGAAGTCAAATGAACCCTTAATACATAAAACGACTTCCACAGATTGAGATATAAAATTATACAAAATCTTTAACAATATCTAATAAAAAAAACCTTACCTGGTCCGGACTGTCCTGGAGTAGGTTAAAGTGGTTGATACACTACTCGGTCCCTGGCCGTCAGCACCGCCAGGTTGTCGTGATTTGGTGTCACCCTAACATAAACAAAAAGAAAGAAAAAGTATTTATTTAAGTGACATATTAAATAACTTATAAACTAAATAAAAAACAGAACAATATATACTATAGTTGACTTTGTGAATCAGTTAATGCGCGCTTATCGCGCTCTGAGCGGATGGGAGCGAGACCGAAAAACGTGTAACAAGACTTTTTGCCGACACTTTTTGTTCCAGATCATTCAGTGTTTAATTTATCATTATTTATGTTATACACAATAAATATCATTTATGATATTTTTTTTCTATTTACTTGATATTTAAATTTAAATTATAATTACTGTATAGAAAACGTCTACCAAAAAGCGAAAGGAAGTTCATTCCAACCGGGGGTCCATAGACCCCTCACGCCGTTTTTTTTTTTTGGAAAGTGACTTCCGCCGACGATGGACGCCTGCATCTCAATACTCACAAGTGCCATGTGACCCTTTGAGCACCCTTCCCTCCCCCAAATTGAGGAAGGCATGCTGGTTGAGCTCCCGATACACTTACACACTTGGTGAAAAGCATGGAAAGATTATTTATTTTTTTATAGTTTTTAATATATTGCTAAGTAATATAGGAGTTGTTTCTTACCCAGTAAGCCCTTGGCCACAAGTCGTGCTGAACGTGAGGGTCCACAATCTTGGTCCACGCAGACATATCGAACACGGCGGCGTACTGTTTCTGAGATGGTCTTCTCTTACATATCGCTGCGGTCAGGCAGTTGTATGCTGAGGTTTGGAGACGCCTGCATAAGGTAAAAATAAAAATCGCTAATAAGCAAAAAGGTACATATACACATGGCAAACTAAGCGGGACAACAGCACTGCACAGCACAAGAGAAAGAAAACTTGACATAAACCCTATACCAACCTGTCTGTCTGTTTCTAAGGAGAGGCCTATGTCCAGCAGTGGACTATTCAAAACCGTTGATAATATACGACTACTACAAAACGACTGAGAGCCGAAACAAATGAAAAGCGCCCCAAAGCGAAAACTTTTTGTGGATCGCATCAAGTGAACCATGTGGGGATCGACTCAACAACACTCAGTGCAGTAGGAAAGGGCGAGTTCACCGCTTAAACCACTACGCCATCCGTGACGACCGTCAGCCGTACAGACTGCTGATAAACATACTTATATATTTCTAAACACATACAGAATATAGATTAATTAACCCAGAACAAGTTATCGTGCTTATAAAACCATTATTGATCCTGGGTGGGAATCGAACCCACGCTTTAGTCAGGGTCACCAACTACTAAACTAACAGGCCCTTCAAAATATATCAAAAGAGCATACTAAAACACGGTACTTACAGACAGGCATCTTGGAGTGCTGCGCTAGCATTATCCGGGCACCGAACCTTGGTCCTCAGAGTCATGGAATATATGCACACCTCCTTAATGACATACCAGGGATCTTGAGAACCAGCTTTCGCATTAATCACACCAGACTCCAAATATTTTGATGGTACCTGAAATATTTAAAATTTAGTAACCAACTCTAAAATATCCGTGGTATTGGAATGTTATTTCACGCATTAACTGATCTTTAACGACTTAACTAAATCACTTAAAGTATCAATTTTAAAAAGATATAAGCCGAAGAAAAAACCACAGAATTATTGACGACTGAATGGCGCAGTGGTTTGTGTAACGGACTTCAAAGGTCGCGGGTTCGATTCCCGCTCAAGTCAAACATTTGTGTGCATGAACATTTGATGTTTGATTTGGTCTGGGTGTTTCTATGTATAATAAGTATGTATTTACAAAAAAAAAGTATATATGTATTCATATCAGTTGTCCAGTACCCATAGTACAAGCTCTGCTTAGTTTGGGACTAGATGGCGTTGTGTGTATGTGGTAGAATATATTATATTATATTATTATATTAATAGTTTTCTTTAACACACTAATCTCAAAAACCACCTGTCCGATTTAAAAAAATCTCTAATCAGTTGATTTTAATTATTTTTTTCAAGACAACTCCTGCATTAGGAATATATTAGGATCATAATTCAAGTAATCACAGATTACTAAAGTAATAGATGGCGGTAGTAGGATCTTTCAATGATTAAATTGGAAATAAAAATTATTACAACACAATTTCGGCAACTGTCTCGTCTCGAATCTCGACCCGAAAGTCTCTAGACCCAAGACAACTAAATTTACAAAAGTCCCGGGACTTCGAGACACGAGACTTCCCGACCACGTCGAACCTTAATTAAGATGGTCGTGGTTTCAAATTTCCGTAATAACATTTTTTTTTTTTAATACAACTCCCGCATTAGGAATACATTCCTGTGTCGCGGGGGACTTTACAAACATACATGAAACGGACACAAAGAACACCCAGACTCAGAACAACAATTTGTAGATCACACAAAGTGTCGTCCCATGTGGGGTTTGACCCACTACACTCAGCGTAGTATTTAACATCACGCTACGCCCTTTGGGTATGGAGCAGTGATCTTTACAATAAAAGAGATTTATTAAATACTTTACCTTTTCAATAATCATTTGCAATATAGAGAATGCTTTAGCATAGGATAAGACACGTTCTCTGAATACTTCTGTATTCGTTGGTTCTTTAAAACCAGTTTTGAGTGTCGACAGCAGGTCTGGAATGATCTTCGAGGCGTAATCTTCGCAAAATATTCGAGTGGAGTGTCTGGAAATAAATATAATAGAAATGAATACTAATATTATGAATAAGATATTGTGTGTATGTCAGTTACCTCTTCACGCTTAAACCGCGAAATCGATTTAGATGAAATTTCTTATAGAGATAGTTTGAGTCCCGGGAAAGGACATAGGGAAGTTTTTATCCCAGAAATCATCCATTAGGGGGTTTAAAGGGGGGGGCCGTTTGTATGGAGAATCAATAACCGCACCGATTCAGATAAAATTAATATAGAGATTGTTTGATCCTTGTCGTAAAGCTGTTGTAAAGCTAGTTTAATATATATACGAGTATTACCGTGGGAGAGTCAGACCTTGGCATAAATGAGCTCGCACGACCGGAGTGATATCACGGCTTCACAGAAAACTGGTTTTGAGCAATTCCCTCGTTGCCTTACACCGAGTCTCACTCGAGTTACTAGATCCTAACACCCCCCCCCCCCCCTCCCTTCCTCCTCCCACACACGTTCTAGGAGGGTTGAACCCACAACACTCTTCGTAGTAGGAAGCGGCGTGGCGACCACTTAAACGACTACGCCATTCGTGCAATCATACTATACATCATACCAAATAATTATTAATGCCAGCGATACCATTTATTTAAAAGTTATAGTAAAAAAACTATAATAATTTTACTTCAACAGAGGCAGAAAGACTCGTCGACAGCCTCCCAAGCCGGGCCGCTTCTTCATAGTCTGGTACGCAGCATCATAGATGTTCTCATCTCTCCTGTCGGCTACTGAGGACATGCTAGCATCTATCGCGTCGTCCCACCAGCCTTTCGTATCATCAGCTGTACGACGGGTTTGGAAGAGAAGTAAAAAAAATTGAAATAAAAACTTTTGTGAATGGTATGTAGGTGTGTGGCTTTCTTCTGGTTTCGGGTTTCTTACTTTGAAGATGACGTCCATACAACCGTTTATCCCCTTTTTTACTCCCTTAGGGGTGAAATTTACAAAAAAACGATTCTTGGTGGGTGCTTACAACATAAAAAGCATCAGCTGCCAAAATTTCAAGTTTGTAGCCACAGCTGTTTAGGATCTGCGCTGATGAATCAATCAGTCAGGGCTAGTAATTTCCGTGTGGTGACGGATTAAGAATATAGAGAGTCACCAACCCTATTCATCCCGTGGGTGTCGTAAGAGACGACTAAGGGAGCAAACTACGCAGGACAACAGTACTGCAAAGAGGAGGAAAACTTGAAACAAACCCTATACCAACCCGTCTGGCCAGCGTGGTATAGTAGGCCAAAACCTCCTTTTAAGGAGAGGTCTATGTCCAGCAGTGGACTAGTAAAGGCTGTCTGTTGATAAAGTAATTTCATATATGTAGTAAAAAATATACAAGATTCAGACTTATGAAGAAAGAATTTTAAAATTGCAGCATTCTTGGTAAAAACAATTTAATTGGTGTCATAGTTGCTTAATTGGTGTAATATGTATGACTGTATGTGTTTAGAAATATAGAAGTACCTATGTTTATAAGCAGTCTGGTTACCATAGTACAGGCTCTGCCTAGTGTGGGGGTCGGGAGATGATGAAGTTATTATTATTATTTCGACTCCCACATACAAAGAAAAATAAATATACTACAGCGCCATCTAACGAAGACACACCGAACCACGGAGTAACTCCTGAATGAGAATTGCTAATCCTGTATCGCGATATAAAGAATTCTCTCGCCGATTAGCATATATACAACTTCCCAACATCAACCGTAGGGCCGCGGCCTGCCAGGCATGATATACCTCGCCTGGTCGGAGGATCATCCCTTTGTGTTGGAGGGACATGATACCCGTTCCTCCACATTATTATATATTAATACAAAGAAATCCACAACAACAACTAGTAATATATTAAAAAGATTGTTACTTACCCGCAGCTAAAGTGATAATGATATCCAAGAGAGTCAGGTCTCCGGTGGTTGCGAGGGAATCGAGCAGAGCACGCAGTACACCGGCGTGATCTCCTCCCATCTCTGATAGGTGGATGGGTAGAGTGCCAGCCATGGAACGGTAACACGAGCTAAAAGTAATTATCTACGGTTAGAGACCATACATACATTGGTAGTGGTTGTGGGATCTGATTTCCGCATTTAGACTCAAGAGTGGTCTTTTATACGTCTAGAAGAGGTTGGCTAGATGAGCCAACCTCTTCTAGACGTATTCAGAATACGATACGTTGTTTGACAGGACTAAACTAACTTAGTTAGTTAGTGATTTTTAGTTTAGTTTAGAGACTTTTAGAGCAACAGAATTGGCACCATTATAGGCCTAAACTTAACTCTCCCACCATCAAATGGTGTATTTTCTATATAAATAAACATTTTTATTTTTTATTTTATACTTTATGCACAAATGTGACACAGGCGGACTTAATGCCGTAGGCATTTTCTACCAGTCGACCTTAGGGCGATGCAGAGTCAAAAAAATGGTAGATGCACAGAAATTAGAAATGTGATTTAAAAGAAAAAAATAATAATACTATAAATAGAATATCATATGCACAGGGCACTTAAATAAATTGCATTAGAATATATTTTAATAAAAGAGATACATACATATATAATAGGTAAATAATACATAAGTATTTATGTTTACATAATAATATACATTTATACATACATATAATTATACATATTATATACATATACATACATACACACAATAAATTCTAGAAGAGAGAGGTATCAAGGTAGATCTGATAAGGAGTTTAAGAGATGTTTCCGCAACAGGTATTTAAAAGTTTGCCGAGTTTTTGCCATCCTGATCTCGCGAGGCAGCGCGTTCCATAACAGGACGGATTGTACCAGAAAGGTAGAATGTAGGAAGTCAGAGCGGTGAGTGGGGCAGTGAAGAAGGAGGTTGCTTGAAGATTTAAGGTTTTTATCATGGTTTGCCCCTAAATATTGAAGTTGAGTAGTTAAGCAGGAAGGAGAACTAGGAGAAAAAAGTAAAGAATATTACATTATTACATTATTACGTGATTATTTAAGGCCCACATTTGGACAACTTTTTTTACTATGGGACAAAAGAGCAATCAGACTTGCTACTGAGGAGTCACAAGTGCCTTGCTGTTCTTTAAGGAGAGAGTACGCCTTTTTTTATAATTTGGTCCCACTCACGAAACAGAAGGTACAACTGTGGAGGAAAGGATGTAAACAAAGGGAGGATCCTCCGACAAGGCAAAGTGATCAAGGCTGGCGGATCTATGCCCAACGGTTGATGTTGGGAAGTTGTAAATATACTAATCGGTGCGAGAACTTTCATTGAGATGTACAGAATTAGCAGTCACGCCGTAGTTCGGTGTGTCTTCTTTAGATGGCGCTGAGGTATGTATTTTCTTTCATTATATGTGAAACTTGAATAAATATGGTTGAAATTTTGAATAAATGCGGACAATAACTTAAATATAAATACCATACCTATATTCAGATCCTCCTGGCAGAATGGTGATCATCCTGAGTTTATGATCCAGCCTGGTGTCTGGTGATGTGATGGCACTCATCATCCACCTTACTGGTGATATTAACCCAACACTTCTCGGAAGCCGGAGGAGTTCAGAAGCCACTAAGAGTTTCACTTCAAAGTCTAACTGTTCAAAATTTGGCCAAATCTGAAAACAGTTTTTGTTAATTTGTTCGAACATGTTATTGTCTTTTTTAAGATAACTCTCGCACTTGAAATGTAATCCTGTGACGCGTGAACTTTACAAACATTCATGACACGGACACAAAGAACACCCAGACTAAGAAAAACAATTTGTGGATCACACAAAGTGTCGTCCCATGTGGGGATCGGACCCACAACACTTAGCGCGGTAGGTGAACTACACTACGCCACCCGTGCCGTCATCTCTCTCTCTCTCTAAAACTACAAGTCACTAACTCTTATTGTATAGAATTTCATTAAGAAAGACCATGTAATATTCGGTAACAGCAGTCAAAAGCGGAGCAGTGACTGACGAACGCGGGGAAAATGGAGGGGTACAGCAGTATCTGCAGTATACATCATCAACACCCTTTAACGGTCCACTGCTGGACCGCAGACAAACGTACGTATATATTTCTAAATACGTACATATTACAGATGAATTACATTCAGACACAGAACAAATGAACGTGGTCATCACACAGTTATTTGTCCTGAGTGGGAACCGAACACACGACCCTTGGGGCTTAGCTGTCAGGGTCACTAACCACTATATAGATCAGTTCAGCAACTCTTTCTCCACTATTTACAAACCGCACTTTAGGTAAATAGAAGGTAGGACACCTCGAGCCAGGTATTCGGATGACTTGAAGAAGGCAGGTATTACGAAGTGAGTGAGGTTCCCGGTGACTCAATTCCCCCACCCCTCCTGGAGGGGAGGCCTCCCTATACTTTAAAAATGAAATTGTAGAATGTAAAAGTAAAATATATAAACAGACTAACATACCTTTTCAACAATATATAATATCCTGTCATAGTGTTTCTCATATTTTTTATAATTAATACAAAAATATTTCAACACTTCAATAAACAAATTAGTATTGGTAACAACCCCTTCTGTCAATAAAATCCTTTCAAAGTAAACCCTCAAATATTTCAGAACGAAATCTTCATTCTTCTCCAAAACATCTTCAAACTCGGAACAACTCAAACATTTTTCTGCTATAGATAGCATATCTGATGCTATAACATGACGTATCTGGTTCTCTTTCTCTAACAAGATATCCATCCAAACTCTAGAATAAGATATTGGATGATCAAAGACATCAGCCAATATGTTCAAAGCCTGGATTTTCTGGCAAATCTCATCAGAAACATCCAAAGTCCCTAATATATCTGCCATGTTAATTATTTTATTCAATTCTTCTGTAACTGTTTCTAAGTTTAGCTTTTTACACCAATTATCGTAGCTCATATTTATTTCAGGAGGCAACACTTTGAGAATATTTTTGTAAGTACATAGGCATGCTGAAAAATCATTTTTTAATGTTGGTAATGATTCTGGTTGTAAATTTTCTATTAAATTCGCGAGGCATTTCAGAGTTTTCTGCAAAAGAAAAAACAATAACTTGATGATGTAATTCAGGAGTTATTTTTTTAAGTACCTGGTGTTGTGTCAAATCGCACTGCTTTTAATAGTCCACTGCTGGACATAGGCCTCTTCTTACAAAGGAGGGTTTGACCTATTGCCATTTTTTCCTTTCCGTGCGAAAAGTCCCTCGGATAACCATGCTACCGGACACGGGTGGTGTAAGTATGTTGGACTCGAACCGACTGAAACCGCGACGGACCCCAGGCCATTTAAAGCACATAGATACCCTCCCCCTCCCCCCCCCCCCCCTCGTGTGTGAAGACCACGGTGTACACCTTTTTTCTAAAGAGCACGCAAAAATTCAAAGTAACCAACCTGCTGCGTCGGTTTATGACACCAGACACATTTAGCTCTCAAGAACGGAACAATATCCACGTATTTCACCATATCATGGAAGTTAAACTTCTAATTATTATTTATATTATGTTTATTATTATTTATATGAAATGGCATTCTTACTCACCTCTTTATCAACCTCTAGTAAAATCAGAGAGTATTCATTTAAAAACTTGCATATATTTTGTTGTATGGCAACACTTGCGTTCACAGATAATATATTCATAACTTTGGTCAGTGCATCTTTCGGTATAAATGTTTTCAATATGGTATCTTTTATATCAAAATCGTGTTTAGCGAGCGCTAACACTTGTAGTACATTTACAAATTTCTCTTCTAAACCTGCGGTAAGGACCTAAAAATATTAAAAATAAGATAACACATCTCACACACGGCCGGCTGATCCTAAACTAGGCAGAGCCTGTGCTATGGTAACCAGACTGCTGATAAACATACTTATATATTTCTAAATACATACATATTGCAGATCAAATTACCACACACAGAACAAACAATCATGCTCGTCACACAATAATCCTTCCTTGCGGCATCCTTGCACACGAATGAGCCGGCTCAACCAGAGCAACACCATGGCCTTATAAAAAACCGGTGTTAAGGTAAAGCTTTTCTTGTTTCCTGAGTCGCAAGGGACTTCACAAACATACATGAAACACCCAGACTCAGATCAACAATTTTTGGATCACACAAAATGTTGACCCATTTGGGGATCAAACTCACAACATTCCGCGCAGTAGAAAGCGGCGCGGTGACCCCTTAAGCAACTACGCCATCCGTGTAGTCATTGTTTTGTTGCTTTTCACCGAGTGAGAGAGGTAACCAGAGCCCAAACCTCCCGTCCCCTTCGTGGGCGACGGTAGTCACTTACCATCAGACTACCCTTCTGTGCCTTACCCATACCATTTTAAAAAAAAATTGCGCCGAACCCAAATAAAAAATTAATAATGAAATGATCATAATTGTGATGAAAAAGAAAATACTTTTCAACTCACGCACTCTAACGAAACTTTGAATTGCAAAAACACAAATTTGACATACAGATTGATACAAATTAGGCCTAAAAATTAGGCAGATTACTTTTAATTTTGTACATAATTTGTACTTACATCTTGCATAACATCATCCAAACTGTCATTAAAGATCATTTCAACTAAAAGGGAGCCATCATAATTTTTAATTTCAAAAACTTTCTTCAAAAACTCCAAAATGTATTCTATATCAGTTTTATTATTATTAATCAACATATTCCCTACAATACCAGACAATATTTTCTGGTCATTATCAAAAATATCAATTTTTTCCATAAATATATCTGTAGCGCTTTTATAAACATCGTTCACAATTCTCTTAGACAATAACGTTATAATATTCGGTAAATAATTTATCGACATAGAGTCATTTTCTCGTAATGCTTTTAAGAATATTCTCGTTATGTCTAAACCGGCCTCGTAATTAGATTCTGAAAAAAAAAACAAGGTTTTATTAAAACACTAGGCGACCAGTTACTAATAATATTTTAGGATTTCTAAGACACAACGCCATCTAGTTTCAAACTAAGCAGAGCTTGTACTATGAAAGCTAGATTGACTGATAAAATAAAAAAATAATAATAATAATAATATTCTACCACATTGACACAACGCCATCTAGTCCCAAACTAAGCAGAGCTTATACTATGGGTACTAGACAACTGATATAAATACATATATACTTTTTTTTTGTAAATACATACTTATTATACATAGAAACACCCAGACCAAATCAAACATTAAATGTTCAAGCACACAAATGCTTGACTTGAGCGGGAATCGAACCCGAGACCTGAAAAAAATACCTGATATACTATATATTATCATCATCAACGACCTTTAATAGCCCACTGCTGGACATAGGCCTCTCCTTAGAAAGGAGGTTTTGACCTACTATACCACGCTGGCCACCAAAGTCTATTGATGATGATGATTACTATGAAACATACCCACACCAAAAAAAATAATCAAAATGTAAATCTCTTTTATAGAAGTCGTTTAAAAAGGTTCTTAGATAGATTTATTGACAAAATCTCAGAAGCTTTTCGAATTTAAAACTATACCAAGTTCCACTCACGTTCCGGGCTGTTAATCATCACCATGAGCTGATCCGCCACCATCGTCAGCAATTCTCCACTCGTCTCCGAGCCAGGGTCTTGAAGAAGAATAACTTGCAGACTGTCACAGAGCATTCTTCTTACAGCTGGATTAACTTCAGCAGTTATAGACTAAAAAAAATATGACATTAAATTCAGATCTCACAAATCTCTCATAACGGCTACCTCCGTACCAACTTTATCAAAATTGGTGCAGCCGTTTGAGCGTGAAGAAGCAGCAAATATACAAACACACACACTCACTAACTTTGGCCTTTATAATATTAGTGTGATTGTTATAAGATGTAATCTTCATCCCCTAATTTTCCACCCTTCAAATTTCACGCCTTTTATTCCTGAATTGCTTATTATATATGCGAAGGTTTATTCAACCAGCACCAGCAGTAATTAAAATCCGAAAGTGTAGCCGAAACTTGTATTATTTTATACATATATCTGTTTCATAATCCAGATTTCTATATTCATCCAAATAAATAAATTGTACACAAATTAATTTAAAAATAAAACAAATTCTGCACCCCGCACTAGGAATATATCCTGTGTCGCGGGGGTCTTTACAAACCTACATGAAACAGACGCAAAGGACACCCAGACTCAGAACAACAATTGGTTGATCACACAAAGTGTCGTCCCATGTGGGGTTTGAACCCACAACACTCAGCGCAGTAGGAAGTGGTGAGGTGACGTGCTATCTATTTTACAGAACATACAGTTTTGACCTTTAAAAGAGAACTATTTTGACTTGTCAGTCAACCAGCATGTACTTACATGAATGGCTTGTTGCGCACACGCAGCGGTCGCACACATACGCAGCGCTGACGTCACGTCCACTACATCACTACACCTGAACATGGAGTGGATGACTCTCCATGTGAGGTACTGGAGACCGGGCTCTGGTCTATCTCTTACTGTAACAAGCATTCATTTACTATAATACTATTATAAAGCTGTAGTGTTAGTATGTTTGGACTAATCTCAGAAACTACTAGTTCGAATTGAAATATTATTTTAGTGTTGAATAGCCCATTTAAAGATGAAGGCTATATGACGACCGAATGGCGTACTGGTTTGTGTAACGGACTGCTATTCCAAGGGTCGCGGGTTCGATTCCCGCTCGAGTCAAACATTTGAGTGCATTAACATTTAATGTTTGATTTGGTCTGGGTGTTTCTATCTATAATATGTATGTATTTACAAAAAAAAAGTATATGTGGAATTATATCAGTTGTCTAGTACCCATAGTGCAAGCTCTGCCTAGTTTGGGACTTGATGGCGTTGTGTGAAAGTGGTAGAATATTATTATTATTATATAACATCATGCTACGACCAATAGGCGCCGAGCACTAATGAAAAATATTGTAAAAACGGGGACGGTTCGGCTAGTTACAGATAAATTACACTCAGACACAGAACAAATGTGCTTTCCACACAATTATTTGTATTGGGAACAGAACCAATTACCTCTATGTTAGCAGTTAACATTATAAACCATTAATCCACCAGGCCAATCAATTAGCCTTTACACGATCGCCGTTTAGAAAAAATAAACATTAAAAAAATATTAATTTTCAGGTATGTATTATCTGCATAGATAATAATAATAATAATACACCTTAAGAGGCTCACGTTGGACGGCTGGATGAAGAAGATGATGCTGAATGAATGAAGGGTCTGATGCAGAATGCAGTCCTCCTTGACACGGCTCGTATAGTGAGGAGGTTCCTATCTTTGGAGTCCTAACCACCGGTCTCTGTACCCGATGTCGGTGGTCTACTATTATTTATATTTTTAAATGTAAATAATCTATACTAATATTATAAAGATGAAGAGTTTGTTTGTTTATTTGTTTGTTTGTTTGTTTGAACGCGCTAATCTCAGGAACTACGGGTCCGATTTGAAAAATTCTTTCAGTGTTGGATAGACCATTTATCGAGGAAGGCTATAGGCTATATATCATCACGCTAAGACCAATAGGAGCGGAACACCAATGAAGAATGTTTAAAAAACGGAGAAAATTTATTACTATTGAGAGACGCAGACGAAGTTGCGCGGGTCAGCTAGTATGTATATAAAGTAAATAACACATCAACAGCCTTTAACAGTCCACTGCTGGACATAAGCCTCTCCTTAGAAAGGAGGTTTTGGCCTACCATACCACGCCGGCCAGACGGGTTGGTATAGGGTTTGGGGTGCTCCCCGTCGTGGTCCACCCGCCGGCGCCTCAATCGAGGTCGGCTCGGTCCTCGTACCGGTCCGGGCCCAGATGAGGTACCTGGGTCTGGTCCTAGACGGTAGGTGGCTCTTCGACGAGCACTTCCGACAGCTTGGTCCGAAGCTGGTGGACACTGCCTCCGCCCTAGGGCGACTTTTGCCCAATTTGGGTGGGGCCAGTGTTCCCACGAGGCGGCTGTACGCGGGGGTTGTCCGGTCCATGGCGCTTTATGGTGCACCGGTGTGGGTGGCGGCTCTGACCGCCCCGAATAGGGCGCGCCTCTGGCGCCCCCAGAGGATATTGGCGGTCAGAGCCATACGCGGATACCGCACGGTGTCCACCGAGGCGGCTTGCGCCTTGGCCGGAACACCCCCGTGGGATTTGGAGGCGGAAGTGCTCGCCGAAGTTTATCGGCGAGTGGCTGACTTCCGGGCGGAGAGCGGATTTCGCCCTCCGCCCGAAGGAGTGCGCGAGTGGCGCGAAGCCGCTCGCCGAGCCACTATGGTGAGATGGTCGTTCCGGCTGGAGACTCCACGCGCTGGCTTCGCCGCCGTGGAGGCTCTCCAGCCGGTCATCGCCGAGTGGGCAGGGCGGCAGCACGGGACCCTTTCCTTCCGGCTGACGCAGGTGCTTTCCGGGCACGGTTGCTTCGGAAAGTACCTGTACTCGGTCGCTAGGAGGGAATCGAGTCCCGCCTGCCACCACTGCGACTGCGGTGAGGATTCGGCCCAGCACACGCTGGCGGTTTGCCCCGCATGGGCGACGCAGCGCCGGGCCCTCACTGCAGTCATCGGAGCAGATCTCTCGCTACCGGCCGTAATTCGCTCCATGGCCGGTAGCGACAGTTGTTTTACCGCGGTCGCAACCTTCTGCGAGGAGGTAATCTCGCAGAAGGAGGCGGCGGAGAAGGCCCGGGAGGACGACCTCCACTCGGACCTGATCCGCCGCCGGCGAACCGGGCGGCGGAGGCGCGCTCACCTGCGCCTCATGCCGCCCTGAGTGTGGCCGCGGGTGGACGGGATGGGTTCTCCCCTCCACCCGCATTAGTTGGCCAGCCGCGAGGGGGCGGCGTCCGCGTGTGCCGGACGCCGCCTAAAGAGAGGGTCCACTGAGACGGAGCCCGCGTTAGGAGCGGGCCGGCGCTGGGAAGGGTCCAGAAGGAGATAGCTACCTGGACCCTTCCTAAACTGGAAGCGCAAAGAGGGCACACCGTGTGGTTTTAGTCGGTTCGAGTCCGACACACCGCCCCGCCGAACGAGAGCCCCGGCGGGGTGACGGTCCGAGGGGATTTCCACACGTAAAAAAAAAAAAAAAAAAAAAAAAAAGGGTTTCGGGTGCTGGGCTAGAAAACCTCCTCGTGGTGCACCCTGGAAACGCTGGCGATGGTACTGTTTCCTCCTTGTCCTCTTGGAGGAGAGGATTATCGCCAGCGGCCAATATTCTAGCAGAAGAGGTAGCCGTTCATCGGCTCTCGGGCAAGGCCTGGTCCAGCAGGGTGGGCGTGTCTGCCGGTTGCCCTGCTGGCTCTTCGCTCTTCGGAGCATGGAGGAGGAAACCTCGGTAAAAAACCTGATGGCGGGGCCCTGTAGGGGCCACAGTTTCTCCGCTGACAGCGGTGGAGAAAGGAGGACGGGCTCGGCGTGTACTCACACTACCACCGAGCAGGCAGGGGGACGTAGTCTCCCTGTCAACCGTCGGCATATCGTAATCCCGAGAAGAGCGCTGTGGTTAAGTCTCGCGGCTCTGATCGGGGGCGAGGGTCTTGGCTTAACCGCCCGGACCGCGAGGAAGATAACCTCTCTAAAAAATTCCCCGAATCCCGTGTTCTGGTGCGTGGCCAGGGGATGCATGGCTGATGGGAAGTTCAGTCGCGAGCGCACTCCAAGCCGAGGTACCTGCGGACCCCTCGGTTGGGTTAAAAACTTACGCTTGCCCGGGTAATGGGGGATCTCTGCCCGGGTGGACCTTTAGTTCTCCCCCACTCGTGGGATTATTATGGAAAATCTTAATTTAACCAAAAAGAAAACGATCGGAAAGAAAACACAACAGACAAAGGCAAGCCTAACGGACAAGGAGACGAAGAGGAGGAATAGTGGAGTGGATGGGTCGTCCACTGAGGGTGAGGTGGCGTCGGGAACGCCTATCTCGGTGGGGCTCCCAGAAGTCAGTCTGACGCTGGTCTCTGGGAGCCGAAGAGCATCAGATCGGCTGCGTTCCGGATCCGCCGCTTCGTCGGATGGCGTGGAGGCCATGGAGGCGGAGCGAAGCGACAGCCGGAAACGAGGACGCTCCAGGGACGAGGAAACCGACACGTCCCAGGAGATGATGCCTCCAAAGGTGGCAAGCAGCCGCCGAGGGAGGGCTCGTAAACCGGCCTCGGTCTCGACCCCGTCAGGCTCCGCGTTCTCAAACGCGGAGTCCTACAGGAGCGTACGAGTGGACGGCGAGGCCGTAGCGGAGGAGGAGATCGCGGATCTCCTGCTCAAGGTTCGGGAGCCGGTGGGGGGAAATGCCCCCCAGGCTCCCGTGTCCGTGCAGGAGAGGGCGAAAGCGGCGGTGGCCGTCATCGACAAGGTGGCCACCAAATCCGTGAACCTTAAGGGCTCGTTTGTGAGGGCCCTTAAGGACTCCTCCTCCGCTTTGTCGGAGGTCGTGGAGGGCCTAGCGGGCGACGTCTCTCGCCTGCAGGTGGCCAACGAGAGGCTGACGGAGCGGGTGAACGAGCTGAGTGCTCAGTTCGCCCGCTTCCAGGCGAACCTCCCCGAGCGGGAAGCCCCGTCCGCGTCCCAGCCTGCCCCTACCACCAACTCAGGGGCATTTGACTCCCAACTGCGAGAAATCCTCATCGCAGTTGGGAATATGCTGGACGGACGCCTGGCTGGCCTGGAGGCGAGACTGCCCCCTGCGCCGATTATGCGCCCCCCGCTCGCGTCGGCACAGCGGCCTAAGGCCGCCGCTCCGACCGCGCTCCCCGTAGTGGGAGGCCGCGTCTCCTACGCGGCGGCGGCGTCTGCCCCGACTCCATCGGCTCCCCAAAAGCCGAGGAGGGGGGCCAAGGCACCGGCCCAGGCGCCGGCCAAGGCACCGGCTAAGGCGCCGGCCAAGGCACATCCCCAGGCGCCGGCCAAGACGGGGCCTAAAACGGCGCCGAGGAGCGGAGTGGCATTCCCTCCGCTCCCCACTCCGACACCCCTGCCGGGCCCCTCCGCACCTGCCCCCTCCAACGAGGGTTGGCAGGAGGCGAGGGGCTCCAAGAAGTCCCGAAGGCGGGCCAAAAGGGCTGCCAAAAAAGCAGCCCAAGCCACGCCTTCGCCACCGGTGGCAACGGCCTCCACAAAGAGGCCCCGGAAGCTGCAGCCGCCCAAAACCGAGGCTGTAGTGGTGACCGTGTCCCCGGAGGCGGCTGACGGCGGGCTGTCCTACGCGGCCGTGTTTAAAAAGGCCCGGGACAGCCTCGCCAACGACTTTGGGACGGCGGGGGTGAAGATGCGCCTCGCCCAAACGGGAGCTCGAGTTCTCGAGTTCCCAGGGGCTGAAGGCGCCAAGACGGCGGACACTTTCGCTGAGAGGCCGGGGTTTATTCGCGACCACAGATGGTGTCAAGATCGCCAGGCCTACCAAGTGCGCGGAGCTGCGCATCTCGGGCCTGGACGAGTCTGTGACGGCCGAAGATGGCCGCGCTGTAATCCGGGAGAAGACGGGGTGCAGCGCGGACAACGTCAGGGTCGGCACCATCCGCCCCGGTCCAGGAGGGCTTGGCGCCGTGTGGGTCAGCTGTCCCGTAGCGTCGGCCAAAGTATTGGCCGACGCCGGCAGGCTGCTCGTCGGTTTCGTGAGCGCCAGGATCACAGTCCTGGCGGCGAGACCGATGAGGTGCTACAAATGCCTAGCATCGGGACACACGCGCGTCAAGTGCGACAGCTGTTTTGACTGCGGCGGACTGTGTTTCCGCTGCGGTCAACCGGGGCATAAGGCGGCAGAATGCTCTGCCGCCCCTCACTGCCCAGTGTGTGCGGCGGGCAATAAGCCCGCCAATCACCAGATGGGGCAGAGAGGCTGCAAGCCTACCCGCAGTTCTCGGCAGACGTCAGGGGCTAGCCAGTCGACCCAGGCTACCCCCGACGTCAATATTGCGTCGACGTCGTCGCCCATGGAGGAGGTTGTAGAGACGATCCAGTAATGGATCAAGTCTCCAACCTCCTGGTCCAGACGAACCTGAACCACTGTGCCGCGGCGCAGGATCTTTTCCTGCAAACCATGGCACAGTGGTCGATAGGTGTTGCCGTAGTCGCGGAGCCCTATTCTGTCCCTCCCCGTCCAAACTGGATGGGTGACTGGGACGGCTCCGTGGCAGTCGTCGGTTCCACGACGGCTCATTCCCCGCCCTTGTCGCTAAGAGACAAGGGCACTGGATATGTTGCCGTCGAGTGGGGGGGGATCACCATATATGGTGTCTATTTCTCCCCCAACCGGAGTTTGAACGACTTCGAGGTTTTCCTAACCAGCTTGGAGACCTCGATACGGCGACTAGCGTCTGGGCACGTCCTTGTGCTGGGGGACTTCAACGCAAAGTCCATTGCGTGGGGTTCCCCCAGGACGGACGCCAGGGGCGAGGCCGTAGAGGAGTGGGCGGCCTCGGTGGGCCTCTGTCTTCTAAACAGAGGCTCCACCAACACGTGCGTGCGACAGCAGGGGGGGTCGATAGTGGACCTCTCGTTCGCTACCCCTGCCCTCGCCGCACGAGTAAGGAACTGGCGTGTCCTGGAAGAGGTTGAGACGCTCTCGGATCACCTGTATATCCGATTTGAGCTCTCCCGGACCCAGGACTCCAGTAGGGGTCACGTGGCGCGGCGTTTATCCCGCTTTCCGCGGTGGGCTGTTGCCAGGCTGTACCGGGACCTACTAGAGGAGGCAGCCATAATTCACTCGTGGCTGTCTCCTCAGGCTCCGACCGCGGAGGTCGACGTGGGGGCTGGCAGCTTTCGCGATGCGATTACGCATGTATGCGATGCGGCCATGCCCCGCGTTCGAGGTCGTCGGCCTCCAAGGAAGGAGGTCTACTGGTGGTCCCAGGAGCTGGCGGACCTCCGTGCGGCCTGTACACGTGCCCGGAGGTCCTACACGCGCAGTCGGCGGCGTCACCGTGGAGACGGTGAGGAGGACCGGCTTCATGAGGAGTACCGACGGGCGCGGAAAACTCTGAAGCTGGCCATTAGCCGCGCCAAAGAAGAAAAAAGACAGGAGATGCTGGAGGGTCTTAATCGTGACCCCTGGGGTCGCCCTTACCGCGCGGTGCGACAAAACCTCCGCGCGTCGGGCCCCCCCCTTACGGAGACTCTCCAGCCCAGCTTCCTGCGAGAAGTGGTTGAGGGCCTTTTCCCGCAACGAGCGGAACACACTCCCCCGGCGATGGCCTCCTTGGCCGGAGACGACGGGGAGCACGGGGAGGACAATGTTCCGCCCGTCCGGGAATCGGAGGTAGGGGCGGCTGTTCTACGGATCCGTTCCAAGAACACCGCCCCTGGGCCAGACGGGGTACCGGCCCGAGTGCTGGCCCTGGCCCTCAACCACATGGCAGACCGCCTCGGGGAGGTGTTCGACGCTAGCTTGGCGTCGGGACGCTTCCCTGAGTGCTGGAAGAGCGGGAAGCTGGTCCTATTGAGGAAGCCGGGACGGCCTGCCGATTCGGTCGCGGCCTATAGGCCCATCGTGCTGCTGGACGAGGCGGGCAAATTGTTTGAGAGGGTTCTTTCTGCCCGCATCGTCCGGCACCTCTGCGAGGTGGGCCCCGATCTGTCGGACGCCCAATTTGGTTTTCGGGCGGGGCGTTCGACGGTCGACGCCGTGTTGCGCCTGAGGGCCGTGACCGAAGAGGCAGTGAGCTGTGGCGGCGTGCTGTTGGCGGTGTCATTAGACATCGCCAACGCATTCAATAGTCTGCCATTCAGCTGCATCAGGGAAGCACTCCACTATCATGGGGTGCCAAAGTACCTGAGGCGGCTAGTGGCAGACTATTTAGAGGAGCGTACCGTCGTGTACGAGGACCGAGAAGGTAATCTGAGGTGTCGGCCCATGTCGTGCGGTGTTCCACAGGGGTCTGTTCTTGGACCCCTCTTGTGGAACATAGGGTACGACTGGGCCCTTTGCGCCGATTTCCCCCCCGGGCTGGGTGTAATCTGTTACGCAGACGATACCCTCGTGACAGCCCGGGGGGCAAACTTCCAAGAGGTGGCGCGCCTGGCCACAGGGGGAGTCTCCCTGGTGGTCGGGCGCATTGAGGCGCTGGGCTTACGGGTGGCCCTAGATAAGACGGAGGCCCTGTTATTCCATGGGCCCCGTCGTGGTCCACCCCCTGGCGCCTCAATCGTGGTCAACTCGGTCCTCGTACCGGTTCGGGCCCAGATGAAATATCTGGGCCTGATCCTCGACGGGAGGTGGCTCTTCGACGAGCACTTCCGACAGCTTGCTCCAAAGCTGGTCGGCGCTGCGTCTGCCCTAGGGCGACTCTTGCCCAATATGGGTGGACCCAGCGTCGCGACAAGACGGCTGTACACGGGGTTGTCCGGTCAATGGCGCTGTACGGTGCACCGGTGTGGGCGGCGGCTCTGACCGCCCAGAATAGGGTACGCCTCTGGCGCCCCCAGAGGGTAATGGCGGTCAGAGCCATACGCGGTTACCGCACCGTTTCTACGGAGGTGGCATGCGCGTTGGCCGGAACTCCCCCGTGGGATTTGGAGGCGGAAGTGCTCGCCGAAGTTTATCGGCGAGTGGCTGACTCCCGGGCGGAGAGCGGATTTCGCCCTCCGCCCGAGGATGTGCGCGAGTGGCGCGAAGCCGCTCGCCGAGCCACGATGGCTCGTTGGTCGTTCCGGCTGGAGACTCCACGCGCTGGCTTCGCCGCCGTGGAGGCTCTCCAGCCGGTCATCGCCGAGTGGGCAGGGCGGCAGCACGGGACCCTTTCCTTCCGGCTGACGCAGGTGCTTTCCGGGCACGGTTGCTTCGGGAAGTACCTGCACTCGGTCGCTAGGAGGGAACTGAGTCCCGCCTGCCACCACTGCGACTGCAGTGAGGACTCGGCCCAGCACACGCTGGCGGTCTGCCCCGCATGGGCGGCGCAGCGCCAGGCCCTCACTGCAGTCATCGGAGTGGATCTCTCGCTACCGGCCGTAGTACGCTCCATGGCCGGTAGCGACAGTTGTTTTACCGCGGTCGCAACCTTCTGCGAGGTAGTAATCTCGCGGAAGGAGGCGGCGGAGAGGGCCCGGGAGGACGACCTCCACTCGGACCCGATCCGCCGCCGGCGAACCGGGCGGCGGAGGCCCGCCTACCACAGCCTCATGCCGCCCTGAGTGTGGCCGCGGGTGGACGGGGTGGGTTTCCCCTCCACCCGCATTAGTTTGGCCAGCCGCGAGGGGGCGGCGTCCGCGTGTGCCGGACGTCGCCTAAAGAGAGGAACATCAACAGTGAGACGGAGCCCGCACCAGGAGCGGGCTGGCGCTAGGAGGGGTCCGGATGTCTTAACAACAGCTGTTCCCGGATCCCTCCTGTTACAGGCGCAGAGTGGCACACCGTGTGGTTTTAGTCGGTCCGAGTCCGACACACCACCCCGCCGCAAACCCCGGAGGGGTGACGGTCCGAGGGGATTTCCACACGTTAAAAAAAAAAAAAAAAAGGGTTTATGTCAAGTTTTCCTTCTCTATACAGTGCTGGTGTTCTACGCAGTTTGCTCCCTTAGTTATTAAGAGAAGGAAATTATTACCCGAATATTAAGAGAAGGAAAACTTGACACATACACAACTTGACAATAGTCCTGCGTAGTTTGCTCCCTTAGTCGGCTCTTACGGCACCCACGGGATGAATAGGGGTGGTGACAATCTGTATTCTTTATCCGTCACCACACGGACAATATAAAGTAAATAAAGAGAATAATAATACAAATGGAGGAAGCGAACTCTATTTTCCTTTGTAAGTGGTAGCGTACGGCCGGTGGACAGAGAAAGAATATACAATACATACAATAAAAAAAAGTTGTCGGCTAATTACTTTAATGCACTGTATTTACTCACTATAATAAACTAAAATCACTATATAACTCGTTAGTAGCACTAGAAATTCACTCCGATGTTAATTCGCTGTGTCGTAAAACGATACTGTGTCGAACGGCCAAAACGATCCGCTTTTATTGCGCTTTTGAATTTTACTAAAAAGATCCAGAACAAGAATATTCCAGAATCAGTCACGGTTACTTGCAGCGCCATCTAGCGTTGTGAGGATCAGAACTATGAACCACGATCTTAATAGACGTACTTTAGTCGATACAAGATGGCACTATTATCCTCCACATTTCATGCAATCGAACCATTTAATCCTACGGCGCAACACTATTTTGGTCTTTCATCTCTCTTTACTCTTTGCACTGATTGGCTGATACTGAAGAGGGCATTTAAATACCCAATCAGTGACAAGAGCAGCGAGAGACGCAAGACCAAAACAATCATCTTTCTCTCTCTACCAACAGTATGCGATAGCACCTTTCTTGCTTCCTCTAACATTTATAAGCTCTTAGATTATCTGTAGTACTTACAATTAACTGTGATAATTGTAAGAAGGCAATACAACGTTTCATAATCCTCGTGTAGAAGAGAGATTTGAAGGATTCTTAGCAGATCAATCTGTAATATAAAAAGTATATTTAATGTGAATAACATAGAAAATGGAAAAACATTAAAAATAATTTAAAAATAGAAAAAGTCAACTGTTATAACGGAAATTTGAAACCACGACCAACTTAATAACGTGGGTAGCTTGAACTTCGAATACACTCGAGAGCAATGTGTAAGGGTCATATTTTATTTATTTATATTAATACTTTATGCACAAAAAAATGTACAAAGGTGGACTTAATCCCGTAGGCATGAGATGAGTGATTAGGTGTACTAAACTCAATAGAAAAATCGATGAAGATCATTAAAGCTTTTTTTTTATGGTATGAGGGGGCAAACGAGCCGACGGGTCACCTGATGGTAAACAACTACCGCCGCCCATGGACACCTGCAACTCAAAAGTCACAAGTGTTCTTGGACTTGATGTCCCTCCCGCTCGAGTCAGAGGGAGGGGGGGATTTGCGTTCCGGTAACCTCACTCACTCAGTGAAAGGCAACGAAAGAATTGCTTAACACCGGCTTTCCGTGAGGCCGTGGTATCACTCCAGTCGAGACAGTCCATTCGTGCCGAAGCATGGCTCTCCCACGGCTCTCTCAATTCGAGTCACATATCAATACACAAGAATGCTTGGGATTAATTAACGCAGGCTATTTCTTTCTTAAGTAAAAATGTGGTGTGGCTAGTATGTTTTTTATTATTATTATTTTTTCTATTTTTTATGTTTCACTTCATTTTCTCTTGTATTCGTTTTTTCTTCTTAATCTTGTTTTGTCTTCATTGTCTTTTCACCTTTTAGTCCTTAATAACGGACATACTAGCACACATCAAAACAATGTTGTGATATATATAATAGTGCCATTGTATCTACTTGTGAATTGCAAAAGAGTGGCCATGAGTTTGTTTGCCCTTTCTTCTCATAAGGCTCAACCCCTTGGAAACGGGCGGTTGTAGATCGGCACAGGCATATCATAGATTTTGTATGGGTTTGATTTTTGTTAAATTTATTTGGTTACTATTTGACAAAACAGAGATTGTTTCTTTTGTGTGTGTTGATCTATGACTTTAGAGTCTACATGGAAGACGATTTCAAACAATTTTGGAAATTTTATGAAATAAAGAAAGTTTGAGTTTGAGTTTGAATATCTGTATAGCACTAAGAAAGTTAGTTAAGTGAAATAAATTGTTTTGATAGAGAAGTGAATAGTTGTTGAATGAACGTGTTATAATTTATTTGTCGATTTGTATTGGATACATAAATATTTATACAAAAAAAACTCAATCAAGAAAACATAATATTTTTCTACACGATAGGTTTCTACACCATAAAAAAAACATGGCTCTCGAGTGTAGTAAGGATTTTTTCGCGAATTTAGCTTTCTTTATTATAACACCATGAATATACAAATAAAGTACCTTGTAATTTTTTCCATCCACTATATTAGGCAGGCTAATAATTATTTTATTATCCATTTCCAGGGAATACAAATCATCTGTGAAATCTTCTTTTGGTATTAAATGACGGTGTTCACCTGGAAAAAAGTAACATATTACATTTAGCGATCTTCATCAACAGCCTATAATAGTCGACTGCTGGACATAGGCCTCTCCTTAGAAAGGAGGTTTTGGCCTACTATACCACGCTGGCCAGACGGGTTGGTATAGGGTTTGTGTCAAGTTTTCCTTCTCTTTGCAGTGATGTTGTCCTGCGTAGTTTGCTCCCTTAGTCGGCTCTTACGACACCCACGGGATGAATAGGGGTGATGACACTCTGTATTCTTAATCCGTCACCACACGGAGCTACATTTAATTACTTTACAAATGAAGAATACGGAGTGTCGCCAGCGCTTTTTTTTTTCTTGCGGAAATCCCCTCGGATACCACCTATCGGTGGCATGTCGGACTCGATACGACTAAAACCGCACGCCGTTTCGAGTACTAATAGCCGGGGAACCAGGTATACCCTAGAAAGGAAGTCCCTGGTGCCCCGACATCCAGCCATCATCCATCGAGCCAATCCTCCATAACGGGTCTTACCGCCGCGATGACGGCGTGCCCGAAGTGTCACCACCCCTATTTATCCCGACTCAGGGAGCCAACGACGCGGTACAGCAACAGTATATGGCCGTGGTATGATTCTGGTTAATTACTAGAGTGAGCCCAGAGTAAAAGCTATGTTTGTTTTCCAAATGTCATAACTCGGTGCTCGTGACCCAAAGCTTTTGATCCTGGTGTACAGGAGTTACAGTTGTGGACGTGTGAGAGGAATTAATCCCGTTAAAAAAAAGCTTAGTTAAGTCCCTAAATAGTCCGTGTGGTGACTGATTAAGAATATGGAGTGTCGCCACCCCTATTCATGCCGACTAAGGGAGCAAACGACGCGGTACAACAACACTGCAAAGAAAAGGAAAACATGAAAAAAAAACCTACAACAACCCATGTGGCCAGCGCAGGTCAGGCCAAACCTCCTTTCTAAGGAGAGGCCTATGTCCAGCAGTGGATCTTGTGGACTACTAAAGGCTGTTGATGATGATGACGTAATGACTTCATTCAATCATTCAATTGTACTTACCTATAAGCAGAGACAGATCCCTTTGGAGTATTCTATCATCTGTTGTTGAGACGCTTCTTGTGGACTTTAGTTTCAATATCTGATTCATTATCTGTGAAATTTCATAGTGTCAATCACACTAATTTTATAAAGTCAAATGTGTCTGTGTTTTCGTAACTTTTTTACTTCTCCACCCTCAAACTGCTGGACCAATTCTGATGAAATTTGGTATGAAAGTAGCTGACGCTCTAGATTAACACATAGGCTACATTTAATTCCGAAAAAAATAGTGTTCACGTGGGATCAGCAAAGAATTAAATTATACTGGCTACAGCGGGTAACACCGCGGGGCGCAGCTACTAAAAAAGTTATTTAAATTGGTTCTTTATTTTATTTTTTTATTTAAAAAATAAAATGGGGTTTGAACCCACAACACTCGACGCAGTAGGAAGCGGCGTGGCGATCGCTTAAACCACTACGCCATCCGTGCAGTCAACGTTTAATGTGACCAATAGACTGAAGAGGTCGAGGTCAGCTACGTGCCCGTTCAACTCGACTCGACTAGACGCGAGCTATCGCTTATATTACCTAATAGATAATTTTAAGAATACTCCCAATTTTCACATACTTAATTCCCTAAATACCCGATTTGGCATAACGGGTAAGTCCCATATTACGTAAGTGGGACCAAATCATCGTCGTCAAAATGTCACCTACTTTCGCAATACACACATTTTTATGTATGTTTCTTACTCCATGTTACATTTTCTCCCCTTGAAAATTCCACAAACCGCAGAGGGGAAATATAGATCTACCCAACTTTGTTCTCACCACAGCCCCCCCCCCCCCCCCCCTGCAAAACTTTTATATAAGCGACAACAGCAAGCAACAGAGGTGTTATAACCGAACTTACATTACAAACTTGTCGATATTCCAGATCCTTCTTGGACTTTAAAAGAGTGTTCATTTCTGATAGAGCCTTCGTTAATAACTTTGTATCAACCGTATTGTTACTAAATATTACCTGAAAAACAATATTATTACAAACTGAAATAACAGTTTCTTAATTCTACCAACAGAGGGCCCAGTGTGAGTTTATTTCACCGCAACTCGATCGTCACGGTGACCGCGTTGTGATTGTCCCGCACTGAAATTTTCACAAATCGCAACGCCAAAAACGCTCGCCGTTGACTGCGAGTTGATGTGAAATAAGCTCACACTAGGCTCTCTATCTCAGATGTCGTAACTAAACTAAGAATAATATTATAGGACCTATAATGTAATAGACGATAGATATCCTAGTGGACGTTCCGATATATCACGGCACGACCAAAGAACCAAGTTTCGATGTTTTTTTTTGCAAAAACTGCAAAATTTATTTCTATTATTTATAAAATATACTATTTATTTTGAAAACTGCAGCTGTACAAAAATAATTTTAAACATTTTTAAAAAAGTTACATTTTCATGCTAAATCAACTACTTTTTTTATTACCTTTTGTGACACCTGTAAATGTCTACTTCTGGAACACCTTGTATATAGGTATTATAAAACTTACTTGTAACAGTGATAGGTTATCATCACGCTTATCATTCTTGAATGTGGACAGCAGTTGTTTTAAAAGACTGTTCTCTTTAAACATTTCCACATAAACAAACTGTAACAAAAAGTAATAAAATTTAAACTAGCGCCATCTACGAGAGATACGATGAACTACTTAGTAAATATCGATCCTGCATCACGCAATGATATTTTTGTCGCTGATTACTTATTTGTAAGAAAAAAACTATAGTATTCTGTCATCAAAAATCTATGTCATCTGTTTTTATAATAATAATAATAATTTGACACACCTCACCCACGACCGTCTGATCCTAAACTATATAGACAGAGCTAACTACTAAACTATGGTAACCAGACTGCTGATAAACATACTTCAATATTCCTAAATACATACATATTATAGATAAATTACACCTAGACACAGAAAATTTACGAGTATTTCACTAAATACATAACTATAAAGATATTCACACAAACTTAAGAAAAATGATCTTTTTTAAAGGACAACTTCCGTACTAGGTATAAATCCTGTGTCGCGGGGGACTTTACAAACATACATTAAACGAACACAAAGAACACCCAGACTCAGAACAACAATTTGTGGACCACACAAGTGTTGTCTCATGTGGGGATCGAACCCAGCAAAGTAGAAAGCGGCGAGGAGACCGCTTAAACCACTACGCTATCCGTGCAGTTTTTTAAGTTTGTTTGCATGAGCATAATTATTTATCCTGGATGGAAAGCGAACCCAAGATGTCAAGCTCAGCAGCCAAAACCGCCAACCTCTAAACCAATATGTCATTCAAATAGATACTAATATTTTAATGCGAAAGTGTGTCTGTCTGTCTCTTTACGCTTAAACTCCTGAGCCGATTTAGATGAAATTTGGTATAGAGATATTCCGAGGAAAGGACAAAGGGGGTGGACGTTTGTAAGGGGAATCAATAACCGATAATCCGATTTAGATGAAATTTGGTATCTATGGACATACTTTGGCCCTCTTGTTTGTTACATGAGGCTCGATCCTGTCCAATCGGATAATGCATATCCTAAATCCGTATCCGTTTAATAAACAACTTTATGCCCGTAATGATTAAGTATATTATTGTTTGACATACCCAGGTATATGGACAAACAAATATCAAACTTACCTTAGAAGATAGTAGACTCGAAGGGGGTATACACAGAACGTTAGAAAGCTCGTTAATAACTGGTCTTAGCGACTCACAGTGTTGAGAGCTATTATCTGTCTCGCTCACACTCAGCACGAAAGACAGCACACCTGACAACGATAACACTTGATTTGGATCCTAAAACCAATGGTCATTATACAGTTGGCTAGTAAAATCAGAAAAAAAAAGAAAAACGTGTGTATGTCAGCTCCGACGCACGACTGGAGTATATTCCTTAAGAACGTACGTTCCATACCCTGTGTACGTCTGCTGCACACTTTAGTGATCAGCGCCATCTATGTAAATTTTAGGACGATATTTTTTTTTTTTTTTTTAAAGACAACTTCCTCATTAGGTATATATCCTGTGTCGTGGGGGACTTTACAAACATACATGAAACGGACACAAAGAATGGAGACAAAATTAAAAGTCACGTATTAATTGCTATTGGGTTATTCCGTTTTAAATCAATTTTAATTTTATAGTCGATTACTCACTAAACTGTAACAAATTGCAATCATCGAACTAATAACAAACTCACAAAAAATATTATTACAACCACGTAAAAGTAAATAGTTGCACCGCCATCTATAAATTACATTTAGAACCTAAAACGTAGCTAGGTCATTCGATCACTAAATTTTACTCGTCATATTTTTTCATACCGGACGCCTTATATGAAAATCTATAGTTAAGGAGAAATTAAAAAAAAATTAATAGACCGTCCGACGTCCCCGACAGAAAAATTAATTAATTCATTCATTAGTATTTTTGCGCCATAGGATTAAATGGTTCGATTGTACCAGAATGTCGAGGACAGCGCCATCTAGTATCGAGTAAAGTATTAAGACACAACTTAATTAAGATTGTAATGAATAATTCTGATCCGGCGCTAATGGCGCTGCAAGTAACGCGGGACTGATGCTGGAATATTCTTGTTTGTCTGGAACGGACTACCAAATAATAGGGATCTTTCTAGTACATTCGATAGCGCTATAAAAGCGGAGCGTGTTGGCCGTACGGGATAGTATCGTTTTACGACACAGCGAATTAACATCTAAGTGAATTTCTAGTGCGACTAACGAGTTATATAGTGATTTCTAGTTTATTATAGTGAGTGTTTGGAAATACACTGCAATAAAAGTAACTAACCGACAACTTTTGTTTATTTAATACCCCGTTCGTAACAGTTTGAAAATAGAATACCTCTCCATTGTTTTTTTTTTAATATAAGAGCCATGTTTCGGCACAAACTGATTTAACCCGAGTAATGGCAAGGCCGATGTTAATCGGTTCTTTCGTGGCAATTTACCGAGGGACTGAGGTTCCCTCCCTCTTAGTTCAGTAGGATGGGAGTACTAAAGGTGGACAAAGTACTTGACTCTTTAGTTGACAGTAAGCATGGACGACGGTAGTTACTTATCATCAGGTGAGGTCCCTCTTTTGTCCCCTCATTCTATAAAAGAGAAGCAATATGTTAAAAGCGAATACATAAAACACTAACCTTTTTAGAAGCATCTAGAAAAGCTTTCAACAGCACCACAATCTGCTGCAAAATTTCTTCCAACACACACTTCTCTTTCGTATCAGGATCCAGAAGAGCTCTCCACACATCAGCAAACTTCTCTAGCCCGCCATTTTGTCGACTCAACTCAATTAATAATGTTAAGGCCGCCTGCCAAAAAACAGTTTTATTTTAGGCCTGCAATACATATCTTTTGTAGGCTGGCAACACACATTAGCTGTATTAAAACAATTTTAGAATCTTTAAATCGTAGCATAGAAGCAACGAGGAAGTGGGGTTTGGTAAAAGGGGATACGGATTAAAGGGGATATTCGGTTGTGTAGTTAAGGCGTTAAAACGTGACAAACAAACACCCTTTTACGCGTATAACACTAGTCAGGACAATCTAGGGAGGATCTTGTTTTAATTTTGACTGTGATCTGAAATGTATAAGTACGAGAATGTTTATAAGCAGTCTGGTTTCCATAGTACAGGCTCTATCTAGTTTGCGATCACATGGCCGAGTGCGAGTTTACTTCCCTTCTACTCGATCGTCACGGTGACCGCATTCAGCGATGTGATTTGCCCACACTGAAATCTTGACCAATCGCAAGGCCGAACGCGCTCGCTGTCGAAGGCGAGTTGATGTCAAATAAACTCACACTAGGGCCTCAGAGGTGTGTGTGTGTGAGAGAGATGTGTGAAGTGAGGTTAGTGTACCTACTGTTTCTCAACATTTCTAGATTGTTCCACCAGAAGTAGAGGGGGGCAAGATGAGCATTAGGTACAATCACTCACTCCGTAAAAGTTAGGAAAGAAACGCTTCATCAATCATCAACAGCTTTTAATAGTCCACTACTGGACATAGGCCTTTCCTTAGAAAGGAGGAGGAGTTAAGGAGGATACCAGCGTGGTATACTAGGCAGACTAGGGCTGGTAATATTGGTATATTATACCAATGGGGGTGGGAGAGGGCGAAGTTATTATTATTTTTATAAAGTATGTTATAAAGTATTTCTGCCGTGCGCAAGTATTTTGCTATGCAGTAACAATTTATATCATGTTACTTACTTTTCTAACATCTTTAGAAGTTTCCAGAATTCCTTTGACGACAATTCCTTGTCGGAGCGAGACAGGTATATTGTCGTAATACATGATTATAGTTAAGAGCAATGATTTGACATAACTCTCGCGAGATCCAAGACATACAGATACCTGAAATTGTAAATAGAATCGTTTTAACTTGAGGTCGTTTGTGGATTGCAGTCTATAACGGCGGATGCAAGAATATGTTTTACTTATAGCCATTAAGGAGTTCTTTATCCACCTTTTGTTCTGATCATCATCACCAAACCATCGTTTAGAATTGACAAGAGGTTATTGTGATAACATAGGCATGTGGACAGAATGAACAAAGTACTAATGACTAATGGCGAGCTAACGCGAGCCCCAGAAGACATACGACATAGTTTCCTTCTAATTTGATTATAATTGACGGGCCTGTTGGTCTTATGTCGGGGCACCAGGGACTTCCCTTCTAGGGTATACCGGCTAGTAGTACCCGAGACGGCGTGCGGTTTTAGTCGGTTCGAGGCCGACATGCCACCGATAGGTGGTATCCGAGGGGATTGCCGGACGGAATAAAAAAAAAAAAAGGGCCTGTTGGTCTAGTGGCTAGTGCCCCTGACTGCCTGGTCGTAGGTTCGATTCCCACCCGGGACAAATATTGTGTGATGAGCACAATCATTTGTTCTGTCTGGGTGTAATCTATCTATAATATGTGTGAATTAAAAAATTTATAAGTATGTTTATCAGCAGTCTGGTTACCATAGTACAGGCTCTGCCTGATTTGGGATCAGACGACCGTGTGTGAGATGTGTGAGGTATATTAATTATACATTATCCTGATTCTTAAGCCCAACTCTTTAGCTTGAGGGTCAAGGGATAAACTAACAGGATATAGTGCAATAGTTAAACTATATGGGTTCCTTGATTTAGACTACAGAACTCTGACAAGTACCTTCAGTGGTGGATAAAATGCTGACTCATATACTCACCAGATCAGCTTCTTGGTGACTAATAGAGCGATGCCTTATTTGAAACTCCAAGGCATCAGGTCTGAATATATTAGGAACAGGTATTTTGTAATCATTCTTTGCACAAAACGCTATGCGTAGTGCCGTGTGCTTGACCAGACTTGATTCTGAATCCATCCTAGGCTGAATTTCCTTACTGATGATGGTCTGAAACGGAGATTCAACTTAAGCGATAGCTTCCTTATTTAACCGACTTCAAAAAAGAAGGGGCGTTTTTTTTTCTCGCCTTATATTTGAGTTATTATGAACTTTCCGTTTGGTATTATTCAAATTTGAAGCCAGTTACTATTGAATTAGGTGTTTTGTTTATAGTACAGGGGAGCATACGAGCAGACTTGTCACCGTGGTGGTAAGTAACTACCGCCGCCCATGGACACTTGCAACCAAGTTTGTTGCCAGCATTTGAGTTCCCTCAACCCAGAATCAGTTAAGAAGAGGTTTGGGCTCCGGTAACCTCACTTACTTAATGAACAGCAACGAAAGGAGCCAGACTATTTGTCCAGAAGCATGTCTCTTCCAGGATAATTGACCTGGTTTGCCAGAGCTAATAAATACCCGTATATTACTCCATACCTTTATTTTATCTTCCGAAACCTGATCAAATATAACAGTATAGACTGCTAGCAATGCGTCCTTCACTTGGAGACTGTTCAACCCCCATAAATAGAGGCGAAGAACGTCATCTTCTGCTAACTTCTCCTTGAACAGTCCAGCATGAGACTTAAGGATGGACAGCAGAGCTGCAACACAAGAAATATTATATATTCTGATAGAAAGATCCGTGTGGTGTCTGTGGTGATGTGGCTAGGTTTTGATAGACATAATGCCTCAACGCATCTTCGAGATATTCGAGAACAACCCCGGCTTCAGGGGGGGGGGGGGTTAAAACCTTAGCACCGGCCTGGGTGTCAGTTTCGGGAGGCCCCAAAATCATAATTATAATACACATCCCATCATATCAACAGCCTTTAAGTTTTAGCCAATTTAGTCCACTGCTGGACATAAGCCCCTCCTTGGAAAGGAGGTTTTAGTCTACTATACCACGCTGGCCAGACGGGTTGGTATAGAGTTTGTTTCAAGTTTCATTCTCTTTGCAGTGCTGGTGTTCTGCGTAGTTTTTTCCCTTAGTCGGCTCTTACGACACCCACGGTATGAACAGGGGTAGTGACATTCCGTATTCTTAATCCGTCACCACACGGACAGTATCACAGACACTATAACGTAAGTGAAACAACAACAAGCCTATTACTATATAGGACGAGTTTAAAACTACTACCAAATACACTTAAAATTCATTTGACCTCTAACAGCACTACCGCCATCTGGTGGTGGAACACTTACGTTCAATGCATTTAGACAGTCTGGCACATTTTCTAGAAAAATCCTTATAAAAATTGTTCACTTCCATTATAGGGAGGTCCCTGCCAAAGTTCTCGAAGAGTCCATCTATACCTTCAAGAACTGCTTTCACTATGGTGTCCTTAAACAAATAAAAACATTTCCTTAATGGCTTTACTTTTGTTATGGTATAGAAGACAAACTAATATATGAGTCACCTGATGGTAAGTGGCGACCTCCGTCCTCAAGAGGCTCTAGTGCATTGTAGAACTTTAGACCCCTCCCCTCCCCAATAGGTAGAGTGCTCAAGTCTTGCTATGACCTGACAGATCACCGCAGTTAAGCAATTCTTACTAGCATATGATTCACCTGATGGTAAGTGGCGACCATTTATTTTGATAATATTTTACTACCAGGTAGCTATACAAAGAGCAACTTAGGCTATTTTTTCTCTCAGAAAAACTCTATAACATTTTGGCCGGTCCGGGAATCAAACCAACTAAGGCAGTGATTTTCAAATTCCACGCGAACGAAGTCACGGGCACCAGCTATTTTTACATTTTTACCTGAAATTGCATCCAAAAATTACTTACTGTATTATTTTGTTGTTGCAGCATGTTTAAATAGATTCTCCATACTCTTATGTACTCTTGGTCAACTCCCTCTGGGCAGTACCGGCATATATTGCCTGAAAATAACAAGAATAAAAACCTCACACATCTAACACACGGCCATCTGACCCCCAACTAGGCATAGCCTGTATCATAGCAACCTGCCTGCTGATAAACATCTATACAAATAAATAAAATTGAAGTGTCTGTTTGTAATGTCAAAATAATAGGAGTAGTGGTTTAAGCGGTCGCCACGCCGCTTACTACTACGCTGAGTGTTGTGGGTTCAAACCCCACATGGGTCGTAACATTGTGTGTGTAACATACACACGTAACAACAACAACAAAAACATTTACCAAACATTTGCCTAAAACCAGTTTAAATATTTTTTGTCTGTCTCTTTGTTTGTTCCGGGTAATCCTTAATTAGATCTTCAATTAGCTGTCTATATAAGGAGGAACGTAGGTTATTTTTTCTCTCAGAAAAACCCTATAAAATTTTGCCCGGTCCGGGAATCGAACTCATTAAGTGAGCGCTTTTCAAATTCAACGAAGTTGCGGGCACCAGCTAGTACTTATGTATTTTAAATGTTTAGTTCATCGCTTATCTACTTTTCATTGTACATGCGTACCTGCCATGTCCCTTACTGAACCATCATAAGGTTGACTGGCAGATAATGCCATGTGGCATTAAGTCCGCCTCGTGCAAATTGTAATACAGGAAGTGTAAAAAATAAACAAACAAATAAATTTGTCCTGTGTGGGAATCGAAATCCACTACCTCTGGATTAGCAGTCATACTGCACCTAACCACTGCACTAACAGACCCGTCTGGTATATAAGTTTAACAAACTTACCAACAAGAACAGCCAGAGGCGCTTTGCAAGTGCTAGAACTTTCTAGAGCATCGATGTGGCGCTTTGCATTGCCAGGGTCCACTCCAGGGTTCTTGAGGATGTCGATGAGACAATGGATGGCAGCTTTTTTTGTTTGCGCGTCATATGGCAACATGCACAGCTGGACAAATACATATTACTTCGTAAATCGTACTCAATTCAACAGCCTTTCTAAAGAGAGGGTGAGACCTGATGGAAAGCGACTACCGCTGTCGATGAACGCCTGCAGCTCAAGAGTCACAAGTGCTGAACATATCGCACCCTCGGTGCAACAAAGTCACAAGTAGACAAAATTGCCAAAATGACTTAAGTATGCCAAATTGTCTATAAACCATTTCTTCGTTTGGGAAATCAAAGACAGCCGCGAAAGTATTTGAATATATCGATAGATGGCATTAGTGCCTTTGTCGTTCTTGCTACATTTTCGACGAATATTGGGAGAACAGAGTATGATTGGTAAGTAGTGACCCCGCGCCCGCGTGAGTCAGTCGTGACTTGGAGCTACACCAGCTTAAAGGTATTAATGACAATTTTTATTCACATATATTGAAATAACAAAGTGCCATTATAACGCTCAAATAATTAAATTATATTTGTACCTGGTGCGACATAGTCACAAGTTACTACTTTTTTTTTGTTTCCCTTTTTTTTTTCAATTTTCTAATAAAATCAAAGAAATCTTTTTACATGATACTGTAGTTAAAAGAACAAATTATATAATTTTAATGAGATATCCCGGCTGCTGTAGGTAGTAATCTAGAAAAAAGGAAAATTGATCCAAAAAAAACTTAAAAGTCCGTTTCTGTAAAATTACAAAATGACCTGTTGAGACTTTGTTGCACCGAGGGTGCGATATGTCTTGAGTGGGCATAGAATCCACGACTTCTGGCTTAGTAGTCAGAAGCCCTAACCACAAGACCAAAGGACCTGCTCCTTTAGATATATAATCAAAGTAATAAAATGTTACCTTAACAATTGTTTCATGATCCTTTTCTAAGACCTCCCAATACTTGCACACAAGTCTAGATATGACTTTGAATGATTCAGCAATATTTTTTAACCATTCTTCAGACTTTTTTGTTGCAATTGTATTTAAAACATCTATTGGCTTAAAGAGAAGGGTTTGCGCCAACCATTCTGTAAAAAAAAAAAGTTTTTACCCATAGAGATATAAATAAGAATAGAGCACGCAAGGGAAGCCTCACCGTAATGCCCACACATGCGCAGTCGCGTTAACCATAATCACGATATGCATGCAGTGAGTGAGATAGAGAGGGCCTCTTCGTGCAGCGTTGGACACCTCAAAGCATTGGGTTAGGTGGGATGAGCGTGCCTATTCTTATATCTCTATGTTTTTAACTTTAGCATAATATATGGGTCAGTCTTAGAGTGATAAATGATATTTATTAAGTAAATTTTTTCAGATATTTTTACAAGTCCGACTTTGCAGCTAGAATTTTCTAAGACTCTGGGAAAAAACGCCGAAAGCACAGAGGTGTTTTTTTTTAGTCCGTGAACAATATTTAAGAAACCTATGCGAGTGTAGTGTATGGTCTGGGTTGGCCTTTTGAAGAAAGGACCATAGTTTTGAGTCGGCCTGTCCAAACAGACGGCATACAGGTCCCAGCTGTCGTGGTGCCTAACCGATATTATCAACGACCGGAAGCACGACACTACCGGCAACAGGAAATTTGGGTAGGCGGTGGAAAAATTAAAAAAAAACAACTGCTTGACATAGGCCTCTACTAAGAAAGAAGGTTTTGGCCAGACCACGCTGGCCAGATGGGTTGGTTAAAGTTTCAAGTTTTCGTTCGTTTTGCAGTGCTGTTGTCCTGCAAAGCTTACCCCTAGTCGGCTCTTACAACACCCACGGGATGAATAGGGGTGGTGACACTCTGTATTCCTAATCCATCACCACACAGCCAATATGTTTATCCGCAGTCTGGTTACAGTACAGTATAGTACAGGCTCTGCCTAGTTTGGGATCAGACGGCCGTGTGTGAGATGTGTGAGGTTATTATTAATATTTTTTTACCCTAAATATAGTACAGTAAAGTTACCTATTTCAAATGGTGCTAGATTCCCTGAAATAAGTGTTTCTGCAGTTCGAAGTGCTTTTTCAATGTCTCTCGGTTCTGGATTGTCAGGGTATGAGGAGACCAGCTCTGACCAACTGTCCATATTGAACTGCAATGAACACATGCATGTCTATGCTAACATTATAAAGGCGAAAGTATATCTGTCTGTTCCCTCTTCGTGCTTAAACCGCTGGACCAATTAAGATGAAATTTGGTATAGTAATAGTTTGAGTTCCGGAAAAGGACATAGGATAGTTTTTATTTCAGAAATCATCCTTTAAAGGGGTGAAAAGGTGAGTGGATGTTTGTATGTTGAATCAATAATTAAATTACTTATTACTAACTAGCTGACCCGCGCAACTTCGTCTGCGTCTCTCAATAGTAATAAATTTTCTCCGTTTTTGAAACATTCTTCATTGGTGCTCCGCTCCTATTGGTCTTAGCGTGATGATATATAGCCTATAGCCTTCCTCGATAAATGGGCTATCTAACACTGAAAGAATTTTTCAAATCGGACCAGCAGTTCCTGAGATTAGCGCGTTCAAACAAACAAACAAACAAACAAACTCTTCAGCTTTATAATATTAGTATAGATTAAATGAGTAGTGGTTAAAAAACAAAATACCTATTGATTATGTTTTTCATATTAATCATACAATTTGAAGTTACACAAGTGTGGTTTATAAAAAACAAGCATTATTTTATTTAATCATTGATTATTATCTCAACCACTTTGAATAATGTTTCTCAATAGTACTTAAATAATAAATTTCTTTCAGATAAAACTTTATATAAAGTTTAATGAAAAATACAAATATTTTTTAGCAAAAATTTAGCGCGATTTACATAGACTAGTTTAGCTTAGATCATACAACTTACTTCCTTTGCTAAACCTACAGGTTTTTTTTAAAAAAAAGCTCTTATAGACTTATAGTACAATAAGTACTAAAAATAGATTTTTTACTAAATAAGAATATCACCAGGAGCTAAAACAAACTTACACAATTAAGTTATTTAATTATTCTTCTTCCAGTTTATATCAATTTTCTACAAAAACAGAACAAGCTATAATTTTTTGCAATATTTTATTACCGGCTCAGCTGTAAAGTGTATTTTGAAGTTTACCTTATCGTTATTTTGACAACAATTTAAATGTTACCAACATTTAAAGATTCTCCGCAATATCTGTTAATCATAGTTAATATATTAGGTCCTCACATAAGAAATTGGCGTTTCGTATGGGTGGAATATAAAGTCTTTTTTTTTTGTGAAATATATTTAATTAATCAAAGTATGCACCGTTGTTACCTAAGCACTTTTGCCTTTACTAAAAAACTATGGGGGCGCGAGAATCAATAAACTCTTTGAAGGCGGTTTGGACTGAAAAATGGTAATCTGTTGGAGTAAGGTCCGGAGAGTACGGTGGAAGTCGCAGACATTCCAATTGAGGCTCATCTAACTTACTGGTTGTTTGTTGTGCAGTGTGTGGTCTTGCGTTGTTGTAAAGAAGCAGCAGCCTAGAGTGATTGACAAATCTCGGTTGTTTAGTAGCTAGTTCTTCCTTCATGGTTTGCAGTTGCAGACGATAGATATCTTCCGTAATCGTTTGGCCAGATTTTAGAAAGCTGTAGTGAACAACCCTAGTCCACCAAACTCTCACCAACACCAACTCTCTGGGCGAGTCTCCAGGGTTTAGCCATTGCAACGAGCACTTCCGATATTCGTACAGTATCCACTTTTCATCACAAGTAATGATTCGATTTAAAATCCCTTCATTATTGCGTCGGTTGAACAAAGTAACACAGCTCAATGAATGAGTTACCCATCGTTCAAGTTTTTTTTACTTCCCGATTTGCTTCAGGTGGATTAATACAGTTTTATCACTTACCCTGAAGCCTACAGCTATCTCTGAAGTGCTTTGTGATGGATCCGCTTCCACAATAGCCATTAATTCTTCATTTTCCACTTTGGTCTCCGGCCGTCCACGGGGTTGGTGCTGAACTTCGAAAACGTTGAAACCAAAAACGTACCGTGCTTTCTTTTGCGACACCAGCGCCTTGCACATAATTAATCCTTCGAGCTGTTTCTGCAGCACTGGTGCCACGGTAGAACTCGTACTCGTAAATATACCGATATTTCATGTTTTCCATTGTGTGGTAATAAGCGACGCCAAAGAAAAAATAATGAGGAAAAAACAAATGAATGACTGTTTTCTAAACTCAAATGTACCAGGTAAATGAATTTATAAATTTGATTCTGGAATTCATAACCAAAGAGGAGATATTTCAGATCAAAGTGGTCAGTCAAAGTGATCAAAACGCCAATTTCATATGTAAGGACCTAATAGGTAAATATTAATAAAGCACACTTTGTTAACATTACACCGCTAGTGTGGTCGCATATCGTCAATTTAGGGACATGATTGAGAAAGGGCCTGGGGCTATGAACATAAAATGTATAGCGTCTAAAGAACGAAATATACTTTACTTGGCGTCGCGAAGCGGTGGCTGGCATTCTTTTTACTCTGTTTCAGGTTTCATATTTTGTTCAAGAAAAATTAAATTAAATTAATACTGTTTCGGTAACAGACATGGTAAGAAAGTAAGAAAAATATGGAAATTAAAACAAAACTGGGTGCGCCTGGGCGCTCGCTGTACGTACAGCGAGCGTCCAGGTGCACCCCGGTGACACTGAAAGAAAGAAATGGAACAGTAAAACTGGTATCATTTAAGCAGCTTATATTCTAAAACCACTTTGAAAATTGAAACATGAAAGTTCTAAACCGAAATGTTAAAATAAAATATTTTGTAAATAATATGGAAAACCAGGGTCTTAGTAGAATACTATTTTAATTTTTTTTGGGGATAAATCAAAAAGTTGGCAGCACCAAACAAATGATCGATTCCAAATTGGATACGACTTATTTAAGATTTCTAACAACAATTCCGCGAATAGTAGGGTCCTAAGGAAAACTTTAATAAAAATATGTTAACAATGTGTTGAACTAAAATAGCGGTGACGAAATTATGGGAGACATCAAAACATGATGTAATATCATATTGCCGCGTATAATGAATCGTACCTACTATAGTTCGTTCGATTATACTGATTATAATCCTATGAAATAAAAAATCGCTGATGTGAAACGAGTTTCAGTAAGCAGACATTCCATTACAACATAATCGGTTTAAATTCTGACAGTACAACTTATCAAAATCTAGTTTTGATTTGATACATCTTGATAAAAAAGAGAACGTAATTGATCATTTATTCAAAAAAATATTACACAGGCATCAATTGATTTTTCCAAACTGGCATCGCGAAGAGCTCTTGTTGTGGGCATCCACTATTATTCACCCTTGTTACATCGAACTTCACCGAATAGGTTAGGTTACGATTTATATTTTTAGTATTAGTTTGGTTTCTATCCAAACTATCGGTAAGTAATTATTCTGAATAAGTTTAGATTGGATTAAAATCATTTTTATATCAATGGAACAGGTTTAGAAAAGTTTAAAACTTGCTTTTTGGTTATCATCAGCAAAACTTCATAATTTTAGCTCTTATTAGAATTAAAACCAGTATCTTTTGTGTGAAATGTACCTAATTACTTCTGCAAACTATTGCCCGTAAAAAGCCTCCGCCGTGGCTGCTACTTTAAGAACAAAAATATTCACAATTTTAGTGAAATAGACAGTGTAATGCAAGCTACAAAATTCAAACATTTACAACATAAAAATGGATGTACATATATTCTAGAATATTATGATATTCTAGAATGTATGTTCATAAATTTTATGGCTTTAAATAGCTGTGCCCTGCCTCACTTTCCTGTGATTGGCATTCCTGTGATTGATGATAAATAATTAACAAAACGGATGCAAAAATGAGATAAAAACAACCTTTGAAGCGGGTTGACATTGTGTGAAAACTTTTATATTACTTACTATTTTATACTAACTTTTATGTTATAGTTAGCAAAAGTTGGATGTTTAATACTCCTGTGCTTTCCCCTTTGGGGACACAGGCCTGGTTGTATGTATGTATGTATGAAAGTAAAAATAATTATCTCATTATTTTATTTCAGTTCACCAGTGAATAAGCGACATATCTCTGGTATGTCGTCACAGTTTTCTCCGACAGGGCCTTCGGGGTCTCCCGGAGGATCTCCGGGGGCCTCTCCTGGCTCTCCCGTAGCTCGGCCTAGATTTGGAGGGGGTAATGCTGGCAATATCAATATACCTGGAGTGGTGAAGCGATATGATGATATAATCAAGAGTGCTGAAGATAAGCGCGAATACAGGTAATATACAGAATAATAATAACCTCACCCACAGCCGTCTCATTCCAAACTGGGCAGAGCCTGTGATATTATAACCAGACTGTTGATAAACATACTTATATAATTACATACATAATATAAATAAAATACACCCAGACACGGAACAAATCATTATACTCAACACAATTATTTGTGCTGGGTTGAAATCAAACCCGCAACCTCCGGCTTAGCAGCCAGGGTCACCAACCACTAGACCAACAGGCCCATCATAATGTTATATTTATACATATAAGTCAACTTATTAGCTAGCTTTTTCCTGCGGTTTTGGTTGTGTAGATTATTTTTCCGCACCTGGAACATATTTAAGAAAAAGACTTGTATGTAAGCAGAGCATTGCTTCGGCGCACATATGGGCCAGCTCCACTGGACTGATGTGTCGAGTGGGTATTTTCTACAAGCTTTTGACCTTGGCTCCGCCAGTGTATGTCAGTTATCATGATAAAAAGTAGCCTAGGTCCTGCCAATGTAACTACCTCCATAATTTTTTTATCTAAATAGGTTTAGCGGTTATTGATTCCCTATACTAGCTTCCATCTCTTTTTTCACCACTTTAAAATATGATTTCTGGGATAAAAACTATCCTATGTCCTTTCCTGGGACCATCTACACCACATTTTATCTAAATCGGTTCAGCGGTTTAAACATTAAGAGGTAACAGGAACAGACAGACATTCGCATTTTGCATTTTTAATATTAGTATGGACTGAATATGACAAAAAGTTCAATTTACCAAATCCTTTTTTATATACTTGTTCCAGAGGTTTGCTGTTGACAAACAGACTAAAAGTTCTCCTGGTTAGTGATCCAACTACTGATAAATCTGCAGCCGCAATGGATGTCAATGTTGGTGAGTCTCTTACACTTTTATACAATTGGATGAGGCACAAAACTGGGCTAATTGGCTCACAAAGCAGTTGAGAGATTATGCATACTCGCATATTTTAACCTAAAGCGGTAAAGTAATTATTATTGTGTAATAGGAAATAAGGAGAGGCCTATGTCTAGCAGTGGACTGTTAAAGGCTGTTGATCATGATGATGATGATGATTAGGAAATAAGCCTATTGTCATCAAATGGACACAAAAAACTATTAACCTTTTCATCACGTCAACAGCCTTTCTTTAGACAGGATGTTTTGGCCTATTATAACACTCTGGTCAGAGGAGTTTGTGTAAGGTCGGTTTCAAGTTTGCTCCCTTTAAGTGTTAATATCAGTACATTATATCTTTAAAGGATATTTAAATGGATATGGATGCAAATCTAATTTTTCTCTCAGAAATCCTCAGATAGAATAATGGATTTTCAGCACATCACTAGTGATGATCATCTATCAGTACCTACATGACTACTTGTTTAAACAGACACACCAGCAGTGCTATTCTCTAAGGAAACAGCATTGAGTACAGTGCTGCCACAGCGTCGAATTTCAAACTAACTTTGTTTGAAATTCGACCCTTTGACAGAGTTGTAACGTTGAAATTTAAAAATTCTACTTTAAATACTTTTTTTTGTTTTAAAAATTCTTGTTGTTGTCTTTTGTTATCAGACACCACTACTACCATACACATTATCACAAATACACCACACAGTAAAATATTATATACATGATAGGATTGATTTTCAGGGTACCTGAGCGATCCAGATGAGTTGCCAGGCTTGGCACACTTTTGTGAACACATGCTGTTCCTCGGCACCAAGAAATATCCTGAGGTATGGTTTCATTTATTACTGCTGGAACACAGAGCCTAGATATTTATTTGGGACGTTGAGAACATATATGTAGGAAATATATTTCAATGCCATCTAGCAGATACACACTGAACTAATTAGCGACTACTAATCCTGCATCGCACAATTGAAAATCTCGCGCCGATTCCGTCATAAAGGCTTCCAATTTATTTTTATGATATAGAAGGGCAAACCAGCAAACTGACTTTGACTGCAAGGATGGTGTAGTAGTTTAAACCACGTCGCCACGCCGCTTACTGCTACACTGAGTGTTGTGGGTCCGATCTCCATATGGAACGACACTTTGTGTGATTCACAAATTGTTGTTCTGAGTCTGGGTGTTCTTTGAGTCCGTATAATTGTTGGTTATCGCGGTAAAAAGTAGTTAAAAATGTTACTAGCTTACCGTTGGTGAAAAAAAAAAACGGTTTAGTGGCTTAGGTGTGAAAGCGTAACAAACAACCAATCAAACTCACTTTCACATAATCAGGTATGTATAACCATAGAGGGGGTAACACTGGAGGTGAGCGCCAACGCGTAGCAAGTACTGACTTAACCTACTCCTGGGTCGCGATACCCACACGCTGTCAACGTCGCATGTGTTGCCCCATCTATCACGCCATGGACCCGGCACCCGCACGGTGAATCCATGTAACGCTAAGAAATAGGACTTTAAGTATGAATTTTTACAGGAAAACGAGTACAATAAGTTCCTATCGGAGTACGGTGGAAGTTCAAACGCGTCCACATCGTCTGACCACACGACGTACTACTTCGACGTGCTCCCTGAACATCTGGGTAAAGCTCTTGATATGTAAGTCAATTAGTATCCAATGCAATGTTTATTACCCAGCTCTTCGTACCTCATCATCATTCTGTACCATCCTGCACTTTTGTATCACTGCTTACCTACTAGTGATTATTGCGTGATGTTAAATAGCTAACCTTCCTTACGAATTGACTTTAAGGTGTTTTTTTTTTTCAATACTGATATGTGGTTCTAGAGTAGAGGGAAATAAAGAGAGAGAACACCACCACCAATCTCTTTATGTCTGTGTGTGCGAGCGTGCGTGCGTGCGTGCACGTGTCTGTGTGCGCACGTGTGTGTGTTTTTTTTTTTCAAGAGGTAGAAAAATACTTTTACGTATCGTCAGGACTAGACTGGTGGTATGTCGGACTCAGATGTTTAATACCGACTAAAAAACGCCCTCTTTCTCCATCCTACTTTTTACTAGTTAAGAGTTCTGACTGTAACATGTGTGCTGGCTGTCCTGATGGTGTAGTGGTAGAGCCATGCTTTTTTATGATAAAAAGGGCAAATGAGCAGGTTAGTCATCTGATGAAAAGTGACTACCGTCGTCTATGAACGCCTGCAACTTAGGAGGCACAAGCATTTTGCTAGCTTTTGTGGAAGTGGAAGTTCGCTTCTTTCGTGAAGGTTCGGAGAATTAATAAATGAGCCCTGACGTTTTTATTGTACGTCTTGTCACAAACTACGTTAAGTTACTCCATTGCAAGAAAAGTTACTTGTGGTGAACTTGTGGTGGGTAGAAAAGTCCGTGTGGTGACGGATTAAGAATACAAATTGTCACCACCCCAATTCATCCCGTGGGTGTCGTAAGAGCCGACTAAGGGAGCAAACTAAGCAGGACAACAGCACTGCAAAGAGAAGAAAAACTTGAAACAAACCCTATACCAACCCGTCTGGCCAACGTGATATAGTAGGCCAAAACCTCCTTTCTAAGGAGAGGCCTATGTCCAGCAGTGGACTAGTATAGGCTGTTGATGATGATGTGATGAAGAAAAGTTACTTGTATTAACAGTTTTTTTAATGATTATAATAATAATCATTTTAAAAAACTGTTAATGGATGACTGATTAAGAATACGGAATGTCACTACACCAATTCATCCCTTCGGTGTACTAAGGGCGCAAAACAACGCATGGCACCAGCACTGCAAAAAGAAGGCAAACTTGACACAAACCCTATACCATATGGCCAGCGTGGTATAGTAGGCAAAAACCTCCTTTCTAAGAAGAGGCCTATGTCCAGCAGTGGACTATTAAAGGCTGTTGATGTGTGATGTGATGTGTATAATAATAATAACTTCACACATTTCACACACGGCAGTCTGATCCCAAACTAGGTAGCCCCTGTGCTGTGGTAACCAGACTGCTGATAAACATACTTATATATTTCTAAATACATACATATTATAGATAAATAATTACACCGAGATACAGAACAAATGATCGTGCTCATCACACAATTACTTGTCATGAGATTGAACCCACGATCCTTAGGAGTCAGGGACCTAACCACTAGACTAGTACGCTCGTCAACTGATTGCCTACTTTTACACAGTTTTGCCCAATTCTTCATCTCACCGCTGTTCACGGAGTCAGCGACCGGTCGAGAGCTCAGCGCTGTAAATTCTGAACACGAGAAGAACACTTCTTCTGATACTTGGCGACTGGATCAGTTGAATAAGAGCACAGCTGATCCTAAGCATCCCTTCCACAAGTTTGGCACAGGTAAGTGGCAGTGGAGACTATTATTAACTAAAAATATAACCTACTAGCTTTTAAGCTAGCTAGCTTAAAAGTAGCCTATGTCTTTCCTCGAGAATCAAAGTATCTTCATACCAAATTTCATCTAAATCGGTCCAGTTTTGATTGATTCCCCATACAAACTTCCACCCCCATTTTCACCCCCTTAAAGGATGATTTCTGGGATAAAAATTTCTGTACCAAATTTCATCTAAATCGACAGACAGACACACTTTCGCATTTATTATATTAGTATGGATAACCTCACACACTCCGTGAAAACCAGCGATGGGATTCCTTAATTCCGACTTCCTGTGAGGCCCGTACATGTGTACTGAAGCATGACGTGGAACAGACGGGTCACCTAATAGTAAGCAACAACCGACGCCCATAGACACCTGGAACTTAAAAGTCACAAGTTCCTTACCACCTTTTAACCCCCCTCCCCCCACCCAAATAAGGGAAAAAGGGGGTTTGACGCCGGTAATTTCACTCAAACAGTTGCTTGCAGTTGAGAATGGCTCTTTGGCTCTCCCACGGTAGACATGTTATTGACAGAGACTGAGATTGTCCCTTGCTTGATAATATTCTCTTATTGGTTGCAGGAAACAAGGAGACTTTGGAGACCATACCGAAGTCTAAAAACATGGATGTCAGGAAGGAGTTGCTGAAGTTCCACGAGAAGTGGTACTCCTCTAATATTATGACTCTGGTCGTCTTGGGCAAAGGTAAAAGTATACCTGTAGAAATTTCAGTTGTTCCAAGTTTTGAAGTATCACCTAATAAACACCACTTTCTTAAATCAACCGTCAGATCACGGCTTCCAAGCATGATTATATGTCACCCTTTGTTTGGAGGGACTCCACAAGCCTAGTATTCTTTATAACTCCTCCAGCTGAGCTAAATACTCGAATTATCCCTCAGTGGGGTTCGAACTCTACTTAGGGAACATACACATAAAATACTGGATTAGGGCTTAGTTTTGGTCGCGTAGTCAATATCCTCTAAGGAGATTTCGCGCAGTATTCAAATATGGCAAGCGCTGTATTAATCAAGACTTGTTATTTTACGGGTTTCAATAAACAAAAAAAACGAGATTCTCAAGTAAACTGTTTATTGTAATTTCTACTGTACATACCGTTCCATGGATTGCAAGCAAAAGGCCGGAAGGAAGGTCACAAAACATAGAGTTACAAAAGATTGTTCCGCTCGCACTATAATTGTTCTGTTTTCATTGCATTACTATAATTACTTTAAATCAGAATAAAGACAAATTTGAGTAAAATTATTTGTGAATGTTTACGTGAAAACTAAACCGACCGGTGCCCGGGGCCGGTGGCCGGGGCCGGACTAAACCAACCGGTGGTCATCGAAAGGACGGATTAAAAAAATGAAAAAAAAAACCATCACGTAGTATTGGTATGATCCTTAACCTAAACTTTTATTGTATTCCAGAATCATTAGACGAGTTGGAAGCAATTGTCGTTCCTCTGTTCTCCGCGGTGGAAGACAGGTCGGTGACGGCGCCTACTTGGCCTGAACATCCGTATCCGCCGGAACTTCGTAGGAAGAGGGCGTACTGCCTTCCCGTGAAGGATATGAGGTCTCTGTCCATTGATTTCCCCGTGCCCGATACGAGAAAATATTATAAAAGTGGGGTAAGGAATATCAATGTAATAATAATATGGTACCACATTCACACAACGCCATCTAGTCCCAAACTAAGCAGAGCTTGTACCATGGGTACTAGACAACTGATATAAATACATATGATACATATAAACACCCAGACCCAATCAAAAATTAAGTTTTCATGCACGCAAATGTTTGACTTGAGCGGGAATCGAACCCGCGACCTTTAGCATAGCAATCCGTTACACAAACCACTACGCCATCCGGTCGTACATATATAATATTCTTGGACATTTACCTGTCTACATTACTGGCTTTCGTAAAATTCTTAAAGGGATGAAACAAGCATACTGGTCGACTAATTATAACTAACTACCGCTGGCCATGAACACCTGCAACTCAAAATACCCCCCTCCCCCCCAATTTGGAGAGGGGGGGGGGGCAGAAGTTTGGGACTCCAATAATCTTCTTTACTCGGTTTGTGTTACACCGGTTTTCTGTGATCGTCACCATCTGTCTACCTCCTCCCTCCCTAGAGAGGGCTCAAAAGGCGGCAACGCACTTGTGTCTTTTGAGTTTATCAATTACGCTCACTCCTAAAAATATACTTTTTATTTGAGTTAAAGGGAAATGAATCTTTGGTATAAGTCTTAAGGTCTATATTCAATTGCTGACATAAATTTTTATTCTTCTACAGCCTGGCCATTATCTATCTCATCTCATTGGTCACGAGGGCCCTGGGAGCTTGCTGTCTGCTTTCAAGAAGCGAGGATGGTGCAATAGGTATGAGCTTCTGAATAAGTATACTTACTTAAGAGATATGCTGTCTGCTTACGTCATCAATGACGTCATTTATAGACCAGCCTCCTATCCAATCTGGTCCAAGCTTCTTTGAAATTTGAAAGTTTCCGAAATTTCAAATTTCTTGGAACCTGATTGGCTAGATGGCGGGGCTTGATCGATGCGTCACTATTTTCTTAACGCGAATGGACATAGGTAAAGGCCCTTCCTCCGCGGCAAAGCGTACGTTCATCACTTTCCATCTGCTGACTCTTGCTCTAAGTGACGTGTCTCGTTTGTCCCCTATTTCATAAAAAAAGCCCAACCCTTCTAATTTATTCTGGAGGGGGGAGAAAAGGGCCGCAAAGCACCTGTGTCTCTTGAATTGTCAGTGTTTATGAGCGGCGGCAGTCACTTTCCTTCAGGTGACCACGTGACTCGTTTGCCACCTATATACCCTTGACTTAATTTAAAGTACATTATATGATAAATAAAAATGGAAGATTAGAATTTAAGTAAGCATGCAAATTGTTTTGTCAAAAAAACTACGCACATTATAGAATACGTTTTTAACCGATTTCAAAAAGGAGGAGGTTATCAATTTGGATGTTTATATTTTTTATGTATGTTCGGGCATAACTCTGCTATGTATATACGGATTTACAAAAAATAATAATTTGAATGGGTTTTATTCCGAAATGGTCCCATTAAAATTTCATATAAATCTGATTTCTGAAATAATGTTACCGCAAATTATAGTGTTTGTTTAATTTGTACGTCTCTGCCCTTCCGCCCTTCGGGGATACAGACGTGGTTATAAGTATGTATGTTTGTTTTTGTTTTGTTCATAGTTTAGTTGGTGGGACGCGTATAGGCGCCCGAGGGTTTGGGTTCTTCGGAGTACAAGTCGACCTGACCGAGGAAGGACTCGCTCATATCGATGACATCATCAAATTGGTGTTTCAGGTATTTTCTAATTATTTTTTTACTAGCTTTTGCCCGCTGCTCCGCTCGCGTGTATGTTGGCTATCGCAGTAAAAAACGCCTATGTCCTTCCTCAAGAATCAAAGTATCTCCATGCCAAATTGCGGTATTTCCGAACCGATACAACCTTCAAACCTTCAAGAGCGAAAAGAGCGTATTCCTTGCTACCGGCAAAGCGTTTGTGACTCCTGAGTTGCAGACGTTTATGGGCGGTAATAGTCACTTTCCATCAGGTGACCCCTCTGCTCGTCTGCCCCCTCTGACATTCATCGAAATCGGTTCAGCGAACCGTAACAGACAGACAGTTACTGCCGCATTTATAATATTAGTGGGATTTTGTATTAAATTTAATTATGGGAGTGTCTAGAGGAGATCTCACCCTTATTTTTAACTGTATTCATCATTCAGGAATTAAAAACATGGCTAAACAGTGGAGACTTAAATTGCTATTTTGTAGGCAGGAAACTCCTATTCTAGAAGACCTCACAGCCAGTGTTAGTTCTTACGCTGCCTTTAAGTAAGGCTACCGGAGTAATTTTTGCATCAATTTGCATTAAATATCGTTTTGTGTGGACAGCAATTTTTTTGGCGGTAGCCTTGTGGTTGAAGTATTGGACTTGTGATCAAAAGTACACTACCAACGTGAAGCCACTCCTAACACAAGCAATTTAGCTTAGCTGGAGAGGTTGAGGAGAATTCTAGTAATTACGGTTGCTAGTAAACCTAGTAAACCCCCAATTCATCCCGTGGGTGTCGTAAGAGGCGACTAAGGGAGCAAACTAAGCAGGACAACAGCACTGCAAAGAGAAGGAAAACTTGAAACAAACCCTATACCAACCCGTCTGGCCAGCGTGGTATAGTAGGCCAAAACATCCTTTCTAAGGAGAGTTTTCTATGTCCTATGTTTGAATTTTCTATGTCCAGCAGTGGACTAGTATAGGCTGTTGATGATGATGAGTAAACCTAAAAAAAAAAAACTATTTCGCTCTGAAACTAAATCATTTTTGGTTAAGTTAGGTACGGCCCGGAGGCCTTTATAGCTACAGTTCCCGAATCCCTCTTATTTCCGGCGCAGGAGCCTTAGGGTTTTGCACCTGCAGGTTAGAGATTTTGTAACCATAATTTCGACTTTATTTTTTAGTATATTGCCATGTTAAAAGCCGAACCACCAAAGCTGTGGATATGGGAGGAGCAGAGGGACCTTATGGCGTCGGAGTTCCGTTTCAAGGATGCACAGGAACCCAGGAGTCTGGTGGTTGGACATGTGCATCTTCTACAGGTAAGTCCTGTTGAGAGAGAGAGAGAGAGAGAAAGAAATCTAAAGATTGCGTCTAGCTGACTGTGTCTAATCTGTGTCTCTCAAAAGGATTCAATTTTCCCCCTTTTTGCAGCATTTTTCATTGATTCTCGGCTCCTATTGGTCTTAGCGTGATGTTATATAGCCAATAGCTTTCCTCGATAAATGGGTTATTCAAGTCACTAAAAGAATTTTTCAATTCGCACCAGTAGTTCCTGATATAAGCGCGATCAACCGAACAAACAAATTCTTCTGTTTTATAATAGTACAGATTATATTCTCATTTTTCAGGAATTCCCAATGGAAGATATCCTAAGCGCATACTATCTTATGACGGAATGGAAACCGGAGTTAATAACGGAATTGCTGAGTTTGCTGACACCGGAGAATGTTCGCGTGGCTGTTGTAGCTAAGTGAGTATACAGCGTGTTAGAGATGAACCTGGCCGTGGGAGAGCCATACTTCAGCACACATAGGCCGACTCGGTTCTTTCCACTTGACCCCCCGCGTGGACCCCTATTGGTTGTGGACTTCGGTTTCAGCATTTAGACCCAAGACTGGTCCTTTATGCGTCGAGGACTGGTTAGCTAGGTGAGCCAACCAAGCTCCTTCCAGAAGCACAGAAGCCTCCTGGACCCCCTAGGACCTATGGACCCCATGGACACTCACTATTACACTTGGACCCCTTCAATATAGTCTTTGCATATGGTTGCCTGTTAGAGATCGCCTCAGAGCGATATAGTCGCTAATTTGTATTGTTCACAAAGCTGGATTTTAATTCCTAAATGTAATGTTCTTCAGTGTACAATGTCTGGGAGTTGAAGTATAATATAAATTTAATAATTATTCTCTCCCCTCCAGGTTGGGGTGTCGTTGCTTTTTACAGAGTGAGTGGAGTTATGTGTTACCAATACATCTCCTAATTCTTGAGAGGGGGGCGGTAGGGAGATTTCAGAGATGGATAACGTAATTTTGACATCTGTCAGCGCTGGAAATCACTTACCACCCGGTACTCGTGTGCCCGTTTGCCCCCTATACTATAAAAACACTACTAAAATGTTTCTGGTGTTTCACAGGGCGTTCGCCGACAAATGCACAATGTCCGAGTTCTGGTACGGCACCAAATACCTACAGGAAGATATTGAACCGGCTAAATTAAAGGTACTTATGTTTTTTTTTTATGTTAGAGGGTGCAGACGAGCAGACGGGTCACCTGATGGAAAGTGACTATCGCCGCCCATGAACGTCTGCAACTCAGGAGTCACAAACGCTTTGCTAGCCTTTTAGGAAGGAGTACGCTCTTTTCTTGAAGGTTTGAAGGTGGTATCGGTCCGGAAATACCGCAGACGATAACCCGTTCCACAGATTGGTTGTGCGGGGCAAAAGGTGTCTCTGTAGTAGAGCGCCAACTATCCAGGTAATTAGGATGAAAATTTTGCCGTGTGGAACGATGGCGGAAAGTTGCGGCTGGTATTAATCCGAACAATTTCTCGGAGCACTCTCCATGGTACAACTCATTTGTTGTTATGTTTTTAAATATTTCTATATAATAGTTTATATGCTTATTAACTAGGTTTATTTTAGTCCATTCGAGTTAAGAAAATACTGACGTGTCGCTGAAGCCCCGGCCCCTGACCAATTAGGTTTCAGGCTTCGAAACGACTTACTTCACGTAACTTGAATGTACCATAATATCAACGGTCCGATGATGGAGCCAGAAGGTGAACAAATAAACACTTTTTAATTTGATTCGATTTTTTTAACTAAATATGGTGATGTTGGTTTCAGGAGTGGAAGGAAGTTAAATTGAGCCCGGAGCTGTTCCTACCGCCCCCCAACGAGTTTATCCCATCAAACCTGTCGCTGGAGAGGACCGAAGACCCCACGAGTGACGCCATAGCGCCGGCTATTGTGAAGGTAAGTGACTACCTTCGAGCCTTGTCGGGAGGATGGACTTAAACAGACTAGTATGGGGCACAATCTGTGCTGTAGGTATGAAGGTACAAATACGCATCGGAGTCGACTTGTCACTTGAAGACCACCCCCCTCTCCCTGATTAACCTTAAGGGTGGGGATATCAAAAAGCGGCTACCCACTTATGTCCCTTGAGTTGTAAGTGTCTATAGGCGGCGGTAGTCACTTACCATCAGGTGACGCGTCTACTGATTTGCCCCATTTACCATAAATAAAATCTGCATTACACTTGTTAGGGTCAAGGTCACTATTTATTAAATACTAGCTTCTGCCCCATTCAGCGCCCGCGTGTATGTCTGTTAACGTGGTAATAATAAGTAGCTTATGTTACTCGCTGATAATGTAGCTTTTCATTGATGAAAGAATGTTTGAAATCGGTTTAGTGGTTTAGGCGTGAAAGTGTAACAAACAAACCAACTCACTTTTACATTTATAATATAAGTATGGAAGTAAAGATTGATAAAAAAACATATCCGTCAGTTGCAGTGTGCAGCATCTCTTACTCTTTCCCAGTCCTTTCATTTTTATTTCCTTTTTTAGGACACAACTTTGATGAGGTTGTGGTACAAGAAAGACAACGAATTCTTGCTGCCCAAGGCGGTGATCACATTCGATTTGGTCAGGTAAGTGTATATTTCTAGTACAACACTAGTTTTTAATAAATACTTGAAATGACAAGTTCGGGCCGAACACCCTCCTTTATCAGCTTAAGTGACGTCATTAAAAAAAAACAATGTCATTATGTTTACTCTTAGTTTCTATTATAAAAGGTGTACAAGCAAGACCAATACTCAATTAAAAGATGTAGTGATATCTAATTCTACGAACTTTTTTCTTTTCTTATTTTTTTAAAGACATCTCCCGTGTTAGGAATATATCCTGTGTCGTGGGGGACTTTACAAACATACATGAAACGGACACAAAGAACACCCAGACTCAGAACAACAATCTGTTGTGAGATCATACAAAGTGTCGTCCCATGTGGGACCCACAACACTCAACCACTACGCTATCCGTGCAATATAAGTAGGGATTTAGTTTAAGTACACACTTCTATGTGTTAGAGTGAAGTATGCCGCCCTGTGGCACGATGAATTATGACTTAAGGAAACTGGCTGACAGTAAATGGATGTGGACTGCCCAAGACCAGGATAGTTGGCGGTCTTTGGGGAAGACTTCTGATGATGATAAAACAGTTAATTCTATGCCACGGTGACTATAACAAGAGGTAGTTCTAATTATTTAAGGTTATCTGTAGTTGGATTATCATCATCAACAGCCTTTAATAGTCCACTGCTGGAATAGAAAGAGCTTAGAAAGGAGGTTTTTGCCTACTATATCACGCTGACCAGATGGGTTGGTATAGGGTTTGTGTCAAGTTCTCTTTGCAGTGCTTTTCTCCTATGTAGTTTGCTGCCTTAGTGGGCTCTTACGACAACTACTGGATGAATAGGGGTGGTGACACTCTGTATTCTTACCGTCACCACACGAATATTTCCAATCCATCTGGAATGTTACCTTCGAGTAAACACTTATGTGGCATGGTGGTTATACCATGTCTAATACTATAATAAATTTTTTTACACACAACGCCATCTAGTTTTAAACTAAGCAGAGCTTGTACTATGAAAGCTAGATGGACTGATAGAATACTTATATACATTTTTTTGTAAATATATACATAGCGTCGTGATCGTAGAATAATGTAAAAAATACAAACTTAAGTTTTTACCATATTTGAATACTACATTATCTAAATATTATTGCTACATTCAAGAAAAAAAAATGTATTTTATGTTTTAAATTATTCAGTGTTTTGTTGATAGGAGCTCTAAGTAAAATGCATCATGTAATTTTTCTAGAAAATTGTATAAGTATTAGTTGTTATTTTTATTGCATTTTAAATCAAACCCTATTTTTCACTTGTATACCAATTTTAATAATTACAGATATAAAATTAAAAAACTTATATTAAAAGAATTACATAATTACTTGAAATGGCTGACATGTTAAGTTCAATAAATGACAGATCCGACACTATTCTACGACTATCGCGATAGAATTATATTATACATAGAATTATATTATACATAGAATTATATTATACTAGAATTATATTATACTTAGAATTATATTATACATAGAATTACATTAATGTTATGTTCACAGTCCTCTGGCGTACTCGGATCCAGTCAATTGTAACTTGACATCTATTTGGGTGTTACTGCTGAGAGACAGTTTACAGCAGTTCGCGTACGCGGCAGAACTAGCCGGCCTCAGGTGGAACATTGGCAATGCGAAGTATGGACTTAGCGTAAGTAATACTCAAAGAACTTTATTATTAATATCAACAGCCTCTGATAGTCCACTGCTGGACATAGCCTCTTATCAGAAAAGAGGTTTTGGCCTACTATACTACCTGGGGAGACGGGTTGGTAGGTATAGGGTTTGTGTCAAATTTTCCTTCTCTTTGCAGTCCTATTATCCTGCGTTATTATATTATATTTTATTATTATATATGCTGTAGTATTTTTAGTAGGATAGTTGGTGCTTCTTGGGGAAGCCTTCGTGCAGCAGTAGACGGCGATAACTTGATGATAATATGCTGCAGACAAACTGCACGGAGAGCGTAGTGGTTGAAGCGGTCACCTCGCCGCTTCCTACTGCGCTAAGTGTTGTGGGTTCGATCACCACATGGGACATGATCAACAAATTATTTTCTTAAGTCTGGGTTTTCTTTGTGTCCTATTAATGTATGTTTGTAAAGTCCACCGCGACACAAAATATTCTTAGTGCGAGAGTTGCCTATGCTTCGCCCTTAATGGGCCTCGACTGGAGTGATTCCACTACCACACAGAAAACCAGTGTTAAGCAATTCTTTCATTGCTAATCACCGAATGAGTAAACTTACCAGATGACCAACCCCACCCCCACAGACATAGGGGTGGGGGGGGGAGTCCTTTCTCCTGAGTAGCACATGTCCATGTGAGCGGCTGTAGTCTGTTCTTTTTTTCTTTTATTTAAAAAGACAAGCATAAGTATTAAATTCTGCGTAGCGTTGACTTAACAAATATACATAAAACGCACAAAGTACACCCAGACTCAGAACAACAATTTGTGGATCACACATAGTGTTGTCCCGTGTGGGGATCGAACACATCACATCACATCAACAGCCTTCAGTAGTCCACTGCTGGACATAGGCCTCTCCTTAGAAAGTAGGTTTTGGCCTACTATACCACGCTGGCCAGACGGGTTGGTATAGGGTTTGTGTCGAGTTTTCCTTCTCTCTGCAGTGCTGTTGAACCCACAATACTCGGAAACGGCGAGGTGACCGCTTAAAACACTACACCATCCGTGCAGTCACTATATCCTGTACGATAAAAACACTCTTAACTAATCAATAGTATCATAGAACTTGGTTTTATAGTAAACAAATATCTTCGAAGTCAAATAATTCTTATTCTTCTGTATTTTTAGATAACTATAGACGGCTACGATGACAAGCAACATGTACTGCTGGACAAAATCATAGATAACTTGGTGAATTTCAAAGCTGACCCCAAGCGGTTCCACATCATGAAGGAGAATCATCTCAGGGCTATCAAGAACTTCGACGCCGAGCAGCCGTACCAGGTTAGTTTATGAGGAGGGATAGAGCTCCTCTAATTCAGACGGGGAATGATCAGATATGATGGGTGGGTTTTACCACCCAAAGTTGAATCTTATTTTTTTTCGGGGATAAACCTGGATGTACCTACCCGGGGTATTATTCGAAATATATAGATTTATACTTGTTATCGCGGTAAAAAGTAACCCATATCCTTCTTCAAGAACCAAACTATCTCCATACAAAGTTTCATCTAAATGGGTTCAGCGGTTACTGATTCTCCATACAAACTTACACCCCCTTTTCAAGATATCATATGTCCATTCCCGGGACTCAAACTATCTCTATACCAAATTTCATTTTAATCGGTTCAGCGATTTAAGTGTGGAGAGGTTACAGACAGACACACTTTCGAATTTATAATATTAATATAACTGCTTTGGGAAACATAACTTATTATTCTTTTTAATTCCAGCATGCAGTCTATCAGCAAGCATTATGTTTGGCTGATTTAGTTTGGACGAGGTGTCAGATGTTAGAGGCCGCTCAAGGTATGCAACTCAACTAAACTGAAATATAAAATTACTGACCCTGACTGACTCACTGACTCATCACCACAGACCCTAAGCCGGGGCTAACAACTTGACTTTTTGGCAGCTGTTGCTTTTTATGTTGTAAGCACCCAATAAGAAAGGGTTTTTGGGAAATTTCACCCTTGAGGAAGTAAGATAAGGGAAGGGAAAATATGTCATCATCATCATCAACAGTCCTAAATAGTCCACTGCTGGACGTAGGCCTCTCCTTACAATGGAGGTTTTGGCCTACTATCATGCTGGCCAGACGGGTTGGTATAGGGTTTGTTTCAAGTTTTTCTTCTCTTTGCAGTGCTGTTGTTCTGCGTAGTTTTTTCCCTTAGTCGGCTCTTACGACACCCACGGGATGAATAGGTGTGGTGACACTCTGTATTCTTAATCCGTCACAATTTTTTTTTATGTAATAAAGATATTTTGTGTTGAAAATATCTTCACTTCATGGGTATTTCGTGGGTTCTCCTTTCTTCAAACGTCCGTGAGTGTCAGTGGGGATGGGATTCGAACTTAACCCGTCACCCCACTTCAATAGGCTGTGTAAATGAGAATTGATTGTTTTATAGATGTGACGGTGGAACAGCTGGACGAGTTCGCGTCCAAGATGATCAGGAAGATTCATATCGAGGGTATGATTTATGGCAACATTAATCGTGAGAGGGCCATCAGAATTGCTGACTCGGTGGAGAAGAAGTACGTATTTTAAGTTTTCCTTTATGTATAATAGAGGGAAAACGTTCAAACGGATCACCTGGTGGTAAGTGACCACCGCCGCCAATGGATCTGCAACTTACAAGACACTAGTGCGTTGTCGTGTATTCAGTGTTGGAACCCCATTGCCCAACCCCCCTTCCCCCTCATTTGAGGGTGGGGGGTGGGATTTTTGGTTCCAGTAATCTTACTTCACTCGCTCAGTCAGAATCAATGATAGTATAGTTTAAAAAAGGTTTCCTGTCAGCCTTCGAACCGACCCATTTATGCCGGATATTTCTCTCACGACGATGTATTAAGTGTAAGAAACAAATCCAAAATTAGACATCTTGATAATTGAGTATACGGATTTTATTTTATTTTGAATCTTAAATCTTAGACAATACAATACATCAGCAATGTATTCATGGTTATCCATATAAATTGTTTATACTTGTGGCGACTCCTACATACAAAGAAAGAAACAGAAACATACTACAGCGCCATCTAATGAAGACACACCGAACTACGGAGTAGGAGTAGAGTACTACTAATTAACAATTGCTAATCCTCTATCGCGATATGAAGAATTCCCTCCCCGATTAACATATATACAACTTCCCAACATCAACCGTTGGACCGCGGCCCGCCAGGCATGATCACCTCGCCTGGTCGGAGGATCCTCCCTTTGTGTTGGAGGGACATGACACCCGTTCCTCCACATACTTATATTGTATATAAAATATGTATTTGTATGTATAATTATATAATGTATATTTATTTATGTTTACACTACGTTAGCTTCAATACACCTAGACTACCCACTGTTTCTTCTTATCTACTGTCGATGTGTCCATCCAAAGGTTGCCTGTAAGAGATTGCTATCAGCAATAAGACCGCCTATTGTACATATCCATCTGTAATATTTAACAAACTTACTGTAATTGATGTACAATAAAGCATATTCTATTCTATATAAATTGCTTTGATTTCAGATTACCTAAGGACGGCACTCCATTATTGGCACAGCAGTTATTGTTATATCGTGAGGTGGAATTAGAGAAAGGTAAGTAATTCTTTGACAACCCTGTCGTGATGATACACACACGTAGGTTCACGACATCTTAGTATGAATTTAGAGCTTTAATGCCTCCTCCACCTGATTCGAGAAGGCATTTGGGTGGCAACGCATTTGTGTCCAATGTGTGGTGATGGATTAAGAATACGGAGTGTCACCACCCCTATTCATCCCAAGGGTATCGTAAGAGCCGGCTAAGGGAGAAAACTACGCAGGACAACAGCACCGCAAAGAGAAGGAAAACTTGACACAAACCCTATACCAACCCGTCTGGTCAGCGTGGTATAGTAGGCCAAAACCTCCTTTCTAAGGAGAGGCTTATGTCCAGCTGTGGACTGTTATAGGCTGTTGATGTGATATTCTTCAATGAGTTTGTTTGTCCTTTCTTCTCATAAGGCTCAACCCCTTGGAAACGGGTGGTTGTAGATCGGCACAGGCATATCATAGATTTTGTATAAGTTTATTTTGCTTACTATTTGACAAAACAGAGATTGTTGCTATTGTGTGTTGATATATGAATTGATTTCAAACAATTTTAACGTTTTTTGTAATAAACATAGTTGGAATTTGATGTGAGCAAACGTTATTTTGTAGTACGGTTTATCATCGCTAGATGGCGTTAAGGTGTATTTGGTTGTATATAGTTGTCGACATTGAAGTGTATATACTAAGGCTGTTTTAAAGAACGTCAAAGCTTTATTTATTTTCATAACTTTATACACTCTTGTACATAGTCAGACTAAATGCCCAGGGCGTTCTCTTTCAGTCAACTTTTAGGTGGTGTAGAAATCATAAGTGTTTTCTGTTTGGATGTTTTTTTTTAAATAGTTTGTACTGTCGATATGAATATTTGCGAATATCGGTTTCTGCTAAGTATTGGATGTCTCCTGTCGGCAGGTGCGTGGTACAAGCGCGAGACGGTGAACAGCGTGCACAAGTCGTCGTGCGCGTCGCTGTACCTGGCGTGCGGCGTGCGCGCCGCGCGCCTCAACGTCGCGCTCGAGCTCCTCGCGCAGCTCCTCGCCGAGCCCTGCTTCAACGTGCTACGGACCAAGGTACCAGCTCCATGTACACGGTGCTAGGGAAACTGACACAGACGATATTGCTAATGATACGTCGCGCTCGAGCTCCTCGCGCAGCTCCTCGCCGAGCCCTGCTTCAACGTGCTACGGACCAAGGTACCAGCTCCATGTACACGGTGCTAGGGAAACTGACACAGACGATATTGCTAATGATACGTCGCGCTCGAGCTCCTCGCGCAGCTCCTCGCCGAGCCCTGCTTCAACGTGCTACGGACCAAGGTACCAGCTCCATGTACACGGTGCTAGGGAAACTGACACAGACGATATTGCTAATGATACGTCGCGCTCGAGCTCCTCGCGCAGCTCCTCGCCGAGCCCTGCTTCAACGTGCTACGGACCAAGGTACCAGCTCCATGTACACGGTGCTAGGGAAACTGACACAGACGATATTGCTAATGATACGTCGCGCTCGAGCTCCTCGCGCAGCTCCTCGCCGAGCCCTGCTTCAACGTGCTACGGACCAAGGTACCAGCTCCATGTACACGGTGCTAGGGAAACTGACACAGACGATATTGCTAATGATACGTCGCGCTCGAGCTCCTCGCGCAGCTCCTCGCCGAGCCCTGCTTCAACGTGCTACGGACCAAGGTACCAGCTCCATGTACACGGTGCTAGGGAAACTGACACAGACGATATTGCTAATGATACGTCGCGCTCGAGCTCCTCGCGCAGCTCCTCGCCGAGCCCTGCTTCAACGTGCTACGGACCAAGGTACCAGCTCCATGTACACGGTGCTAGGGAAACTGACACAGACGATATTGCTAATGATACGTCGCGCTCGAGCTCCTCGCGCAGCTCCTCGCCGAGCCCTGCTTCAACGTGCTACGGACCAAGGTACCAGCTCCATGTACACGGTGCTAGGGAAACTGACACAGACGATATTGCTAATGATACGTCGCGCTCGAGCTCCTCGCGCAGCTCCTCGCCGAGCCCTGCTTCAACGTGCTACGGACCAAGGTACCAGCTCCATGTACACGGTGCTAGGGAAACTGACACAGACGATATTGCTAATGATACGTCGCGCTCGAGCTCCTCGCGCAGCTCCTCGCCGAGCCCTGCTTCAACGTGCTACGGACCAAGGTACCAGCTCCATGTACACGGTGCTAGGGAAACTGACACAGACGATATTGCTAATGATACGTCGCGCTCGAGCTCCTCGCGCAGCTCCTCGCCGAGCCCTGCTTCAACGTGCTACGGACCAAGGTACCAGCTCCATGTACACGGTGCTAGGGAAACTGACACAGACGATATTGCTAATGATACGTCGCGCTCGAGCTCCTCGCGCAGCTCCTCGCCGAGCCCTGCTTCAACGTGCTACGGACCAAGGTACCAGCTCCATGTACACGGTGCTAGGGAAACTGACACAGACGATATTGCTAATGATACGTCGCGCTCGAGCTCCTCGCGCAGCTCCTCGCCGAGCCCTGCTTCAACGTGCTACGGACCAAGGTACCAGCTCCATGTACACGGTGCTAGGGAAACTGACACAGACGATATTGCTAATGATACGTCGCGCTCGAGCTCCTCGCGCAGCTCCTCGCCGAGCCCTGCTTCAACGTGCTACGGACCAAGGTACCAGCTCCATGTACACGGTGCTAGGGAAACTGACACAGACGATATTGCTAATGATACGTCGCGCTCGAGCTCCTCGCGCAGCTCCTCGCCGAGCCCTGCTTCAACGTGCTACGGACCAAGGTACCAGCTCCATGTACACGGTGCTAGGGAAACTGACACAGACGATATTGCTAATGATACGTCGCGCTCGAGCTCCTCGCGCAGCTCCTCGCCGAGCCCTGCTTCAACGTGCTACGGACCAAGGTACCAGCTCCATGTACACGGTGCTAGGGAAACTGACACAGACGATATTGCTAATGATACGTCGCGCTCGAGCTCCTCGCGCAGCTCCTCGCCGAGCCCTGCTTCAACGTGCTACGGACCAAGGTACCAGCTCCATGTACACGGTGCTAGGGAAACTGACACAGACGATATTGCTAATGATACGTCGCGCTCGAGCTCCTCGCGCAGCTCCTCGCCGAGCCCTGCTTCAACGTGCTACGGACCAAGGTACCAGCTCCATGTACACGGTGCTAGGGAAACTGACACAGACGATATTGCTAATGATACGTCGCGCTCGAGCTCCTCGCGCAGCTCCTCGCCGAGCCCTGCTTCAACGTGCTACGGACCAAGGTACCAGCTCCATGTACACGGTGCTAGGGAAACTGACACAGACGATATTGCTAATGATACGTCGCGCTCGAGCTCCTCGCGCAGCTCCTCGCCGAGCCCTGCTTCAACGTGCTACGGACCAAGGTACCAGCTCCATGTACACGGTGCTAGGGAAACTGACACAGACGATATTGCTAATGATACGTCGCGCTCGAGCTCCTCGCGCAGCTCCTCGCCGAGCCCTGCTTCAACGTGCTACGGACCAAGGTACCAGCTCCATGTACACGGTGCTAGGGAAACTGACACAGACGATATTGCTAATGATACGTCGCGCTCGAGCTCCTCGCGCAGCTCCTCGCCGAGCCCTGCTTCAACGTGCTACGGACCAAGGTACCAGCTCCATGTACACGGTGCTAGGGAAACTGACACAGACGATATTGCTAATGATACGTCGCGCTCGAGCTCCTCGCGCAGCTCCTCGCCGAGCCCTGCTTCAACGTGCTACGGACCAAGGTACCAGCTCCATGTACACGGTGCTAGGGAAACTGACACAGACGATATTGCTAATGATACGTCGCGCTCGAGCTCCTCGCGCAGCTCCTCGCCGAGCCCTGCTTCAACGTGCTACGGACCAAGGTACCAGCTCCATGTACACGGTGCTAGGGAAACTGACACAGACGATATTGCTAATGATACGTCGCGCTCGAGCTCCTCGCGCAGCTCCTCGCCGAGCCCTGCTTCAACGTGCTACGGACCAAGGTACCAGCTCCATGTACACGGTGCTAGGGAAACTGACACAGACGATATTGCTAATGATACGTCGCGCTCGAGCTCCTCGCGCAGCTCCTCGCCGAGCCCTGCTTCAACGTGCTACGGACCAAGGTACCAGCTCCATGTACACGGTGCTAGGGAAACTGACACAGACGATATTGCTAATGATACGTCGCGCTCGAGCTCCTCGCGCAGCTCCTCGCCGAGCCCTGCTTCAACGTGCTACGGACCAAGGTACCAGCTCCATGTACACGGTGCTAGGGAAACTGACACAGACGATATTGCTAATGATACGTCGCGCTCGAGCTCCTCGCGCAGCTCCTCGCCGAGCCCTGCTTCAACGTGCTACGGACCAAGGTACCAGCTCCATGTACACGGTGCTAGGGAAACTGACACAGACGATATTGCTAATGATACGTCGCGCTCGAGCTCCTCGCGCAGCTCCTCGCCGAGCCCTGCTTCAACGTGCTACGGACCAAGGTACCAGCTCCATGTACACGGTGCTAGGGAAACTGACACAGACGATATTGCTAATGATACGTCGCGCTCGAGCTCCTCGCGCAGCTCCTCGCCGAGCCCTGCTTCAACGTGCTACGGACCAAGGTACCAGCTCCATGTACACGGTGCTAGGGAAACTGACACAGACGATATTGCTAATGATACGTCGCGCTCGAGCTCCTCGCGCAGCTCCTCGCCGAGCCCTGCTTCAACGTGCTACGGACCAAGGTACCAGCTCCATGTACACGGTGCTAGGGAAACTGACACAGACGATATTGCTAATGATACGTCGCGCTCGAGCTCCTCGCGCAGCTCCTCGCCGAGCCCTGCTTCAACGTGCTACGGACCAAGGTACCAGCTCCATGTACACGGTGCTAGGGAAACTGACACAGACGATATTGCTAATGATACGTCGCGCTCGAGCTCCTCGCGCAGCTCCTCGCCGAGCCCTGCTTCAACGTGCTACGGACCAAGGTACCAGCTCCATGTACACGGTGCTAGGGAAACTGACACAGACGATATTGCTAATGATACGTCGCGCTCGAGCTCCTCGCGCAGCTCCTCGCCGAGCCCTGCTTCAACGTGCTACGGACCAAGGTACCAGCTCCATGTACACGGTGCTAGGGAAACTGACACAGACGATATTGCTAATGATACGTCGCGCTCGAGCTCCTCGCGCAGCTCCTCGCCGAGCCCTGCTTCAACGTGCTACGGACCAAGGTACCAGCTCCATGTACACGGTGCTAGGGAAACTGACACAGACGATATTGCTAATGATACGTCGCGCTCGAGCTCCTCGCGCAGCTCCTCGCCGAGCCCTGCTTCAACGTGCTACGGACCAAGGTACCAGCTCCATGTACACGGTGCTAGGGAAACTGACACAGACGATATTGCTAATGATACGTCGCGCTCGAGCTCCTCGCGCAGCTCCTCGCCGAGCCCTGCTTCAACGTGCTACGGACCAAGGTACCAGCTCCATGTACACGGTGCTAGGGAAACTGACACAGACGATATTGCTAATGATACGTCGCGCTCGAGCTCCTCGCGCAGCTCCTCGCCGAGCCCTGCTTCAACGTGCTACGGACCAAGGTACCAGCTCCATGTACACGGTGCTAGGGAAACTGACACAGACGATATTGCTAATGATACGTCGCGCTCGAGCTCCTCGCGCAGCTCCTCGCCGAGCCCTGCTTCAACGTGCTACGGACCAAGGTACCAGCTCCATGTACACGGTGCTAGGGAAACTGACACAGACGATATTGCTAATGATACGTCGCGCTCGAGCTCCTCGCGCAGCTCCTCGCCGAGCCCTGCTTCAACGTGCTACGGACCAAGGTACCAGCTCCATGTACACGGTGCTAGGGAAACTGACACAGACGATATTGCTAATGATACGTCGCGCTCGAGCTCCTCGCGCAGCTCCTCGCCGAGCCCTGCTTCAACGTGCTACGGACCAAGGTACCAGCTCCATGTACACGGTGCTAGGGAAACTGACACAGACGATATTGCTAATGATACGTCGCGCTCGAGCTCCTCGCGCAGCTCCTCGCCGAGCCCTGCTTCAACGTGCTACGGACCAAGGTACCAGCTCCATGTACACGGTGCTAGGGAAACTGACACAGACGATATTGCTAATGATACGTCGCGCTCGAGCTCCTCGCGCAGCTCCTCGCCGAGCCCTGCTTCAACGTGCTACGGACCAAGGTACCAGCTCCATGTACACGGTGCTAGGGAAACTGACACAGACGATATTGCTAATGATACGTCGCGCTCGAGCTCCTCGCGCAGCTCCTCGCCGAGCCCTGCTTCAACGTGCTACGGACCAAGGTACCAGCTCCATGTACACGGTGCTAGGGAAACTGACACAGACGATATTGCTAATGATACCTTTCATGATGAGTCGAAAAAATCATCATCATTTTACACGTCCACGCTCTATCATGCTATTAAAACTAAATTAAACTATAATTTCATAAAAAATACATCACTTTAGTACAAAAATTACGGAACAATATATGTTACAAAAATTATTATCACAAAAATAATATTGTACCACATTCACACTACACCATCTAGTCCCAAACTAAGCAGAGCTTGTACTATGGGTACTAGACATCTGATATAAATACATATATAGTTTTTTTTTGCGATCACACATTTTCTTCTCTCATAGCCAAGAAGTTTTACTTCCGTCGTGTAGTCTAAAACACACTCGTTTATTTATTTATTTAGGACAACTTACAAAACATACACTAGTACAGACATGTTTTACAAATATTTGCTAAGTGTTGTCTTACTTACAAGTTGTCACGGCATGGTAAGGGACAGTTACATCTAAGATTACACAAGCTGACCAATAATTAAAAGTATCATCGTTCATTCATTATCTCCTACCCTCATCCCGACTCCAAATTCATTCAAATAGCACTCAAGTAATGTCTATCATCAGAATCTACAAGAAACTAGCTTAGACCCGCGGTGTTACCCGCGTTTTTTGTTATAACCGCGGGCAACGCCGCGGGGCGAAGCTAGTCTAAAAAAGTAGCCTAAGTTACTCGTTATGTCATCAGCCATCTGCCAGTGAAAGTCCCGTCGAAATCGGTCCAGCCGTTTCAGAGATTACCCGGAACAAACAGACAGACAGACAAAAATGGTAAAAAATGTTATTTTGGCATATGTACCGTGTAAACATACATATGCATTTAGTAAAAAGCGGTTATTTTAATATTACAAACAGACACTCCAATTTTATTTATTTGTAGATTATTACCCGAAGAAATTAGAAATGAAACCATATTAAATATAAATAAATTAAAACAATTACTACTACGAAAATTCTATTACAGCTTCGATGAATACCTGAGGAATCAATAAATTAAGCATGTACATAAAAAACTGAAGTATAATTATTATTGTTAGTTTGAATTATCTCTCCCTCTCTCATCTATTGCTGTGCCCGACAGGGTCCATTATGATCTGATATTATATTTAAGCAAACATTGTGGAATGCAATAAATATATTGAGTATTGAGTATCTTTATCTTTTCAGGAGCCTTACCCAAGCAAGCCAAACCGCATGTTTAAGTTAGCAGTTATGTTAATACTGTTTAAAAAAGTTATTTTATTTCCAGGAACAATTAGGTTACATCGTGTTCAGTGGAGTCCGGCGCTCCAATGGAGTCCAAGGTCTGAGGTTCATCGTTCAAAGTGACAGACATCCGGAGTTCCTGGAGCAGAGGATAGAGGCCTTCATTCAGAACTCCCTGGTAAGTGCATATGGAATACTAAATTAATTTATTGTGTACCCTATAATTTTACTAGCTATTACGACACCTGTTTGGCCTTGAGAAGAAGCAAAATATGTTACTTAGCCATTTTTTTTTAAGACAACTCCCCCACTAGGAATAAATCCTGTGTCGCGGGAGACTTTACAAACATACATGAAACGGACACAAAGAACACTCAGACTTAGAACAACAATTTGTAGATCACACAAAGTGTCGTCCCATGTGTAATTTGAACCCACAACACTCGACACAATTGGAAGCGGCGTGGCGACCGTTTAAACCACTACGCCATCCGTGCAGTCAAAGTCATTATTTATTTCCTGTTTCTAACTTTTAAAATGACTAACTTACATTAAACCGTCCATCCTTATTTTACCCCCTTAGGGGTAAAATTTCCAAAAATTCTCTTTTTTTTAAAGACAACTTAGGAATAGTTTCTGTGTCAAAAATGGAAGTCTGTAAAAATGGAAGATTAGAATTTAAGCAAGCATGCAAATTATATTGTGAGAAAATACTCTCGCAAATTATAGCATACGTTTTTAACCGACTTCAAAAAGGAGGAGGTTATCAATTCGGATGTTTATATTTTTAAGCTATTGCATAGCTTCTATCGCGGGCCTTGAGCGTGGAGACCGAATCCAGAAATTCCGTAACGAAAATAACCTAACACAGCCCACGTGATACTTTTTAGTTTTGCCATCTATCGATGAATAGCAGAACTTTTAATGATTTTTTTGAAATATCACGCTTGTCTCTTTAGTTCAGCAACTCGCCTCTAGGTGGCATTGGTTGTATCGGCGTTACTGCGCATGCATAATCTCCTATTCGCCCCGCAATCTAATTAATATCAAAGAAAAAAAACAAAGGAAAAAAAATACTGCATAAATAAAATAAATAAATAATTATAATTGCATAAGTTGATAAAAAATGCTATGCAATAGCTTTACCGCGGCAGTCCCCGAGTGCCACACGTCTTTTTATTATGTATGTTCGGGCATAACTCCGTTAGGTATACATAGACGGATTTAAAAAAAAAAAAGATGTTTTGAAAGGGCGGCTACGTTTTTAGTGGTCTTTATTAATAATATTCGAAGGCGGTTTAACTTTTAAAATGAATTTATTGATTAACCATTTTTTTAGAGAGTTCTTGAACCTTTTTTTTCAATAAAATTGCTTTATTTTTAGCAGAAGCTTATTGAATACTCTTACCGCTGTATTTATGTGATTTTGTAATATCATATTATTAATATATTTATATTATATAGGTTTATAATAATAATAAAGTTTATTCTCTCAAAATTTATTACAACAAATTTGTATGAATTACATTATTGTACGTAAGTTTAGTTAGCAAAACATTTAATCTACTAATGCTTAAAAAGGATAATAAAAGGATATTGAATTTCATTGCGTATCTATCGAGCAGTTCAGGATTCTCCAACTTTCTGTTTTCCGGAGTTCTAAATCTTCTACCATAGTAAATGTTTCTTTCCAGGATTATCTGAAGAACATGTCGGAAGAAGAATTCTGTAAGCACAGAGCAGCACTGGCAGCACAGAGGCTCGAAAAGCCCAAACGGATGTCCAGCAAAGCGTCCCAGCTGTGGTCTGAAATTACAGGACAGGTATAGTTACTGATATATTCTTGCATACAAAGTTTTATATAGATTTACTAGCTAACCCGGCAAACGTTGTTTTGCTATATACATTATTTCAAATTTTTGTCAAAATTAAAAAAAAAAGAGGTATGAAAAATAGATGTTGGCTGATTCTCAGACCTACCTACCTATGTACCTACGATATGTACACAAAGTTTCACGAAAATCGGTCGAGCCGTTTCGGAGGAATTTTATATATTAGAGTCGACGGAGCCGACGTACTACAGGTAGATCACCACCTCATCTACACCACCTAAAGGTTGGCTGGTGGAAAAGCCCAGGGCATTCAGTACATATGTGCATGAAGAAGTAAAATAAATAAAAAATAGACCTCATTCTAGCACAGACAATGGAATACCAGTTTTAATAAATATGAATACCAGACTGCCTCGGTGGTGCAGTGGTAGCGTATGAGACTTCTGTGCTGAGGTCTCGGGATCGATTCCCGGGTAGGACCAAATGATTGTATGATCTGCAAATATTTGCGGTGTTTTCTATGTATATATAAGTATGTATTTACAAAAAAAAGTATTTAAGTATCAGTCAATATAGCTTTCATAGTACAAGCTCTGCTGAGTTTGAAACTAGATGGCGTTCTGTGTCAGATTTCCGAAATATTATTATTATAAAAAAAAAGTTTTAAAACCTTAAATCTAATTACCGTGTGGTGACGGATTAAGAATACGTAATGTCACCACCCCTATTCATCCCGTGGGTGTAGTAAAAATCTACTAAGGGAGAAAACTACGCAAGACAACATCACTGCAAAGAGAAGGAAAACTTGAAACAAACCCTATACCAACCCGTCTGGCCAGCGTGGTATAGTAGGCCAAAGCCTCCTTCCTAAGGAGAGGCCTATGTTCAGCAGTGGACTATTATAGGCTGTTGATGTGATGAATCTAATTAGTATGGTAATTTTTCAGGTGTACAACTTCGACAGAGCGCGGGTAGAAGTGGAACAGTTAAACACTATAACTAAACAGGAACTTATACAGTTCTATATGGTAAGTTTGATCTCTACTATAGTCCATCAACGTCGTGCGCGACCGTCCTGCGGGGTTACAGACGGTGGCGGGGACGAGGTACTCAAGATGTCAGCGGGTAGCGGGTGGTGTAGCGGGGAAGGGACGCACTTCTCTTCGTGTGTAGCCGTGTGCTAGAATGACGCGCTACCTCGCCCCCGCCACTGTCTGTCGCCCCGCGGGACGGTCGCGCACGAGATTGCCGGGTTATAACAATGAATCTTTTATTTCTCTCTTCGAATTCGAATTTCCTGATCTTTCGACCATATGCTGACTGTGGTGGTGGGCTTCACGAGCCACTCCTTTCTTCTTTAGCATTAATTATACTATCAGTGAACAGGAAAGTTTAAACGTTAGTTGTAAAGAGAGTAGTAGAGAGTGTAGAGTTATGAAAGTGAGTTGGTTTGTTTGTTACGCTTTCACGCCTGAACTACTAAACGGATTTAAAAAATTCTTTTACCAATGGCTGACATTTATTGAACTTCACAGGGCAGCCATTTAGCCAACAACTAATCAATATACAATATTCTAAAAAAATAACATGCTTCATTTTACTTTAAGCGCCTGTCAAACAAACACTAAATAATTTTAAATCTAAAAAAAAAAAATCTTGAATGTAGTAAAAATATTTAGACAATGTAGTATCCAAACTTTGACGACCGGATGGCGTAGTGGTTTGTGTAACGGACTGCTAATCCAAAGGTCGCGGGTTCAATTCCCGGTCAAGTCAAACATTTGTGTGCATGAACATTTAATGTTTGATTTGGTCTGGGTGTTTCTATGTATAATATGTATGTATTTACAAAAAAAAAGTAAATATATGTATTTATATCAGTTGTCTAGTAACCCTAGTACAAGCTCTGCTGAGTTTGGGACTAGATGGTGTTGTGTGAATGTGGAAAAAAATTTGATTGATCTGATATTCGTATTTTTTTCAAAACCGACATTATTCCATGATCTTGTCGATTTATAATATAACTATAGATATACGAATAGAGGGTTGACTCGTTGACAGAAGTGAAATAAAATAGTTGGTAAAGGCGCTACATCCACTTTATCCTTACGCAACAGTTTTAAGTTTAAAGGGGAAATTATATAGGCGCCTGCCCTGTCGGTCTAGTGGTTAGCGATTCTGACTGCTAAGCAAGAGGTCGTAAGTTCGATTCCCACCCAGGACAAATAAATTGTTGTATAACACAATCGTTTTGTTCTGTCTGGGTGTAATTTGTCTATAGTTTGTATTGTAGGTATTTAGAAACATAAGTATGTGTGTGTAAGTGGTACTAAAATATGGGCGTTAAAAGGCCTCTGTCGATCCCTTCGTGGATTAAAGACGTGAGTGTAATTCTTCTAATTAAGTTCATTATTGTATTGTTCTAGAAACATATAAGTCCAGATTCCCCAGAGCGTCGAAAGTTATCAGTGTACGTCATATCGACTGCTGAGGGGGGCGCCGGCAAAGAGGAAACCACACAAACAGACAAGGAGTCAGAAGATAATACGTCACAGAAGAGTAATAAAGAGGTAAGAAGATTTGTAAAATAAAACTTTTTAAATATTAGTAAGGTCAAACTATACTAAAGTCTATTCGCGTTAAGTAAATAGTGACGCAATATTGACGCATCGATAAAGCCTCGCCCGCTGACCAATCAGGTTTCGAGATTTCGTACGAAACGATAATTTCTTGGAACCTAGTTGGTTGATCGATGCGTCACTATTTTCTAAACACGAATGGTCTATATTTTAAACAAACATTTATCGAATTTCGATCAAACGTCGATCAAGTGATTACTAGGTTTTTTGATGTGTCGGTAGGTGTAGGTATTAGACACTCCACAAACATGTTTAAATTTTACTGGCGCATTAAAAATTATACTTATCCCCGAAGGGGTAAACTTGGTATTAATCTATAATTTTAGTCCCACCTACTTATTAGGGGTCAAGTCTATTCCCGTCAACCAAGCACATATATTTCTAAATACATACATACAATTATAACCAGACACAGAACAAATGATTGTGCTCGTCATACAATTTTTGTCCTGGGTGGTAATCGAACCCACGACTTCTGGCTCAGCAGTCAGAATCGCTAACCACTAGACAAACAGGTCCTTGAAATTAATTCAATTACGTACAAATTATCTATTAATTCGTGAAGAAAAAAATATAAAACTGCTGTACTATAAAAGTGCTCCTATTATTTTCTGAAATACACTAATCTTGGTATAAATGTGTAGAGGAATGGGTGTCGTGTCCCTCCAACACAAAGGGAGAATCCTCCGATCAGGCGAGGAGATCATACCTGGCGGCCTTTAACAGTTGGGAAGTTGTGTATATGCTAATCGGTGTGGAACTTTTCATAGCGCGATACAGCAATAGCAGTTTCTCCGTAATTCGGTGTGTCTTCGCTAGATGGCGCTGTAAATACCTTTATAATCTCGCAAGTTTTTTAGAAGTCTACCAACAAAGGAAATTATGACCATGCTCGATTATTACATCGGACTGCTAGACTTAGACATTATAAACAGACAGATTAATATCAACAGTCTTTAATAGTCCACTGCTGGACATAGGCCTCTCCTTAGTTTTGGCCTACCATACCACATATTTGAAGTTTTCTTCTCTTTACAATGCGGTTGTTTTGCGTAGTTCGCTCCTGCTGTTTAACTTAGTTCCTATGGTGACGGATTAAGAATACGGAATGTCACCACCCCTGTTCATCCCGTGGGTGTCGTAAGAGCCGACTAAGGGAGTAAACTACTCTGGACAACAGCACTGCAAAGAGAAGGAAAACTTGATACAATGTCTATACCAACCCGTCTGACCAGCGTGGTATAGTAGGCCAAAACCTCCTTTCTAAGGAGAGGCCTAATTACAGGTTGTTGATGATAATGATGTTTTTTTTTTAATTTTTTTAATATTTAATACCTATTCTGCTATTCGCTGCGACAAATCCAAAAAATTATAAAACTTATACAGCCGTTTTTGAGTTAGAAATGATATAACTATCCCATCTTTTACTTATTAATATTTGCACACACGGTAATCGAACTTGCGACCTCAAAAGACTGATATTATTATTATATTTGCATAGGGCGAACCCCATCCCTTTGCCAAGACTATTGGTTGGACCAAGAAACAGGTTTTCAGACTCCTCTCTCAAATGGAACTGTGTAGGAGATCTTGCTTTTGGTCATGCAAAAGAGAAGATACCTGGAGTTTGTGTAGACCTGTTGTGTATGATAAGGTATTTAAAAGATCCTTATTCTGGGGGTAGATCGAAATTAAAAAGGTTTGATTACGGTTTTGTAGATTGTTTTTTTTCTTAAAAGACAACTCCTGCACAAGGAATATATCCTGTGTCGGGGTTTTACAAACATTCATGAAACGGACACAAAGAACACCCAGAGTCAGAACAATAATTTGTTGATCACACAAAGTGTTGTCCCATGTGAGGATCAAACCCACAACACTCACGGTGATCCGTTTAAACCACTTCGCAATGCAGTCAGAGTGATAACACGGTCAATAACTTGCAGATGACAAAAAAACAATTCCTTGTTATTTATATATTAATTTATTAATTAGGTTAACTCACAGCACATATATGAAACATTAATGGTAAAATCTAAGTAATAAGGTTCTGATATACATGCCACTTACGAGCTAACACAGCATTCACAGTTTAGACAACATGTAAACAAAATCACATTGATATATAGGCAGTAACGATCAGTACATACTTATCAGTTTTTATTTCGAGGTTTGCCAAATGATTCCCATATTTTTGCACGAAACTGGTTCTCCCTGTCATGATCCACATCAGCATCAGGCACAGTCTTGAGGAACGAATTCAAATCCCTACACATTCTACTTAGGGGTGCGTTTAGACCAACGTTAGTTTTGGATAAGGGTACAGTAAGGAGATTGCAAACAGGATTACGTGGAGATCTTCTGGGTACATTAATGGTAATGTTTGAACCTTGTTACCTAATTGTTATATTTGGAAATTAAAATAGTTCACAAGCTGCAGTCTACAACTTCGTTGCCCACAACTGCATAGAATCTCTTCTATTCAAACTTTCATGCCTTACATCACGGTTTTAAGTTTAATTATATTGACAGAAAAATTATAATGTCCTGCTCCAAGTTTAGTAAATTTATCAATTGTTCGGACTAATACCAGACGCAACTTTCCGCCATCGTTCCACACGGCAAAATTTTCATCCTCATTACATTTTCGAGGCACTTTTTGCCTCGCACAACCAATCTGTGGCATGGGTTACCGTCTGCGGTATTTCCGGACCGATACGACCTTCAAACCTTCAAAAAAAGAGCGTACTCCTTTCTTGTGACTCCTGAGTTGCAGACGTTCATGGGCGGCGATGGTCACTTTGACTTGACTACACGGATGGCGTAGTGGTTTAAGCGGTCGCCACGCCGCTCACTACTACGCTGAGTGTTGTGGGGCCGATCCCCACATGGGACGACACTTTGTGTGATTCACAAATTGTTGTTCTGTGTCTGGGTGTTCTTTGTGACCGTATCATGTATGTTTGTAAAGTCCCCCACGACACAGGATTTATTCCTAGTGTGGGAGTTGTCTTTTTAAAACAACAACAACAACTTTCCATGAGGTGACCCGTCTGTTCGTGTGCCCCATCTAACTTCAAAAAAAAAAAATCAATGGGTTCAACGTTTAGCCATGCAAATGAAAGATGCTGACAGAGTATCTTTGGCATTTATGACATGGAGTATGTACCTAGTATATTAAGTTGCATCACTGTACCGTGTGTCTATAATCATTATTTTAAAGATTAATTCTGTGCCTGGTTGTAATTTATCTATAATATGTATGTATTTAGAAATATGAAAAAAAATCTTTCAGTTAATTTGAAATTTATGCCAGCGATGCCAGTAATGTCACTATGTATAAGTAACAAATACAGGAATGTTCAAGATCTAAGGGTGTTACAAAACCAATCGATCAATCTGTTTTAATGATGTTTCTATGTACAATATGTATGTATTTACAAAAAAGAAACATATAATGTAGTTATATCAGTCGTCTAGTACCCTAGTACAAGCTCCAGTTTGGGACCAAATGGCGTTGTGTGAATTTGGTAAAAAATTAAAAAAATTCGTCGATTGAAGTTGATCGATTGGTGTGGTAGCTTTGATTGATCGACGCGTTCGCGTGACAAACCAATCGATTGATAGCTTCGATAAATTAGACAACCACTTCGGTTACCTACGTTTCTTGAATGCCACAAAGTATATTATAATTATTAAAATAATAAGGAATCGCTGATACAGATATTGTAAAGGTACTTACAGGTAAAGGTACACTACACGCCTCTTTTTACAATTTTAGGCCTATGTGTAGGTAATAATATATCTCATACACTGTTAAGCACCGTCGGTATATTTGTGTAGTAAAGTTTATAGTATTAGCGTTAACACAAACACAGAACACATAAATTAAGAGAAAACAGATAGAGTATAAGAAAGTGATACAAAAATAGAAAACATTTAAAATTAAGGGCGTAGGGCCGAGCGTATCGGGAGCGTAGGGTATCAGGAGCGTAGGGTATCAGGAGCGTAGGGTATCAGGAGCGTAGGGTATCGGGAGCGTAGGGTATCAGTATCGCGTCGCAAGGTTGCGCGCCGCCATAATACGTTTGGCTTCTCGCACTCGCTACTAATGACAACGTTGCGTTAGTTGGTCCGTTTGTTAAAAACTATTTTTATACACATGTGTATTTACTGAGTTTATTGAGTTGTTCCTTCCCTGTTCAAGCTGTAACTCTTTAAAACACCCTCCCACTAGAAATCAGGATGTCCACTAACAGATACACTTTTAAGTTTAAAGTGCGGAAGGTCCATAGAGACTTGTTGACGGAGTCATCTGAATAACATCTTAAGAGTATATTTATTATCATATATATTATAATATGATATTTATATGTATAAACTATATGTATGTATACTTATATATCTGTAGCATTTGTTCTTTTCTGCCATTGTAACATGGCTTCATTCAGTCTCATCTTTACCTGTCCCAAATATACACCTGCCACACACAGCTTTGCAACACCCAAAGGTTTGACTGGAAGAAAATGCCTGAGGCATTAAGTCCGCCTTATGCAATATGTTTGCAGGAAGACTCAATAAATAAATAAATAAATAATCAAGTACAAGTTTACAAGTATACACAAGTATGACGCTACATGTGTATAATGTATATATGAAATCAATTATGAACCGAAAAAAGACATCGTACGTTCAGGCATTATCATCTCTCACGCGAAGGTGGTGTCCTCGTTTTTGCGGGCAGGAACTAAGCGGATCAAGATGTCTTAATATAAACTGTTTAAAGATCTCCTATTCTATATGGCACTCCGTGTGGTTTAGTCGGTTCGATTCCGACACACCGCCTCAACGAAAACCCAACTGGAGTGGTGACAGCGCGGAAAGTTTCCTCACGCGTACAAAAAAAAATAGGATCACCACTGTCGGTCTATTATTAGTTTAGATCTAAGTATAAATATAAAAATGATATATTTTTTTGTATATCCTTCGAAAACTCAAAAAGTTCTGAACCTATGGAGCTCAGGGCAAAGTTGTGAAAGTGTCCAGCTGTGTACTGAAAATATAGGTCGCTGGCGTTAAATTACGATATAAACATAGCTTACACGTTTATTTATTGTCTGTCAATCTCGTTGACTATTTTCTCAGTCTAGTCATCACATCACATCAACAGCCTTTAATAGTCCACTGCTGGACATAGGCCTCTCCTTAGAAAGGAGGTTTTGACCTACTATACCACGCTGGCCAGACGGGTTGGTATAGGGTTTGTGTCAAGTTTGCCTTCTCTCTGCAGTGCTGTTGTCCTGCGCAGTTTACTTCCTTAGTCGGCTCTTACGACACCCACGGGATGAGTAGGGGTGGTGACACTCTGTATTCTTAATCCGTCACCACACGGACATCTATCTATCGAATCTACGCTGGACAGTCTAGTACACAGTGTCTAATTATTATTTAAGACATTATAATTATTTTACGATATTTTTCTTTTAAAGTTTATTTCTCCATTGTATATATAGCTTGTTTGTATATGCTTCGAAAACTCAAAAAGTTCTTCACCGATTGAGCTCAAAATTTGACACGATATACAACCCCCTCAAAGATTATTTTTTGAGTCTGTGTTATTCCTCCTTTCTCACCAATGCAACCACAATGTACCACAGCAAAACGTGTCAGTGTACAGCGAGTGCATTAATAATATTTATTTGTTTCAGCCCGTGTCGATCACAGATCTCGTGGAGTTCAAGTCAAGAAGGAGGTTATACCCATATCCTATCCCATTCACAAACATACCCAGGAAAGGAGCTCACTGTAAATTGTAATTACCACGCACGAGCATCGAACTGGTTGACCTTGAACTGTACTGTATATAGATTTCAGTATAACTTGACAAATATAGTAATTACCCATATCTCATACTGACTTCTTTATTAGAATTGCGCCAATGGCACAGTGTGTAATGAATACGATTCCCGGGTCAGGTAGAGTTGGGTTTGACCTGGACCTTATTATAAAGCGGTTTGGTTACAGAGAGTGGTTTATTTCTTTGTTATTACATTTAATCTTAATATAATTTAGATTTATGTTATGTATTTAGTACAAAATTGATAATTTAAAATACATGATTAGCTCTCAAAACTATACTCATTTACATGTCTTCTGTATGTCTTTTGTTCCATGTAATTATGATCGCAGTTCTTACATGCCTGCGGTATGTCTTTATTACATGCAGTTGTCATGTATGTTCTTACATGCCGTCGGTATGTCTTTTATTACATGCAGTTGTCATGTCTATTCTTACATGCCTGCGGTATGTCTTTATTACATGCAGTTGTCATGTATGTTCTTACATGCCGTCGGTATGTCTTTTATTACATGCAGTTGTCATGTCTATTCTTACATGCCTGCGGTATGTCTTTATTACATGCAGTTGTCATGTCTATTCTTACATGCCTTCGGTATGTCTTTATTACATGCGATTGTCATGTCTGTGCTTACATGGCATCTGCATGTCTTTTATTACATGCAGTTGTCATGTCTATTCTTACATGCCTGCGGTATGTCTTTATTACATGCAGTTGTCATGTATGTTCTTACATGCCGTCGGTATGTCTTTTATTACATGCGATTGTCATGTCTATTCTTACATGCCGTCGGTATGTCTTTTATTACATGCGATTGTCATGTCTATTCTTACATGCCTGCGGTATGTCTTTATTACATGCAGTTGTCATGTATGTTCTTACATGCCGTCGGTATGTCTTTTATTACATGCAGTTGTCATGTCTATTCTTACATGCCTGCGGTATGTCTTTATTACATGCAGTTGTCATGTATGTTCTTACATGCCGTCGGTATGTCTTTTATTACATGCGATTGTCATGTCTATTCTTACATGCCGTCGGTATGTCTTTTATTACATGCGATTGTCATGTCTATTCTTACATGCCTGCGGTATGTCTTTATTACATGCAGTTGTCATGTATGTTCTTACATGCCGTCGGTATGTCTTTTATTACATGCGATTGACATGTCTATTCTTACATGCCTACGGTATGTCTTTGTTACACGCAGTTGTCATGTCTCTTCTTACATGCCGTCGGTATGTCTTTTATTACATGCAATTACCATGCCCCTTCTGAGATGCCATCAACATACCAGTTCTCTCCTAACTCTTGTTTTTTTTTACGTACAATTATTGTACCCACCGTAATCAGAAACTTAAAATTTTCTGGCTTTAAATATAAATTGGGAATACAATACAATACCTTTGACCTATTTCTAAGCGTTCCATGGATTCACCATGCGGGTGCCGGATCCATCACATGATAGAGGGGGCAACACATGCGACTTCGACAGCGCCTGGGACTTCCCACCCAGGTATAGGTTTAAGGAGTACTCCTTGCGACGCGTCAGCGCTCACCTCCACTGTCTGCTGTGTTACCCCCTCTACCTAACCATATTTGATACGAGCCTGGCAATGCCGCTTTGGATATTCTATTAATAACAACTACTATAAAATCTTATAATAACTACGAATTTAATTATGTAAGTTCTCGTTAATAAATAAATAATATATTTAATATCTCACATATTTGATAATCACCCTTTTAAAATATATAATCACACATGCCATCATTATTACAAACTTAAATACTTAAAACAATAAAATGGCGCTCAGTCTTAGCCGTTAAGTTGACTTAAAATATATAAGTGTGTATGTATATGGGCCATAACACGAACATGCAGAATCAATTTAGGCCAATTCTCGTAAAAACAATTCGTTCAAATTCAGTTCTGATGTACTCTCGATATCACAAAGGTATTCTCGTAGTAAAGTATTACTAAGATTAACAGAATACCGATTCAACTTTCGGTCACATTACGATATATTCACATTACAGTCGACGTTGGATGCTTAATACACTACGAGAATACTTTTTACGATATTTGTGAGACCGAGAATAGATCGGCACTGGATTTTGATAGAATTTTTATTAAGAGAATTTATCTTCTGGTTGAAAAATTTGGTGTTACGTAATTAAGTTCCGTATGTACACATAATTATATATTACGGAACTAGAAAGTTTTAAAGTTTTAGACATAAAATAATATAATTACTCAAATAAATTAATTTTCTTTTCTTTTTTATCTAGAGTATTTGTTGTACAATATGTTTATATGATTGTAAAAAAAGTTAATCATATTTTGTAATCAATGTATTTTTATTTTTTATTTTGTATGTACATAAAGTTTTTTTGCTTGACACCTCTTTTTTTATTTTCATTTTCATACCGTGGTTGAGTCATGCTTCGGCACACAATGGCCGACTTTTTGAGAGAAAAAGGGGAAAGGGGGGTTTTTACTCACGATTTTTCTAGAGTAATCTTTCGTAAATAATATTAAGCGATGTAACTTAACGACATCTACCGGTTAGCCAAGTAAGTGATCCTGAATCTCACAAGTGAGAATTACCTGGTTGAAAGACTAGCAATTTAATAAAATGTTATAGTGTCTAATAATCATTTCAATCTAAGTGGCGGTAGCCTAGTGGTTAAGGCATTGGACTTGCGATCAAGAAGTTGTGGGTTCGAATCCTGACGAGTACCTACACTACCGACGTGAACACACTTCTGACACTAGCAATTTAACTTAGCGGGAGGGGTTAACGGGAATACTAGTAATTGGGTTGCTAGTAAGCCTTAAAAAACTGCAACCAAAAATTTTATTATCAATGCAAAATTCATACTGTCCGTTTGATAAGATTTAAATGGCTCTTTCATCCATCATAATGAAAAAATATTAGCTTCGAGCCTTGAGGAATTAATCTATTCATATAAAATTGAAATTAAATAAACTGATTCATCAACGCAAAACCTCAACCGTAGGGGCTACAAACTTGAAATTTTGGCAGATTATGTTGTAAGCACTCACCCTGAAATGATTTTTGATAATTTCTCCCCGTTGAGGGTAAAATAAGGGATGAACAATTGTATGGAAGTTTGTCATTTTCTAAGTTAGAAACACAAAATAAAAAATAATGACGCACACAAAGCTAAGTCTAATAGGTAGTTTGATTATATTATAAAACATCATACATCAACAGTCTTTAATAGCCCTTTGCTGGACATAGACCTCTCCTCAGAAAGGAAGTTTTGGCCTACTATACCACGCTGGCCAGACGGGTTGGTATAGGGTTTGTTTCAAGCGTTCCTTCTCTTTGCAGTGCTGTTGTCCTGCGTAGTTTGCTCCTTAGTCGACTCTCACAGGATGAATAGGGGTGGCGACATTCCGTATTCTTAATCCGTCACCACACGGACAACGAGCGAGATTTAGTTGCACTTTCATTGGTCAGTTACTATCTATGGAGGGTAGAGGAGAGGAGAACCATCTCATTTAAGGGGAAAGTACGAAATAAACATAGCTTTTGTAGACGGAGTGAAGTGTACTGAGTTCAAATAATATAACAGTTTTATTGTCTGAAAGTTATTACACCTTTATTTATTGTCTGTAAAACTTATTGACTACTTCCGCAGTCTAGTACTCAGTGTCTTATTATAATTTAAGCCAATATAATTATTTTACAATGTTTTTTTAAATTTTTATTTCTCTATGGTACTCTTACAACTTTTGGCGCATATTGACGGACACTTTTTATACACAGAGTCGGTTCTCTCTACCCTCCATACTACCATCTGACGGGCAACTCTAGCGCCGCTAGCCATTGGTCAAATCAAATATCGCGCGCTCATTAGTCAAATCAAACAGCGCGCTCATTGGTCAAATCAAATAAAGCGCGCGCTCTCCTTTCGTCCCTTTTCACGAAATCAACTCTTCCAGATTCTAGGAACGCGCGAGGAAGGATTTTATACGTCAAATAACATATTACCCCAGGTGGGAATCAAACTCACGACTTCTGGCTTGGTATCCAGGATTAGATCAACAGTTGTGGTCTTCCACAACCTCTTACAAATATACCAGTCCCTTTTACAATGTTACAGTTCGTGCTAACTTCAATTAAAATTAAAGATGACGCGACGTCAGATTTTTTTTAGTATTCAACGTTAAAAAAAAGGCTTACAAGTTCTAAAACTCCTTAGTCTATATTACCATAGAGATAGAATATTTAGTCTATGCCATTTTATTCACATATCTAACAAACACAATAAATTAGAAATGTCTAAAATTCATTACAAATTATAAATTTTCAGTCAGAAAATCAAAAGTAACACGTAACTGTGATTTCGACACTAATCTGTCTTTTAGTACTCTTTGTTTTATGCAGAGCATTTTTTCAACGTTGTCGTCAAGAAGAACCAGAAGATCGATAGTCATTATTATTACCAATAATCGCACGCGGTAAGTATTGAGTGCCTACTTCTATCTTTAATAAAGTCGATGGTATTCTTGTATTGGAGCAGACTGAGGAAGTGTACTCCAGAAGACAGCAGATTACCAATACTCCTAATTGTGTTACTGCCTAGAAATAATCAAACTAGGTACTCACCGCAGATACGAGTATAATATTACAAGCTAAACTGCGCAGCTTCATACAAAAACGGAGCAAATTTAAAAGGAATAAATGTGGTCCGTTTTTGTATAATTTTTCATTGATGCTCGGCTCCTGTTGGTAGTAGCGTAATGTATTATAGCCTATAACCTTCCTCCATAAATGGGCTATCCAACGCTAAAATAATTTATCAATTCAAACGAGTAGTTCCTGAGATTAGAGCGTTCAACCAAACAAACTCTTTATCTATATATTAGTATAGATTTATACACGAAACAAAACATACTTCAACGCCACCTAACGAAGACGTACTTAACCACGGAGTAACTGCTAATCCTAAATCGCGCAATGAAAGTTCTCGTGACGATTAGTATTTATACGAGTTCCTAAAACCAACGGTTGGGCCTGGGCCTGGGTCTGATTCCAAACTAAGGCATAACCTGTGCTATGGTAACCAGACTGCTGATAAGCACACCATCAATATAATTAACATAATATACATACATATTATAGATAAACTACACCCAGACACAAATGGTCATGACGATCGAACAGTGTTTATCCTGGATTGGAATATATATTGGCTTAGCAGCCAGGGTCACTAACTGCTAGCCCAACAGATCCGTCGAGTGTTGCACAGATTTCCTATGTTCCTTTATCACCGAGATATTATCAAAGCTTATTAGAGCCAGTACAATCGTCATTTCTTACAGCTTCAACTATAACACAATGTCTCCAAAATCTACTTTCTAGAAGAAGGTCACATGACCATTTTTGATACATGACTACACCGATATACCATGATACAGGTAAGTCGCAACCTTCAAAGAAATATTACATGTATTTTCTAGATGATAAGATTCAATTTAGCTTGCTTGATATACAATTTATGGTACGTCCAGTCTAACATGCGACGTATGACTATTCTCGAATGTCGCTTTTACTTTGATGTTGCGATTGAATTTAGGTCTCAGGATCATCGTAAATTTAGAGACCGTGCTGCCTCTTGAGGGAGGAGTACATTGTTCTGTTTGCGCATCGGATGACACGGCGATGGATAGCCCTGCCAAGTTAGCCCGGTAATCTTTTTGGACTCTCCAGCACCTGGTGCTTCTTTTGTGGGGTAGGAGAGAGCTTGTCGTCTCTCGATCTTTTTCTGTACCCTTTTTTAGCAAAATTCATTTAATGTACAACTACTACTTACCTGTTTACTAAAAAGAAAACACATGATAAGTTAACGTCTCCAAATTTGGATAAATTATTATTTATTTGTGTTTCATACAAAATTTGATCTTCTATTTTGCCACTTTCAAAGTTTATTTTGGTGACAAAAAGTATCCAAGGTCCGTTTCCAAGTTCATATCTCATATGCCTTTCTAAATATCAAAATTTATCATCTTTTTTTTTTATGGTATAAGAGGGGCAAACGAGCAGACGGGTCACCTGATGGTAAGTGACTACCGCCGCCTATAGACACCTGTAACTCAAGACCTAGTAGACCTGAGGGTCACTGGATATCTGAAAATTCCTACAAACATCTTGATCAGATTATTTAAGCAACGTCCTGGGTCTTTCGGCGCTGTTTCTGGTGACTCTATAGACTAATACGGCTAATATGAAAGTAATAACAATTAAAATCAGTGGTTTGTAAATTTTAAATAAACATTTTAACGCAGTCGAATTCTTTGTTATTTTTTTTCATAAATTTATCAACATCCAAGGGCCTTCCATAGCCCACTGCTGGATATAGGCTTCTCATTAGAAAGGAGAATTTCCTGCTATACCAGGCTGTCCAGATGGGTTGGTGTAGGGTTTGTTTCAAGTTTTTCTTCTCTTTTTGCAGTGCTGTTGTCCTGCGTAGTTTGTTCCCTTAGTCGGCTCTTACGACACCCACGGGAAGAATATTGGTGGTGACTTTCCGTATTCTTAATCCGTCACCACACTGATAATATTAGCTTATTAGTAAATTTATTAAAGCAATTTATTTACATGTACATTTTTCTATCATGAATCATGGTCATCATCAATTCCACAGCATCCTAAGTCTAGATTTTAGCCCAAAAATGAACTACAACCAAATTAAGAAGCTGGACGAGAACTCTTTAGAACAGTTAAAAGAAGGGAAGGGGCCTGTTGATGAATGCATCTGCCATCTCATCTCACCACCAGACGAGGACCGGAAGAGTATTAGATCTTCTATTAGACGAGCATTTGCCGGATTTTCAAAAGTAAGAAGTATTTCTGTTTTTTTCTTGTTTTGTTCTTTTTTTATTTACCAGTCAAGCTGTCGTGACGAAAACCAGACAGATGACTAAAAATAATCGCAAAGTTGCTATATCAGAGGTTTAAGTTATCGTGTTTCTAAGTATGAATAATTCCTGTAACTTTATGAAAACAAGTTCCTGCCAATTACAAAAACATCTTAAAGTGTATTTTACCGGACTGTTTCAGAAGGAGGGTTATGTTTTTCGAGTGTATGTATAATTTTTTGGCACTCTCCATTGTCCAAACGGCTTAATAGAGTTTGGCATTAAATGCTACAATCCATTATCGACTGCACGGATGGCGTAGTGGTTAAAGCGGTCGCCACGCCGCATCCTACTACGCCGAGGGATGTGGGTTCAAGCCCCACATGGGACGACACTTTGTGTGATCCACAAATTGTCGTTCTGAGTCTGGGTGTTCTTTGTGTCCATTTCATGTGTGTTTGTAAAGTCCACCGCGACACAGGATATATTCCTAATGCGGGAGTTGTATTTAAAAAAAAAATTATGCCATCCATTATAAAATTGTCAGAGCGATACTGAGTAAATTAGAAAAATTAACATCAATCATGAAGTTTTAACTGTTTTCTGTTAGATCAATGACCAGTATAAATCGATCTGTCATTGTATGAAGATTCCGTAACATCACAGGTCAGTTTATAGTTGGCGTCGCAGAACACGCTCTTTAGAAGGAATAAGACACCATGGTACTCTTACACTAGGGGCCATCTGTAAGCCGTAGATGACCCAGAATCCATCGGGGTACCAAGAATTTCCTTTCTCGTTCTCCAGCTATTGGTACCGATGAGTCTGACAGGGACAGAGAATTTCTAGGCAGGGAATAAAAACGTACTTCTTACTACCGACCGGATATTTCGTTTGCCGTGAGTAGATATCAAAACTCGCAACATCACAGGTCTTCTCTATTCAAGCATGAGACCATACTCCCTAAGGATGATATGTAACCCCTCAATATGACATAAATATATCTTCTTTCTTTGAAGGCAGCAGAGGGTAAGAAGAGGAAAGCTGCATATAGACAGCAGCAAGTCAATATACCAATAACTTATAGTAAAGGAGAAGCAGGTCAGTCAAGCATCAGACTCTTGTAATTTTGTTGATCAGGCCAGGATACACACTACGTATTTTAGTGGGAGAGCTTCGCTTCGACAAAAACGGGCTGGGTCGACCGGAGTGGTACCACGACCTTGATGATGATGAAGCAATCCTTTGCTGATTTTGGTGAGGGGGGGGGCTTCAGTATGTATGGTTTATATATGTGGTGTGGTGTGTGGTGTTTTATGAATAATATATGTGAATTTAACAATAATATCTATTTATTTATGTGTATGCATGTTCTAGAATCCACAGTATAAACGTTTGCATCTAGGCAGCTATCTATACTAATATTATAAATGCCAAAGTGTGTCTGTCTGTCTGTCTGTTACCACTTCACGCTTAAACCGCTGAACTGATTTAGATGAAATTTGGTATAGAGATATTTTGATTCCCGGTGAAAGAATATAAATGATGATTTCTGGGATAAGTTATTGTTTATGGGGGTTTGAATAAGTAATCAATAACCGCTGAAGAGATTTAGAATAAGTTGTTCAAATATTCGCTTATATTTTTTTTACTTAACAGGTAAAATATATACGACCAGAGAAGTGATCAAACGCAAAGGCTCTTGCGGCAAATGTGGCTGTGACAGTAGCAACGTGACCTTGAAGCACTCCTACGCCAATATAAGGATCACCACCCCAGATATATCGTCGTTCTGTCCTTGTCCTAGCAACTGCATTCCGGGTAAGCTTGTCTCTTTCTTATAATAAATATACTTACACACACAGTTGTAGTTCGACAGGCCTATCGGTCTAGTTACTAATCCTGACTGCTTAGCCAGAGGTCGTGGGTTCGATTCCTACCCATGATAAATAGCCTATGTCTATCCTGAAGAATCAAAGTATCTTCATTCCAAATGTCATCTAAATCGGTTCAGCGGGTAAGTATTGATTCCACATACAAACTTCCAACCCCCTTTTCACCCCCCTTAAAGGATGATTTCTAAAAAATCTACCCTATGTCTATGCCTAGGGATAAAACTATCCTATATCCTTTCCCGGAACTCGGATAATGTCTGTACCGAATTTCATCTATGTAAAGGTTCAGCGGCTTAACCGTGAAGGGGTAACAGACAGACAAAAAGACAGACCGACAGACACAGTTTCGCATTTATAATATTAGTATGGATTATTTCCAAAATAGTGGTAAACACACCATATTTTACCTAATTTACGATTTGATGTATCATGTAAGATAATAGACAAGACAATTTTCATCAAACTAGATACTTTGAGGTTTAAAGAGGAAAAAATGGGAAAATAGTGTAAGAAAAAGATGAGAAATTTAGAAAATAGAAAATAACGATGGATTGAAAACTGTACCCCGACATACCCCAGTCATCTACGGCTTGTAGATGACCCTTCGTGTGCGGGAACCACGGTGTTTACCCCCTATGACATAAAAAAAGAGAGAGAGTACGAGATGTGTCTTAACGTAGTCTCTTTTACTTACAGCTGAGAAGCAAAAAATGCTGAACAATATAAAAGTGACAGTGGAGCAGGTATCCAATGTGATCGTTGACCCGGACAGCGAGAATTCAGAGACAAGTGTCTCTATAGAAAGTAAAATTTCAGAGCCAAGTTTAACCGCAAAAAAGTCCTTATCCAGCCTCATAAACGCACAGTATGACACGGATGAGAGTCGGTTGTATTAAAAAAATACTACATTTAAGTTTTTCACAGTTGTGCTAAAAAAAAAACTATAAATAATTTATTCACAGTAGTTGTTTTCGGTTAAAGGTACTTTTTTAAGTTGTAATTTAAATTTATTCCATTCTAGTTCATATCACATCACATCAACAGCCGTTTAATAGTCCACTGCTGAACATAGGCCTCTCCTTAGAAAGGAGGTTTAGGCCTAATATACCTTCATTCTAGTTGCTAGTATAAAAAAAACTATCTTCAAAAATGTCGTTGTCACAAATGGTTTTTTTAAACCTGGTAACTTTTTGATTTTGATATCTTGTCTACTTGTTATCCTCAGATCAATTATCTTTCTGTTTTTTTAATGTAATAATTGAGGTTAAAGAAATTTCTTAAATTATTACATTCGTAGTTAGAAAAAAAATTTGAGTTGCTACTATTTTGAAAATTACCAAATCAAAAACGATTTTTTATTCTTGGCAACATTTGACTGCTGTCATAATTTCGTCGTTATATTTTGAGAAAATTTATAAAATTTGCGCGCTAGATCTTTTCGTATTTCTATTCTTTTTCTTCCATTTTTATTTTTTCGCATGTAATGTAGATGAGGCAGACAGGCCTAGCGGCATTATAGCACAATTGCTTCATTATGCGTTTATATATAATTATCTCACTTTGATTGTACTGCTTTACGAAGACTGGTAGCGTTGGAAGTCGGGTGTGGTGGTGGGGACAGGATCTATGGTGATTCTCATCAAAACGCACAAAACATCTCAATAAGTTAACACATATTTCTGCTTGTCTTGTCTTGTTTGCTCTCTGTTCAAGTCTACGGTTAATCAGAAACCATTATCAAAAGGGCGTTGTTTCAGGCTGTTAAAAATTGAATAAAACACACAATTTTTTATGAAAAATGCATCCGATTGATTTATTTGATATAATGATAATTTTATGCCATGTTTTAAATAATATATCGGCCAAATGACCGCCGCGGCTCTTTTTGCAGACGGTCACCGGTCACGCCAATTTTCGATGACGCGGTGCACCATTTCGGCCGGTATGTCGGCTATGGCTCGTCGGATTTTGGTTTTTGGGTCACGAATTGTAGCTGGATTATTGCTGTACACTTTAGATTTAACGTAACCCCAAAGAAAATAGTCTAAAGGTGGCCAACTGATCGGTCCATTTCTCGAAATTAACGACTCACCAAACTTTCGACGCAATAATTCCATGTTCACTCGAGTAATGTGAGGTGCTGCACCGTCTTGTTGAAAATAAAGGTCGTCTGCATCAATATCATCAAATTCCGGAAAGAAATATTCGGCTAACATCGAGTTATAGCGCTCGGCATTCACAGTAACAGGGTTTCCTTCGTCACTTTCAAAGAAGTTTTGGACAATTTCCAAGCGTTGGTTGAAAGTGAAACGTGACATGATAAAATGGCAAACCTTACTGAACACAAATGTCAAGAGCCGTCAAAGATTCATCATCAAACATGGCCGCCATGAGCTGTCAAAACCAGGTCATCCATATTGGTAGACCCGTTATATCGTCACCACATCTCTGTTGAAAGGACAGGGGGTGGGATAGGATTACCGCTTGCTGTCAGCAGGACTGTGAGATTTTTTGGCAGTTTGTTTGTACTTAAAGCACTTACTGAACACTTTTACTATCTTTAGAGCTGGTTATTATCATAATTCTGAAACTTTAATATTCCTTAGGTAATTGGAAATTGACTGTATCTTAGCATAACTAAATTTCATATTAACTGTATTAAAAACTTAAAATGTAAAGAGAACTTTAAAATTTATTTTTTATCATGTGGCAACACTATTTTCATGGTAGATTTAAATAAAAGAAAAAAGTAAGCTACTGTCCTTGTTTGATGATGGTATTGATGGTATAGTAATGCATTTGGTTAGTAAAAGGTTTGTTTCAAGTTTTCCTTCTCTTTGCAGTGTTGTTGTCGTAATTTGCTGCCTTAGTCGTCTCTTACGACACCCACGGGATGAACAGGAATGGTGATACTCTGTATTCTTAATCCGTCACCACACGGACAATTTGTATTTTCACGATTTAATGGCCAATGACATTTTAAAACGGCCTCAACATCCCGTGGTGTGACAACATTGCCATGCGTATAATATCTTGCAAGGAAATAAATTATATGTTTTGTCTTGGGCGACTATTACTCCTAAAATAACAAAACCAACTTGGCCATTTTCGTTTTTCTTCTAAGTTCCTACTCCTTCCTAAAAGGCCGGCAACGCGTTTGTGACTCCTGAGTTGCAGACGTTCATGGGCTGCGGTAGTCACTTTCCATCAGGTGACCCGTCTGCTCGTCTGCCCCCTCTAACTTAAACAAAAAAAAAAAACGTGAATGGGTTGTGTTACCTCATATACATTTGATATTTATGTAGATAAAGCCAAGTATCTTTTATGTTACAAATGGGATTTATCTAAACCAAAATTATAATTTCGTTGTATATACTACAGTCATGATTTATTTCTGATTTTTCAAGCTAATAGTTTAGCTTTTAGAGAAGCGAGGGCGCTCTACTCTAAGAAAAATTAGCATTTTAAAGTTCAACTTTCGCCACCGTATCACTGAATCAAAAAATAGTCTTCACAACCTCTCAATATTTTCCTCTCAAAAAATCATTCGCACTTTACTGGCTCCTAGTCCTACTATGGAATCCTAAAAAATAGAAATTGAAACGTAAAATAAATGTTTAGACAATGATCATTTTCTATATAAAATTTATTATAAATTGGTAATAATAAATTGGTTTTTATACACTTCAAAAACTCAAAAAATTCTAAATCGTTTTAACTCAAATTTTGACACGAAACAACCCGTTTCAAAGATTGTTTTTATCTAGTTTTCGCGTTAGTTTTGTTCCCCATTTTTCATCAATTTAACCACTACATGCCACAAAAGAGCGTGGCAGGGTACAGCTAGTACTTTATTAAAGGAAGTCTTTACTTCTGTATATCCGGCCCCAGCTTAAATTATAATAATAATCTTCAAGGATATACAACACAGCGTTATCTAGACTGAAAGTGGCTTGTACTGTGGGCTCTATAACCCGAATATAAGTATTCAGATACATTTATGATTTATAATATATATTATAAATAATATAATAATGGGTTCGATTCCCACCCAGGACAAATATTGTGTGATGAGCACGGTCATTTGTTCTGTGTCTGGGTGTAAGTTATCTATAATATGTATGTATTTAGAAATATATAAGTATGTTTATCAGCAGTCTGGTTACCATAGTGCAGGCTCTGCCTAGTTTGGAATCAAAAGGCCGTGTGTGAGATGTGTGATATATATAATATATTATTTCCTCTCGCGTTCCTGGAACTTGGGAGAGGGCTCGTGTCTAAGTGGTAACCGCGTAAGTTAACACATTGTAAAGCTAAGCAATTCTAGCCAGGTCAGTCTATGAATGGGTGACCATTCATAACACATTGAGACCCCTCCGTGCCTCAGAGAACACGTTAAGCCATTGTTTCGGTTGCAATACGAATATCAGTCGTTACGGGTCACATCATCACATCAACAGCCTTTAACAGTCCACTGCTGGACATAGGCCTCTCCTTAGAAAGGAGGTTTTGGCCTACTATACCACGCTGGCCAGACGGGTTGGTATAGGGTTTGTGTCAAGTTTTCCTTCTCTCTGCACTGCTATTGTCCTGCGTATTTTATTCCCTTAGTCACTTCTTACGATACCCACGGGATGAATAGGGTATAAAAATGGAGGGGGGAAAAGATGGATAAAAGTCCGACAATAGTCTTTCTACAGAACTTCGATATCGCCTAGTACTTGGGTGGTGGGGTCTGATAAGTCGCTCCCCGTAAAAAATCTAAGTTCAGCCGTATCGTAGTAGACTTAAGCCAACCCCAACCTAGTTTGGTAAAAAAGTTCAGAGGAAGAATATATTTCCTCACGCTTTCCTGGAAGCTGTATGAGCTATCTCATGAAAAAGAAAGGGAATTGTGTAACAGAAAACTGTGGCAATGTGCTATATTTGATTTGACCAATGACTTGCTAGAAATCTCTTACGACACCCAGACATCCACACGAACAGGGCCTCAATTCTGCTATTTTATGCCCACTGTCATACCACTGACACGCTATTGAGATGCCATCGAGTGGTCATTGGCATCGGTATAAATATCGGTAGTCAACATAATCATATAAATGATTTCCTTATAATTTGAAAATATATTACGTTTTTTTGAGGCAATGATTTATTTATTTTTCCAAATATGGCAATCTTTTTGATATCACTGATGAGCCACTGCCATTCCATCGCCATTGTAAAGACACTGAGTTAGTGTATGCATCTCAATAGTGTGTCAGTGGTATGACAGTGGCTGGGCGTGAACATAAAATAGCAGAATTGAGGCCCAGGGGTGGTGACACTGCTGGAGATGCCACTATAAAAAAGTCATCAACGTCTGACTGCTGTCAGAGTCATGCGACTTGACCCGTCCTTGGAGCTATTGCAGTCTTATTTCTGTTTCCCCATTCGAGACTTGGAGTCATTTACCCTAGCTCCCTTAATCTATCGGGTTTCTTCCCTCAATTTCCCTTTCCTTTGTGCCGTCAGAAAACTTTTACATTCCCAAAGAGATACGGCATAAGGCAAGCGACCGACAATAAAAGGGACCTACCAACAGCCTTTGCAATGTCCAGTTTTTAAACCTTTTTTAATATTTGATAGTCTAGACATAAATCTAGGTACATCTTGAATCTTAAAAGGTTCACGTTTAATATAAAAACATGGCACTGACTTAAAACAAATTCTATGTTACGCTACAAACTCCACGCGAAACAATAGCTCACTACGCGTTGTGGTCTCTGTAAATATTCAAATCGCAAAATATGTGGAATGATTTATAAAGAAACGCTCACGACGTTTTGTGGTAACGAAGATAAGCCATGACACTGATCATCATTTGCTGCAACCATATCACGACAGACACTTTATGGTC